GCGCTGGAGCGGGAGGGGCCAGGCAGGGGGTACCATGGGGGCCTTGCTGTGTGACCACCATTCCTGCAGGCCCATCAGCCTCACCGTGGCCAAGTGCTGGGACCCAACGCCCCGAAGCTACTTCACCGTCCCACGGGGTGAGTGACCCTCGGGGTACACGGGGCGGGATGGGGAGGGGGCGCCTACCCAGCCTGAAGGCCTCTCTCCTCTGTGCCTTGCGCTCTGCCTTCCCACACCGTCCGTCTGTCCACCTGTCGTCATCGCCACATGGCGGCCACCCAGCTGACCCGGTGCGGCCCATCGATCCCGCCGCCTGGCTGTCCCACACGGCGGCTCTGACCGGAGCCCTGCCCCGCTACGGTACGAGCCCCTGCTCCAGCGCCGTCACGCGCACCAGCTCCTCCTCACTAACCAGCTCCGTGCCTGGCGCTCCACGTAAGTGGCAGCTCCCGAGGGCCCCAGCAGAAACTAAGACTTGGAGGGGGCGTCTCTGCCAGCCTCCGGCATGGCCGCCTGCGGCCGTCATGGGGCTGTGACGTGCGTGTTTCCCATCCCCAACACCCTGCACAGACGTGTGTGCACAGGCACCCGTGCCCACCTTGCGCAGCCCACCCTGCTTGTGGTCTGTGTGTTGGGAGCAGGGGATGTATGTGGGGCCCCTATGCGAGGCGCACCCAGGGAGTCCCAGGCAGGGGCCAGGTCTCCACTCTGCTTCCTGCCGCTAACATGACTAACTACCTGCGCTCTCGGGCGGGGCGTGCGGGGAGGGGAAGGGGCCTGCCACGTTCTCATTACGCCCTGGTCTGCGGGTTGGGGTGTCCTCAGCCCAGTTTGTGCCTAGCATCCTGATGAAAAGTGTCTGCAGAGGAAGGAGACGAAATGTCCAATCCCCTGCCCACGCCCCAGCCTCACGGGGGTCCATCCTGCAGTGGGTCAGGGCCCTGCTGTCACGCACCCTCCAGCCTAGGCCCCCGGCGCTGGCTCCGCCCAGAGGCTCCCCTGGGGGTGCAGGGCCCTGAGTCCCCCCGCCTTCAGCTGCTGGGGCTGAGGCGGGGCTGTGCTTTGCAGAGCTGGAGGAGGCGCCGCTGACGGTGAAGAGCGACATGGGTGCCGTCGTCCGGGTCATGCAGCTGCCAGACTCGGGACTGGAGATCCGTGACCGCATGTGGCTCAAGATCACCATCGCCAACGCCGTCATTGGTGAGTGGCCGTCCCCGCGGGCCGATAGCGCCAGGGGCGGGGCTGGCGGGGCTGTGTGCCCGGGGCGGGGCTGCGTGCCCGGGGCGGGGCTGACCGCTGCTGCCGGCCAGGGGCGGACGTGGTGGACTGGCTGTACACACACGTGGAGGGCTTCAAGGAGCGGAGGGAGGCCCGGAAGTACGCCAGCAGCTTGCTGAAGCACGGCTTCCTGCGGCACACGGTCAACAAGATCACCTTCTCCGAGCAGTGCTACTACGTCTTCGGGGACCTGTGCAGCAGTGAGTGGGGCCGCGGGCTTCAGGGCGCGGGGGAGGGGAACGCCGGCGGCCCCTCCGCGGCCCTCACCTGCCGTCCCCCACCAGATCTCGCCACCCTGAACCTCAACAGTGGCTCCAGTGGGGCTTCGGATCAGGACACGCTGGCCCCGCTGCCCCACCCGGCTGCACCCTGGCCCCTGGGTCAGGGCTATCCCTACCAGTACTCGGGGCCCCCGCCCTGCTTCCCGCCTGCCTACCAGGACCCGGGCTTTAGCTATGGCAGCGGCAGCACCGGGAGTCAGCAGAGTGAAGGTGAGAACCCTGCCCCCACCCACTGCTGCTCCGCCCCCAACTCCACCCCACCCCGCTGCTGCTCCGCCCCCAGCTCCACCCCACCCCGCTGCTGCTCCGCCCCCCCCCCACCACTGCTGCTCCGCCCCCAGCTCCACCCACCCCGCTGCTGCTCCGCCCACCCACCCCACCCGCTGCTGCTCCGCCCCAGCTCCACCCCACCCCTGCTGCTCCGCCCCCACCTCCACCCCCCCCACTGCTGCTCCGCCCCCAGCTCCACCCCACCCCGCTGCTGCTCCGCCCCCAACTCCACCCCACCCCGCTGCTGCTCCCCCCCAGCTCCACCCCACCCCGCTGCTGCTCCGCCCCCAGCTCCACCCCACCCACTGCTGCTCCGCCCCCACTCCACCCCACCCACTGCTGCTCCGCCCCCAGCTCCACCCCACCCACTGCTGCTCCGCCCCCAGCTCCACCCCACCCCGCTGCTGCTCCGCCCCCAGCTCCACCCCACCCCGCTGCTGCTCCGCCCCCAGCTCCACCCCACCCTGCTGCTGCTCTGCCCCCAGCTCCACCCCGCCCCCAGCTCCACCCCACCCCGCTGCTGCTCCGCCCCCAGCTCCACCCCAGCCCCCTGCTCTGCGCCGCTTCTCTGCTGTGCCCCACTCCGTGCTCCTGCTGTGTGCTTGGGCCCTGGGTGGGCCCCTTCTGGAAAGGGCAAGTGCCAGGGGGATCCAGGAGCCTGTGTGAATGGGGAGGACAGGGAAGCGTCTCACACATGGGCAGCCTGGACTCCACCTTATCTGGATGGAGTTGGGAGGAGGGGCCTCTGGGAGCCTGGAGGCCTGGGTGGCTGTGCCTGGTAGTGTTGGCGGCTGGTGCTTCTCCTATGGTAGAGGTAGGAGGCCAGGAGACCATGTGGCCAAGGGCCATGTGACAAGGACAGGGCAGGGGTGGCCAAGGAGTCAGACGGGGTCACTTTCTAGGCCCCAGGACACAGGAGGGTGGCAGCTGCAGCCTGGGCAGGGAGCCCGATGTGGATGGTGCCATGCACAGCTGTGTGCCTGTGGCTGGGATGTGTTCGGGGCGCCAGGGGATCCAGGGTGTCCCTGAGGCGTTGCCTGGTGGAGCAGAAGCGCCAGTGGGTGGGGTTGGCGAGGCCAGCGGGGGTGTCTGAAGGCTGGGGGGGATGCAGGTGGCGGCCCGGAGGGCCCGGGAAGGAGGACGAGAGAGGAGAGGCGGCCAGAGGGTGTGGGGCCACAGAGAGGCCACACTGGGTGTCTGCTGACTCTTGACTGGTGCTTGTACCCGCTTAAGCCCCACCCAGCCCGCAGTCAGGCCCCACTGGTGGCGGGTGGGTGCCGGGCGGGTGCCGGGCAGCCGGGCGTGTAACTCGTGCTATCCCTTGCCTTGTGCTGAACAAGCCTTAGACTGAAGGACTAGCGGAGTGGACCTTGGGCCGGTAAGCCAGGGTCCCGCCGGGCGTCCCTCAGCATGTCCCCAGCTGGCCATGCCCTCCAGCTCCCACTGCGTCTCGGGAGCCCAGGACGGGGCTGAGCTGAGTCGTCCGTCAGCCAAGGCCCTGGGTTGGGGGGACAGTGGGGACTCGGGTGGGAAATCCAGTATGGCCATGGGGGCATCGGGCACGAGGGGCCCTCGCTGGCACCTCAGTCTTTCAGCCGCAAGACCAGACCCTCAGCTCAAGCATCGGGGTGAGGCGTGGGGGTGCCCAGCTAGCTCCAGGATCCTGTCCACCTGCTACTGCCCCCACCAGCGCGTGCCTGCTGCAGCTGCCCCTGCGACCCTGGGGGTGCCGGCCCTGTCCTTGCGCCTGCATGGCTGCCCCCCCCCGTCCTGCACGGGCCACCCTTCCTGCCCGGTCACTTGGCCCCTGGCGGGGGCTGTTCTGGACGTGACCGGGCCTGGTGCTGACGGTCTCCTCTCCCACCTGTTCCCGCCCCCAGGGAGCAAGAGCAGCGGGTCCACCCGGAGCAGCCGCCGGGCCCCAGGCCGTGAGAAGGAGCGTCGGGCGGCGGGAGCCGGGGGTAGCGGCAGCGAATCGGATCACACGGCACCGAGCGGGGTGGGGAGCAGCTGGCGAGAGCGTCCAGCCGGCCAGCTCAGCCGTGGCAGCAGCCCACGCAGTCAGGCCTCGGCCACCGCCCCAGGGCTCCCCCCGCCCCACCCCATGACCAAGGCCTATACGGTGGTCGGGGGGCCGCCCGGGGGACCCCCTGTCCGGGAGCTGGCTGCTGTCCCCCCAGAATTGACTGGGAGCCGCCAGTCCTTCCAGAAGGCCATGGGGAACCCCTGTGAGTTCTTCGTGGACATCATGTGACTCGCGCTTGCCCTCAGCCCTGCCCGAGATGGGGAGCCTGTGGTCCTGCTGCACACACAGCTCGCGTGGGCTTGCCTTAGTGGGGGCCAGGCCGGGAGGCAGGGTAGGGGGGCAGGCTGGACCACCGCAATCTGCCCCAGCAGCCTGGCTGCTCCGGCTCCTGACAGCACCTGTTTCTGAGCAGCCGTGTTGCGGGCGCTCCTTCTCTGCCCCTCAGCGAGAGCCTCAGGGACCTCACAACCCCTTGTGTCTAGTGGTGATCCCTCCTAGGATGAGGAAGACCCCCTTGGGCTCTGGGCTGACCCCCACCTCCTGTATAGCTGTGCACAGGCCCCCAGAGTGACCCATGTGTGGCAACCCCCTGCAGTGCACAGGCCCCACCCATCTGACCCAGGACCGGGCCTCCCGGGGGTGGGGCTGGAGCCCCCTGGTCCCTCTGGTTGTCTGGAGTAGGAATCTAATTTATTTATTTATTGCCTGGCTAGTGGCTCGGGGGAGGAGGTGGCCCTGTCATCTGTCCCACCTGCCCCTGCCCCTTGGAGCAGCCTGCTTCTCCCTTCCTTTCCTCTCCAGCAACACAGTCGAGTCTGAAAGTATGTAGAGGACGGGACGGGAAGATGAGAGAGGGCTGGACATCCTGCCCACTGTGTCCCAGCCAGGGCAGGGAGGGACCATGGCCTGCAGGGTCGAGGGGCCCCAATGTGCACAGCTGCCGCAGGGAGGGAGGTCTTGGGGAGATGGGCGGTCAGCTGGCCTGTCCTTGGTGAGTGCACACACTGCGTGCACACATCTCGGCCTGCACACAACCGCGGGCCTTCCTGGCGTCTCTGGCCCCCACGTGTCTGCGCTGTAGATACTGTATCAAAAGTCCCAGCGTCTAGATGGTTAACATAGAGCTGCTTCTGTGTAAATGCTGCTTATTTTAAACACTAAAAAGCGTTTAATTTTATGGGACGGATGTGTGGCCTGTGCCCCTTCTCTGCAGCTGGGCTGCCTTGGAATGAGGGAGGCATGGGGGGGCTGGTCCGGCCTCCCCTAGGCTCTGCTGGGCGCTGACCCTGGACCTCTGACCCGAGACCCTGTGTGGGCCTGGCGGGGTGCTGACCTTGGACCCTGGTGGGCAGTTTTCTGTCCATGGTGCTGGACCCCGCCCCCACCCCACCTCGGCTCTGTCCCTAGTACTGGTGGCAGTCACGATGCTGTCTACCTACTGGGCCGGGGCAGAGAAGGAAGCTGGGTGCCACCCCCACCTGGGCAGGCTCTGCCCTGGGCATATGCCTGTGTGCCCCCGCCCAGCCTCCCACTGCTGTGGTGCCTGGCGGGGTGCTGGGTGGGGGCCCCTGGCGGGGCGTGGTCTGGTTGACATGGTCTGGCTTGGGCTTGCAGCCATCTGGCTGGGGCCTCCCTGCATCCTTTTTCTGAGCTCATGGTGTGGGTTGTGGGGACCCTGGGAGCCCTCTGGGCCTCCTTCCGGAACAGTGGGTCTGGGTTACTGGGGCAGGCCTGGTCTGGGCACAGAGGGACGGGGACAGAGCTTGGCTCTGGGGCCCAGATGGTCACGGGGTGTCCACAGACGCAGGGGTCACTGGGGTCAGAATCTAGAGCAGGAGGGTGTCTGTAGGGGGACATGGGTCAATGCTGGCTTAGGGGGATCTCAGCTTGGTCTGGGTTCACCGGGGCTGAGGTCGCAGGATCAGGGGTCACTCATGTTTCCCCTGATTTCCTGTGTCTCCATCCTTCCGGTCTCGGGCATCCCCAGGGCCCCTTCCCAGAAAGAACTCGGGGGTGTTGAGCTCTGGCTGCCGCACGAGCAGGTAACACCTGGGCAGGTGGAAGGCAGCCAGGATGCCCAGGACGCAGAGCAGGAGGGCACCCATCTGCACGGCGGGCCTGAGGACCACCTGTACATTGGCCAGGAGGGGCACGAAGGAGACCCAGGTGATGAAGTAGGCCAGCATGGCAAAGGTGAGGCCACGGGCACGGTTGTAGCGGCCCGGCCGGCTCTGCACCAGGAAGGTGCCCAAGAAGCAAAGGAAGGCCAGCGTGGCGTTGGTGGCGTGCACGAGGCCAAAGCTGACCCAGGAGCGTGTGCGGCAGTGCACCAGCGCCTCTGTGGGCAGCATGCGCCAGTCCGTCACCACCTCTGGCGGGAAGGCCACCAGGTACCAGGCGCACAGTGCGGCCTCCACCAGCATGGCCAGCAGCACCACCAGCCAGGCCCAGGGCCCCCGCAGGCAGCCACTCAGCCGGTCTGCCCAGCTCAGAGGCAGTTCTGACTCCACGAAGATCTCGGCTGCCTGCAGGATGAATGTGCTCAGGCAGCCGGTGAGCGGGAGGTGGGACGAGGGCTGCTGGGCCAGGCAGCGGGCAGGGCTGGGCTGGCCAGGGAACAGGAGGACACTAATGCAGACCAGGCCCAAGCACACCAGGCCGAAGCAGGCCAGGGGCCCGCCCGAGGCCTGAACCAGTGGGCTGTCACGATGGCGAATGAACAGCCCCAAAGCGGCCAGCACGAGGCCCAGCGCCAGGCCGAACAGCAGGAGCAGCAGCAACACAGCCGGCTCGCCCCACGCTAGGAACCGAAGCCTGCGGCGGAAGCAGCGTGTGCTCCGCTCCGGGGACCACTCTTCCCGGCCGCAAAAGGTGCAGGCGAGGTCATCTGTGAGAGAGGAGGAGAAGGGCGCTGGGTGCTGGCCTTGTCCCCTGTGGGCTCTGGCCTCAGAGCTAGGACGTAGCAGGACCCGCCCCTGCTGCGTTTCCACCCCCACTGCCAGGAAGGCGGCTCACCTGGGCTCTTCCGGTAGCTGCCCGCCTTGCAGTCCACGCAGTCGTAGCAGCAGGAGTGGAACCCCTTGACCCGGCGCACCTGGCCCTCCTGGCACTGCCGCGAGCACTGGGACACGGGCTTCTGCGCACAGGCCTGGGCTCGGGCTCTGCTGGGCTGGGCACGCCCGCGGGAGACAGGGACGGCCCCCACCCCCAGGCTGCACCCTGCCGCGGGGGCTGCCACGGGTACACGCCAGGTACACCCACCCTCGCCTCACCTGGTTGTTGGACGTGTGCCAGCGGATCTTCGGGCTGTCTATCCAGAGGCTGCCGTTGAACCTGCCCACGTCGTGGAGCTCGGGCACCGGGCCCTGCCACACCCACAGCTTCAGGTCGTACTCCATGTCCACGTTCCCGTTGCTGTTGAAGCGTAGCGTCAGCCCGCCCGCGTGGAAGGTCAGGTTGTACATGTTCTCCAGGAGCTGTGGGCGGGGGACGGGGCTGAGCCGCCGGCTACCTCCAGCTCAGGTGTGGCGGCCGTGCCTGGTGGCCCGGGCACGTGCAGAGGTCAGCACACCCCCATCTCCCGGGCTCACCTGCCAGGGCTTCACGGGGTCCTGCACGGGGCAGCCTGAGGCGCTGCACTGCAGAGCGTTGTGCAGGGCCTGGGCCACACTATACACAGCTGCGTAGACAGAGAACGTCTGGTGGTGGTTTAGCCCGGCACTCACGTTCTGCAGCGTGATGCAGTCACACTGCGGGCAGCGCCGGCCCACCACGTCCTCCTCCAGACCCTGCTCCCTCTCGCCCAGGGCGGCGCAGAACGCTGGGTCGGCGGCCAGGGCCAGGCGGGTCTTCACATACTGGGAGAACTTGCGCAGCTGGGCACCCCTCTGGAGAAAGCCAAGCACCGTGCCCACCTGGGCCATGCCGGGCAGCCCCATGACCAGGTCGGAGGTCAGCCAGGCCTCGCTGGCCACCCACACCTTGCGCGAGAGCTTGCTGCTGATGCTGTAGCTGAAGAGAGCATGGGCGGCGCGCGCGGAGGCGAACAGCAGCACCACCTGCACGCTGCTCTGGTTCACCTGGTGCAGCACCTCCTGCACCTTCCCCAGCAGCGGGCTGTTGGCACGGGGCAGTGGCACCAGGCCCTCGTGTGCGATGCAGATGCCGCGCGACGCGGCCAGGGCCGAGAAGATGCTCAGGCCCTGGCGGCCGTACTCGTCGTCACTGCCTAGGGCGGCCACCCAGTTCCAGCCGAACTCCTGCAGCAGCTCCGCGGCGGCCACCAGCTGCACACGGTCGCTGGGCACTGTGCGGAAGAAGGAGGGGAAGGTCTCCCGGGCGCTCAGCAGCTCCATGCCAGCGCCATAGCTGACCTGCAGGGGCCAAGAGGCATCTCCTGACTCAGGGGCTCCCACGGGCAGGGCTGGGTGGGGGTGGGTGATGGTGGGGGGCGCCCACCTGGGGCATGAGGAAGAAGCCGAAGAACTTGCCGGTGACCACGGCGAGCTCTGACGAGTGGGGCCCGATGACGGCCAGCACGCGGGGCTGGTACTGCGTGTAGTTGCAGTAGGCGGCAATGTCGCGGCTGTCTGCCTTGGCCAGGAACATGAGACTGGGCTTCATGGCCACCACAGGCTCCGAGCACGTATCGAAGAGGTCGTGGCCTAGGCGCAGCCCCGGCAGCAGGTCCGACCTGTTGTTGATCTCCTCCACGGCCATCTTCATGGCCAGTGCCCACAGCAGGCCATTCGAGGAGAACCTGGGGCCCCATGGAGCCGCAGATGGCCACCTCAGCCCCAGCTCAGGAGCACCGCGGGCCTGGTCACCCTGACCCCAACCCGGGCTGTCCCACCTCCGTACCTGGTGCACACGGGGCTGCTGGGCCGTGTCCGGCTGCCGAGGCCAGCCTCCTCGGCCTCACCTAGGGGGAATAGCCCCCCCAGCACGTAGTCCCCTTTCATCCTAAGTTGCTGTGACAGGCACAATGGGGCCCCTGTCCCAAGGTGCAGGAGAGCCCAGAGGCTGAGGCCCAGGACAGCAGGGCACAGCATGGCAGAGGCCACTTCCAGCAGGCACGGCAAGGTGGCTGCCGAGTGGGGCCTCACGCGGAGAGAGCCCGGGGTGGGGAGAGCCCGGGGCGGGGAGCGGGCAGAGGATTTGTTTAGCAAAACCCTTGCCATCCTCACTTGCCACACCCTGGGGCCCAGTGGTGTCCTCGCTTTCTGGGCCTGAAAGTTTGTGCACTTCAGACTCTGCTTGAAGCCACTGCCAGGCTCTATGGCCAGCACTGACCGGCAGGCAGGCTCTGCTGACCGTGGCCTTGTTCACTGCCTGTGCCGAGCCCCTCGCCACCCCCCCATTCCTGGAGTTGCCCGGCAGGCTGTGGAGAGGAGAGAGGGCAAAGGGGCCTCCAGGGCTCTGAGGTATCAGCTGTGTGGGAGGGATGCAGAGACACCCGGCTCTGGGGCTTTCCATAGGTACAGAAATGCCTCCTACCCAGCCCTGGGAGCTTCTGGCTCCAACTCAAGGCTGTGCTGGCCGGAGTCGGGGGTGGCCGGGGTGGGCCCCCTAGGCCTGCAGACCAGCCGGCCAGGCAGGCCTCCACCCTGCAGCTGGGGAGGGCCCTGGGGTGGCAGTGGTGCCCTCCCAGCCTGCTTGGGAGCAGAGTTCCTTGAGGGTCTCAGCCCTTCTGCCAGAGTCTGATGCCTAGAAGCTGCAGGAACCGCATGGCCAGCTGTACTCACACTGCTGACCCTGGCCTGGGCTACTCCTGCCTGGCAGGCACACAGGTGGCTCCTGCTGGGGATAGAGTTTGCTTGCCGGGGGGGCATGCAAACGAAGGAGGAAGGACCACAGGCAAATGAACGGTGGCTGGAGCAGCACCGGAAGCGTGGGGCCGGGGCTCCTCCTCTGCCTGCTTCGCTTTGGGGGTGCCCTTGGGGACACACCGGGCTCCGGGTGCAGGACCTCAGAGGGGAACTGGGGGGCACTCAGCTTCAGCTGGGGCCCAGCAGACCTAGCAGATGCCACGAGGTGCACCCTGGCTGGCACCTCTTCCCCACGGTGCTGCAAGGCAGGACCCGTGAGGCACATGCATGACCACAGCACACGTGTATGGCACACACTGAGCACACACGCACACAGAGGAGCATGGCACACATATGAACCTGGCACACGGGAACGCGGCATACAAATGGCACATGCAAACTGCACACACGCAAATGGCACACACGTGCACGGCACATGCAAACAGCACACATACACGGCACACACACGCACAGCACATGCACGGCACACGTGCACAGCACGCAAACAGCCCACGCACACACCGCCCACACGCACGTGGCAAACATGCGCATGGCACAGACGGCACACGTGCACGGCATACACGCATGGCACATGCACAGGCCACACATGGAGGAAGCCCTGCCCTGGGGCCCATGCAGACCCAGGCGGTTCTCCCAGCCCATAGAGCAGTCAGCAGCCTTTGCCAGCACCAAGTGCAGCTGCCCTGAGGTTGGGGTGGTGTCCAGGAAGACCCTGCTGAATTGTATCCCTTTCTGTCCAGGTCACTGTTGTGGCTGGGAGCGGCCCCCACCTCCACCCACACGTCCCACGCAGGCCTCTTCTTTTGCATGGAGAGGCTGATTCCTGCCCTCCCGACCCAGCTTCTTGGTCCTGGGTGAGTCTGTGTCTCTGGTCTCACCTGCACAATGGGTGTAGTGATGGGACCTCTCTGGGGGAAATGGGCACATAGCAGCCCTGCCCCCAAGGCTGGCCTTTTCTCAGGGCGTTTGTTGTGCCCTGGGGCTGACACGGCCCCCTGAGCCTGGCAGTGGGGCCTCAGCTCCCTTGGAGTTAGGTGCACCCACCTCAGCTGTGTCGCTGGGGTGAGGGCCCTATCCGCCCTCATTGGGTGACCCTGTGTCCCCTCCTGGGGAATCAGGCACCCAGTACAGCCCAACATCCCCATCCTGGGAGGCTGTGTGATTTATTAATGTTGGAAGATGTCACATGGGTTGCCCTCCAGAAGCTCGTGCATCTGCCGGGCAGTGGGGACCGTCCCTCTGCCACCCCGAGGTGCTGGGGTCCACTGTGAAGAGCCAGTGGCTAGGCCCCAGGCACTGGATGGTGGCTGGGCTGGTTGTAGCTGTCTGGTAGCTGTTGGCTGGCCCACGCGGTCCAGGCCCTCCTGTACCGTGCCCCTCGGGTCTCCTGGGCACTGTGGGGAGGGGGGCAGGGGGAGAAAGGACATGGCGTCTCACTGCGTGTAGCAGAGTCCCAGCTCCTGGTGGTCTCGGGCCGTGCTGTGCAGACCCACAGCCGCTGCGGGAGGCGGCCTGCTGCATCTGCCGGGGAGCTGGTGCCGTGCAAGGCTTCAGAGGAGGCTGTCCCAAGGGCGGGGCCTTCCCGGGCCCTTCTTCAAGGAGCCTTGGTCTCAGCTTCTGGCTGTCCTGCCCCCAGTCTGCCTGGCACGCTGAGGGGCAAACAAGGCAGGAGAGGTGGGGAGAGCCCACGGTGCCCAGACCGCTGTTGGGAGGTTTCTGCCAGCCTGGTCATGGAGGGGACTAAGTCCCCTGGGCTCAGGGCTGCCCACCTGGGCAGACATGGGGTACCAGGACCTGGCCTGAGATGAGGACATGTTGGCTGACAGAAAGGAGAAAGGATGGAGTCTCCACGACCCGGGACCTGTGACTTCACCCCGATTTGCAGATCCGCCCCACAGGCTGGGGGGTGGTGACCTTTCAGGATCTTGCAGGCCCGGCCCCCACCCCTGCGTGCTCCGCTCTGCACCCTGGTGCGGCCTGGCTGGGCGCGTGTGTACCAGGCTGAGGGGGAGCCGTGGCTGAGGCGTCTTGTTCCAGACGGAGAGGGTGCGCCTCTTCTGGGCTGGTCCCCACCTTCTCTGTCACAGTCTGTGGTTCCTAACAAGCTCAGCTCCTAGGGGCAACAGTGGATCTCCTGTTCCTGGGGAGCCCAGAAAGCTCTGCTATGGGACTCAGCCCCGGCCACCACAGCCCAGATCTGCAGCAGGGCCCTGGCTTCCCGCCTCTAGGGCAGGTCCAGAAGGGAGTGCTCGGCATAGAGCTTCTGGGAGACGTTGTAGACACGCTCGATGAAGGGGAGGGCCTCGCCCAGCATCTGCACAGCCTGCTCCGGGGGCCCCACGTTCATGGCCTCCAGGAAGACCTTGCGTGTGGGCAGCGCATAGAAGGCCACGGTGACGGTGCGGCGTACGATCCAGGGGTGGTAGGCGGCCAGCGAGGCGTTGTAGGAGTCGGTGCAGAGCACAGAGGTACGTGCATCCTCAGGGCTGGTGCGCAGGCCCTCCAGGAACAGCTGCAGCCAGCGCAGGGCGCGGTGCAGGCGCAGCACGGTCCGGCAGCCGGATTCGGGGTGGTGGGAGCGGCGCTCTAGGTCCACCAGCTGGTTGCTCAGCTCATGGGCCACCATGGTCTGCAGGCTGCGGTAGTGCTCGCTCTGCGGGCCGCCCCTGAGGCGCTCCATGATCTGCAGCTTGGAGACCACGTCCTTGGAGATGAACGAGAAGATGGTGCCCAGGCTGTTCAGAAACCTGTGGAAGGGAGCGGGGTTCGAGGCCTTGCCCAGGCCTGGGGCAGCCCGCCTGGGGTGCGGGGGACACTGCCCAGCCTCCAGGGATTCACACCCATCTGGAAACAGGCAGCAAAGCTGGTGGGGACAGGCAGTCGGGAGGCAGATGCCACATATGGGACTTGGGCCAGGTGAGCGCCCACCTCAGGAGGCAGCCCCAGCGCACGCACCTGACCAGGCCCTTCCAGCTGGCGATGTAGGGGTCCAGCAAGACCTCTTCCTTCTCATCCAGACACTGCTTGAAACTGACCAGGACGACTTTCAGATTGAAACCTGTCTCCGAGTCATCCATTTTTTGATAGGAACGGAAACAGTAAGGCTGGGGGGCTGTGTCGCTGGGGTCAGCTTGCTCTGCGGCTCATTTTCTGTGTGTGGAGGGGAACAGAATAGCTGTGATCCGGTTGCTGCTCACTGATCACTCATGCCCCTCACGGAGCTTCCTCCCAGGAGCCGCCTGGCTTTGCTCCCAGCCAAGCCGCAGGCTCTCAGGCACACCACCCTGAGCCGCCCTTCGTCAGGATTGCGCATTCACGGACCTTGGCACGGCCCCTCCTGTGGATCAGGCCACTGACTCCACGTCAGTCCCTGCTGACTCTGAGAGTGGCCCCCTCTGGCTTTATCGGACCACTCGGCCATGCCATCTGCAGCAGGTGTCTCTGCTGGTGCTTTCTTGACTGTTTTTGTTTATCTCTCTAGATGCTATATCTGTTTTTACCAGCTGAGAGATACTAAGCCCCTGCCAAGAGCCAAGCACCGTTCTAGGCACCTGGGTGCACAGGGAGTGAGCGAACAGCCATCTGGAGTGGGGTCAGATGACAACAAAGACAAAGTTCTGAAGTTGTAGGCAAGGAAACAGACACAGCGGAAAGCAGAGATGGGTGCGGGGAGCAGGGGACGCTGCCGGACAGGCTGCCCCATCTTCCTCACTGCCGCGTCCCCAAAACCAGAAGAGAGGCCGTGGGGCCGGCGCCTGCTGGATGGACAGACGCGTGTTTTCCCTCCTGTTGCTGAAACTACACGTCCCACATGGATGGGTGGCCGGGTGAAAGGTTGTATCACTCTCAGAAGATTGCCACAAGGCCCTTGTACTAGCCCTGGGGAACCCGCGAGTGGCCCAGGCCCTGCTCTGGATTCTGCTGGCATTCACACAGTCACTCCGCAGACATCCAGGCACCCATGCTTTGTGTGTCACCAAGCACCCTTGCCCTGTCTCCCCGGGTGCCCCAAGGGCCCGCACCTGCTCCAGGGAACCTGAGACTCAGCTGCATCCCACCTCAACCAGGAAGAACCCTTACCCCATTGGGCCTGGGGGTTCCTAGGCCCGTTGGTGCTGGGAGCCCTCTCCTGCCCTCCCTGGCTGCAGGGACTCCAGCAGGGACAGGGAGGGTACCCAGCTGTGGTGAGAGCTCCTGGCCAGGAGCAGGTGTGCAGGTTGCTCAGTGCCCTAGGACTGGGCCCTTCATCACTAGGGAACATGGGCTACAAGCACTGCCCAGCCCGTGGCCCAGGCTGCTGGAGCGCTGGTGCCCGGAGGGAGCTGAAGCCTTGCCTTGCAAGCCCCACAGGTTGGGCTGTGTGCTTGGCACCAGGCGGAGGCCCCAGATGTGAGCTCACCGGGCTTCAGGTGCAGGGAATGGCTGCTCCTGGGCCTCAGGAACATGGAGTCCCATAGACTTCCAGCACGCCCCTCCCCTCCTCAGGCCTTAATTTTGTCCACTGAGAAGATGGTCTCTGAGGCTCTGGGGTTTCCTTCTTGGTCACCAGATATTCTGCGGGCCTTGCCTGCCTGCCCGCCCAGATCCGAGCCAGTGGCAAACAGGAGCTGCCAGGAGCCTCTCAGAGCTGTGGCTGGTGGCTCCGGGACAACAGGAAGGGCAGTGGTTGTGCAGGAGGCAGGCAGCTCGCCAGCCCAGGAAGGTGACCCAGGGCACCTCCAGGCCTTTCCCAGGGCAGCCCACCGGCCCAAGGTCAGGGCTGGGCGCGAGGGCGGCCTGAACACACAGCCCGGTGGCTGACAGCAGGCTGGGGGGACGGCAGAAGACGGGGCCACCACGGCGCCCCAGGCCTTGTGGGTGGAACCACACCGTGTCGAGCTAGCGCTACGAGTCTCACCTGGAAAGGGGGCTTCAGATGGCACCGGACTGGATGGTCACCGGTTCGGGTCCCTGCTCCACCTAGGAGCCCAGGAAAGGGTGGAGGCCCGGGGTGGTGCTGAGGAGGGGCCGACCTGAGCCACGGCTCCGTCCTGCGCGGGAGCCGGGTCCTCGGCCGCCCGCCCACTCCGGCCTTCTAGGACGACGTCCCCTCCCGCTCCCGGTCCCTCGGCGACCTCCGTACCCTGCCGGTTGGGTTGGGCAGGTGCGGCCGCCGAGCCGGAGCCGCTCACCTCGGCCACAGCTGCCTTCCGGGCCCCGCCCTCGCTCATCGCCCCGCCCTGTCCCGCTCTCGCCCGCCGCCCTGATTGGTTGGATGCTGTCCAATCAGGAGGCCAGGCGCGCAGACTCGCGTTTCCGGCTAACGCACCGGAAGTTGACACCCTGGTGGTTGCGCCTGCGCAGTGCATCACCGCGCGCGGGACTCGCGGCTCTGAGAACGCGGCGGAGACGATGCCTGAGATCAGAGTCACGCCCTTGGGTGAGTGGGAGCCGCCGGCAGGGCTGTGGGGCGGGCTCCGTATGCGGCTCCGGGCGGGCTGGGCGCCCCGCTCCCTCCGGGTTGTCATGGAGCCGGGTGCGCGTCGCGGGCGTCCTCGGTCTCCTCCTCCCGGCGTGGGCCCTGGTGGGAACCGAGAGGCGGCCGAGTCCCTGCACCCTCGGCCTCCGGCAGTGACGCGAGAACGCGAGCCCCGAGGTTCAGGCGGCCGTGAGGGGACGTCGCAGAGGGGGCCGCGGGGCCTCCGCGCTCGCTGTGCGCTTTCGTTGGTGCGTTGACCTCCCTGTGCGGCGCGCTGCCGCCTCCAGCCCCCCAGCCCCTCAGTCCCGCAGCCCCCCAGTCCCCCAGCCCCCCAGTCCCCCAGTCCTCCAGCTTCTCAGCCTAGCAGACCCCCAGCCTCTCAGCCGCCCAGCCCCCCAGTCTCGCTGTCCCGCTTCTGCCTCCTCACCTCTTGCTTTCTGTCCACCACCCCTTGTGCTCACGCCCAAATTACAATCAACTCTCAGTTCAGCTCTTGTTCTACCTGATTTCTGCAACACTGAAAAAACCAGCAAAAAACACAAATGTATACTCTTAAGAGTCCTAACAGGCTGGGCACTGTGGTTCACGCCTGCATTCCCAGTACTTTGGAAGGCAGAGGTGGGAGGATCGCTTGAGCCCAGGAGTTTAAGACCAGCCTCGCCAACATGGCAAGACCCCATCACTCAAAAAAAAAAAAAAAATGCAAAATTAGCCGGGCATGGTGGTGTGTGCTTGTGGTTCCAGCTACTCAGGAGGCTGAGTTGTGGGGATTGCTTGAGCCCGGGAGGTCGAGGCTGCAGTGAGCCATGATTGTGCCACTGCACTCCAGCCTCGGCGACAGCAAGACAATATGTCAAAAAAAAGTCAAAGTCCTAACAGTATAGAACAATGCGAAGGAGGAAAGAATTAGTCAAAACCCAGGGTCTCAGAAACACCTGGGGGGACATGGTGCTGGTGGCCAACCATCCTGATGTCCTGGGCGTTTTCCACACGTGCCTGCCCTGTGCTGTCCTGGAACCTGGTCCTTCCACTGGGCAGGGGGTCGAGGGCATCTTCCAGCACAGACACTGGGACGAGATTACATGTCCTTCCTCATGGCATGAGCGCTTCCTTGGAGGGGTGCCTGCTGCCCCGGTGGGGATACTGTGCTGTGAACACCCCTGGCATGTGCACAGCCCACGGTGTTAGCGTGGGCCCTGCTGCCCTCCCCTGCTCTCTGGGGCCTCTGCTGGGTCCTCCCAGACTGCCCCTTTCCCATTTGGCCTCTTGGCTGCCTGTTCTACCCACTCTCTGGACAGTCTGATCTTTCATGTGGCTTCAGTGGCTCCCAGTCTGTACCTGGGTGTATTCTTTTTTTTTTTTTTTTTTGAGACGGAGTCTCGCTCTGTCGCCCAGGCTGGAGTGCAGTGGCCGGATCTTGGCTCACTGCAAGCTCCGCCTCCCGGGTTCACGCCATTCTCCTGCCTCAGCCTCCCGAGTAGCTGGGACTACAGGCGCCCGCCACCTCTCCCAGCTAGTTTTTTGTATTTTTTAGTAGAGATGGGGTTTCACCGTGTTAGCCAGGATGGTCTCGATCTCCTGACCTCGTGATCCACCCGTCTCGGCCTCCCAAAGTGCTGGGATTACAGGCTTGAGCCTGGGTGTATTCTTAAGGTCACCTCAGCCAGGGTATCGGCAGAGCAGAACTGTTTCACCACCTCCCTGTGCCAGGGACTGCCTTGGGCTCCATGCTCACTGGGCCAGTGCTGTGTCCTTGGGGTCACTCCCACGCCCTCGCCTGTGCGTGACTGTCCCCCGACCCTGCCTGTCCCTCCCAACCCTGTTCCTCCCCCTTCCCCCATCCTGCTCAAAAGTTGGCTTCTCAGGGAGCACTTTCCTGTCATGGTTCTGGAAGTTTCAAGGCTTCCTCATCCTCTTACCTTGCTCTTCTCTGTCACAGTAGCCTCCATCTGGTGTACTCGAGGTGTCTTGTTCACTTGTCTGCTGTCTGTCTCCTTGCAGACAGGGATGCCTCCTCCTCTGTCTTCTCAGCCGTGTCCCCTCCTGTAGCTCCAGGCTCTATTCCCTGGGATCACTGTGGGTCCTGTTGGGAGGCGGGACTGCCAGTACCTCAGGATTGGGCTTTGGAATTCAGAAGACCAAGCCAGGCCGCACGCTTCAGGGCCACAAGTGCCTCTGTGGCCTTAGGTCCTTGGCTGTGAAGAGGGGCGGCCCTCCCTTCCCACAGATGCCAGAGGGCCTCTGTGAGCCTGGCATGGCTTGGGGTAGGAGGTGCAGAGGGAGGAGACAGCTGAGACCCTGCTCTCAGAGAGCTCACACCCAGTGGGGGCAGGAACAGGCCTAGAAGAGAACCTGAGATCCCCATTCGTGGCAGGCAGGCCCTCAGCTGTGGCCCCGCTATCCTGATGTGTGGTGCTGGCTTTGGACGTTTCAGGTGGCTGGTCGGGGAAGGTGGGTGGGGATTCAAGGGGAAAACCAGGCCATTCACGGCCATCAGACTCCCGCCCAGGCACAGGCTGTGCAGGGGCCATGGCCCTTTCCTTGTGGGCCTCCAGGTCACATGAGGGGGCTGAGTGTGCCTTGGCTGGCCAAGGCCTCTGGCTGGAGCAGCTGGGCAGGGCTGCTTGGCTGTCAGGAGTGTGGGAGGGCTGCAGATTAGGGTCTGTGTTGGGGGCTGCGTGGTGGGCAGTGGTGTGGGGCTTGTGTTGCCCACGCCGGCCACTGCTGGACCACTGGCACTGTGTTCGTGTGGCATGGCCGAGGCTGCGTGACATCCCTCCACAGCCGCACCACCAGGGGACACCCAGTGCCAGCACTTAGGCACTCAGGCCCTTGCCTGCCTGGGGACAGATCCTGCAGGAGGTGGCCTCATTGGTCTGCAGCTCTGCTGAGGGTCCAGCCACAGCCCAGGCGTGACTCTGACTGAGGTGTTGGCCCCGCAGACCAGCCCTTGTGTCTGAGGGGCTGAGGACCACAACACAGTGCCCACTACTCAGCCAGCAGGCCACGGCCGCCTGGAGAGGCCAGGGAGGAGCGTGTGGGCTGCCGGCCTCCACCCTGGATGTGGTGGTGTGGGGCGTGGTCCTGTGTCCCCCTTCCTGGGACTAGGGGTGGCCCTGTTTCTTGGCCCACATGTCTGTCCACACAGCAGCCTCGGTCTCGTTTCCTCAGTGCATTGGGTCCTGCAGAGCTTGGGGAGGCAGCACAGGGAGCTGGGGGCGGGGGGCGCAGCACTGTCTCTCACCTGCCCTCCCTCGAGTAGGGGCTGGCCAGGATGTGGGCCGAAGCTGCATCCTGGTCTCCATTGCGGGCAAGAACGTCATGCTGGACTGCGGAATGCACATGGGCTTCAATGACGACGTGAGTCTCTCGGGCAGGAGGCCCGGAGGCCAGGAGGGCTGGCCGTGTGCAGGCAGACCCTGGGCCTGAGAGCCGGACAGTGGGGCAGTGGGCAGCAGTGGTCGTGCTTGGACGACTGCACCCTGTGGGTAGCAGGGATGGGTGGGCCTGGCCGAGGCGAGCCCCTGCATGGGGAGGTCCCCCTGTACTGGTGCTGGGCTCCAGCCCCAGAGTCCTATAGGCTGGGCCCAGCGAGACCCTGGGCTCAGCTTCCTGCTCACATCTGTCAGTGAGGTTGGAGGTAATCTCGGCCCCTCTGCATGCTGTGAGCAGCCAGGGGTTCTGGTGTGACCTGCGGGGTGGCAGTGCCCAGCCTGAGTCTGCACGTAGAACCCCCCTTCCTGGGGGCCCCTCCCTGGGACATGGGTGGTCCCAGGTGCTGCCTGGAGACCACGGCGCAACCTGAAGCCTCACGTCCTTCCCAGCGACGCTTCCCTGACTTCTCCTACATCACCCAGAACGGCCGCCTGACAGACTTCCTGGACTGCGTGATCATCAGGTGGGCACCCGTTGGGGGCCTTGAGGGTCCCATGTCTGTGCCTGTGGGGCTTGGGCCCCCTTACTCAGCCTCGGCAACGTTTGGCAAGGGGCCTGCGTCATCCTTGATCCTCAGGGGGCGTCGGGGCCCCAGGATCTGCTCCTTGCCTGCCTTACTGGTCACACACACGGCCTGGTCTCCACCTGTTCTTCTGGCCCTGCCCTCTGAACCCGGCTCTCCAGGCTTCACCCTCTCCGATTGTCTCAGGAGCTTTAAACCCCACTGTCTTGTTGGAGATTCCAGAGTCCTGAGTCTGCCCTGACCCCAGCCTTTAGAGTCCAGCAGCTCATGACCCGCTGGTCTGGGTGGCATCGCCTGGATGGCCACAGCATTCCTGCTGGTTCCCCCTGCCCCGCCCCGCCCTGTCCTCCCCAGCAGCCAGAGGGCCTGTGAAGCCTGGAGAAGCCCGCTCTGGAGGCAGCGTCCTCAGCTGCCCCGAGACCCTCGTGGTTGTGGTTTCTTGTCAGACACAGCGGGGTCCCCAGTGCCTTCTTGGGGCTTGCCAGGCACTGTCCTCGCCCTCGGGTCTGTGCTGCCTTCACCTGCCGCTCCCCTCAGCCTGTCCTGACGCCTGAAAGCCCAGCGGCTCCCCATGCCCCTTAGCGGCTTCGCATTGCCTCGCGAGCATGTCGCTGTCGCCGACGTGTTCAGTTTCCCGTTCGCTCGCTGCCTCGCTAGACTTTGAGACTGAAAGTTCCAGGGAGGCGGCTTTGTGTTTGCTCGTTACTGACTCTTCAGTACTCGGGATGGGGCCTGGTGCACAGCAGGCTAATGAAGGGGGCAACCCACAAGCCCAGAGTGGGGGTGAAGGCTGGGGCAGGGTGGGCCCAGGCTGACCTGTGCTGCATCCCCCAGCCACTTCCACCTGGACCATTGCGGGGCACTCCCCTACTTCAGCGAGATGGTGGGCTACGACGGGCCCATCTACATGACCCACCCCACCCAGGCCATCTGCCCCATCTTGCTGGAGGACTACCGCAAGATCGCCGTGGACAAGAAGGGCGAGGCCAACTTCTTCACCTCCCAGATGATCAAAGACTGCATGAAGAAGGTGGTGGCTGTCCACCTCCACCAGACGGTCCAGGTCAGGTTCCCAGGGCCACAGACGGCACAGGCACTGCCCACCCCCACACCAACCATGCCCTCCGCCCGCTCTCCACAGTCTCTGGAAGGCTGGGGCCTCAGGGTGAGCCCACCCCACCTCACTCTTGCATCCAGCACTGTGGGAACACCTGGAGGCGGCAGCACGAGCACAAGGGTCCCAAACGAGATAGGGCGCCAACCCGGGAGAGCACGCGCAGGGTGGGGGTGTGCCCCGGCCTCCAAACCCACCTGGCTCCGTCTGAGCGGCATTGAAATGGCCAGAGTGGGACAAGCTGGTGCCCTCAGAGCGCTCGGAGCCTCCGGAGACTTGCTGGAGCTCCCAGGGTGTCGCCGGGCAGGGAGGCAGGGGCCAGAGGGGAGATGGGCCAGTTCTGGAGGGTGCCTGGTTCTGGGTGTGGGTCAGGGAGGAAGTGAAGGTTAAGTCGGTGAGTGACAGATTGGCAAAATTTGTGACAAAGATTGTGGGTTTGTCTGTGTCTCATTAGAGTCTCTGGGTATTGCTTTTATATTTTTTGAAACTATATTAGGTACTTATGTATTTTGGAACATTTTATTTTTCTGATCCAACTTCTTATCAAAATGAAGTATATTTATCTTTTTCGTTGTGAAATTTTAATTTTTTTTTTTTTTTTTGACAGGGTCTCACTTTGTTGCCCAGGCTGGAGTGTGATCTTGGCTCACTGCAGCCTCGGCCTCCCAGGCTCAGGTGATCCTCCCACCTCAGCCTCCCAAGTAGCTGGGACTACAAGCATGTGCCCCTATGCCCAGCTAATTTATTTTGGTATTTTTTGTAGAGAGGGGGTATGTGTTGCTCAGGCTCTCCAACTCCTGGGCTCCAGGGATCCTCCCACCTCAGCCTCTCAAAGTGCTGGGATTACAGGCATGAGTCACCACACCTGCCAACTCCTCCGTATATTTTAAACCCAGAAAGACATGATTTCTAATGCCTGGTAATATCAACATTTGCTTAGTTTTATTTATATATTTATTCTTTTTGTTGTGCTTCCTGCATTTTTCCCGCCTTTTACTTGGGGTAATTGGCCTTCTGCCTGAAGAATGGAGTGTGGGTCTGCTGGTGCTGAATTCTGTCAATTTTTTTTTTTTTTTTTTTTTTTTTTTGAGATGGAGTCTCGCTCTGTTGCCCAGGCTGGAGTGCAGTGGCCGGATCTCAGCTCACTGCAAACTCTGCCTACCGGGTTCACGCCATTCTCCTGCCTCAACCTCCCGAGTAGCTGGGACTACAGGCGCCCGCCACCTCGCCCGGCTAGTTTTTTGTATTTTTTAGTAGAGACGGGGTTTCACCGTGTTCGCCAGGATGGTCTCGATCTCCTGACCTTGTGATCCACCCGTCTCGGCCTCCCAATTCTGTCAATTGTTATTTGGCTGCAAACGGATTTACTTTACCCTCATTCTTGAAGGACTTTTTTCCTCTTAGGTGTGTAGGATTTTAGGTTGACAGTATTTTGTCTCTGCACTTTGCAAACATCGTTCTGTCCCCCGTCTCTGGCACGGGCACCTGTAGGGTCTTGGCCTTGGTTTTTGGTGCTTGTGCTCCGATGGGCCGACATGTATTCTCAACCTGTTCAGAGTTTGAGGCCTCTTGGATCTGTGGCTTGAGGCCTTCATCACGTTTCTTCCAGTGTTGCTTCTGCCTCGTTCTTGTTCCTCCAGGGGCCCTGAGAGCCTGACGGTCAACCTCTTGAAACTTCGTCATCCCTTTGTCTTTCCTGTTTCCTGATAGATATTCTCTGGTGTCTTTCAGTTTACGGATTCTCTTTTCTGGTTATATGTCATGTGGTGGTAAATTCATCCATTGAATTCTATTTTTTTTTTTTTGAGATGGGGTTTCGCTCTTGTTGCCCAGGCTGCAGTGCAATGTCATGATCTCAGCTCACCACAACCTCTGCCTCCCGGGTTCAAGCGATTCTTCTGCTTCAGCCTCCCGAGTAGCTGGGATTACAGGCATGCACCACCAAGCCTGGCTAATTTTGTATTTTTTTTTTTAGTAGAGATGGGGTTTCTCCATCTCTACTAAAAAAAAAGGTCAAACTCTTGACCTCAGGTGATCCACCCTCCACAGCCTCCCAAAGTGCTGGGATTACAGGCATGAGCCACCACATCTGGCCCATCCATTGAATTCTTAATTTGGGTTTTAATAGTTCCTGGTTTTAGAATTTCCACTTTTTGCCAGGCGCAGTGGCTCACACCTGTAATCCTAGCACTTTGGGAGGCTGAGGAGGGTGGATCACGAGGTCAGGAGATCAAGACTATCCTTGCTAACATGGTGAAACCCCGTCTCTACTAAAAACACAAAAAATTAGCCGGGTGTGGTGGCGGCACCTGTAGTCCCAGCTACTCGGGAGGCTGAGGCAGGAGAGTGGCGGGAACCCGGGAGGCGGAGCTTGCAGTGAGCCGAGATTGCGCCGCTCACTCCAGCCTGGGAGACAGAGCGAGACTCTGTCTCAAAAAAAAAAAAAAAAAAGAATTTCCACTTTTCAAAAATAGTTTCTATGCCAAGGGTGGTGGCTCACACCTGTAATCCCAGCACTTTAGGAGGCTGAGGCGGGAGGATCCTTTGAACCCAGGAGTTCCAGACCAGCCTGAGCAACACAGTGAGACTGTTTCTCCAAAAGTGCTGTTTTTATTTTTTATTTTATTTTTGAGACAGTCTCACTCTGCCACCCAGACTGGAGTGCAGTGGCGCAATCTCGGCTCACTACAACCTCTGCTTCCTGGGTTCAAGTGATTCTCCTGCCTCAGCCTCCCGAGTAACTGGGATTACAGGTGTGCACCACCACACTTGGTTAATGTTTTTGTATTTTTAGTAGAGACAGGGTTTCACCATGTTGGTCAGGCTTGTCTCAAACTCCTGATCTCGTGATCCACCCGCCTCAGCCTCCCAAAGTGCTGGGATTGCAGGTGTGAGCCACCATGCCCAGCAAGTTTTAAATGAGTGAAATAAATTTTTAAAGAAGTCTAGTTTTTTGCCAACTTTTTTTTTTTTTTTTTGGACGGAGTCTCGCTCTTGTTGCCCGGCTGGAGTGCAGTGGCACAATCTCAGCTCACTGCAATCTCTGCCTCCGGGGTTCAAGTAATTCTCTTGTCTTAGCCTACTGTGTAGCTGGGATTACAGGTACCTGCCACCATGCCCAGCTAATTTTTGTATTTTTAGTAGAGACAGGGTTTCACTATGTTGGCCAAGATGGTCTTGAACTTCTGACTTCAGACGATCCACCCACCTTGGCCTCCCAAAGTGCTGGGATTAAAGGTGTGAGCCACCGTGCCTGGCCCAATATTTTTTTTTTTTTTGAGATGGAGTCTCACCCCGTCGCCCAGGCTGGAGTACAGTGGCATGATCTCGGCACACTGCAACCTCGACTTCCCAGGTTCAAGCGATTCTCCTTCCTCAGCCTCCTGAGCAGCTGGGATTACAGGGATGCACCTCCACGCCTGGCTTATTTTTGTATTTTTAGTAGAGATGGGGTTTCACCATGTTGGCCAGGCTGGTCTCGAACTCCTGACCTCAAGGGATCCACCCGCCTTGGCCTCCCAAAGTGTTGGGATTACAGGCCTGAGCTACCTTGCCTGGCAGCCAGCATTCTGAATCTTGTCTTTTCTCTGTGATGTATTCAAAGTCCACACTGGAAACTCCAATTTCAGGTCCCTTCAGTCTTCCATCTGTTGTTTTTTGTTCTTTGTCCACATTGCCCGTCCCTTGTGAACTGGATGCTGTGTATGAGCAACAGGGACTAAAAGGCTCAGTGCAGTGCCCTCGCTCCCCGCCCCTGCCTCCCTCGCTCCCGGCCCCTGCCTCCCTCGCTCCCCGCCCCTGCCTCCCTCGCTCCCCACCCCTGCCTCTCTGCCCCTCTGCTGTGACGACACAGCCTGAGCACAGCCCTGTCCTCCACAGGTGGATGATGAACTGGAGATCAAGGCCTACTATGCAGGCCACGTGCTGGGGGCAGCCATGTTCCAGATTAAAGTGGGCTCAGAGTCTGTGGTCTACACGGTCAGTGGAAGGGCTTAAGGCTCGGGAGGGGCTGCCGGGGTGGGACGCACCCTCCTCATGGTGGCCTTGATCGTTCACCAGGGTGATTATAACATGACCCCAGACCGACACTTGGGGTAAGTAGTCCGAGATGTCTTTTGTCCCATGGGCCCCCCTGGCGCTCAGGACCCTGGCGGGTGTCGGCGTGCCAGCCCTCGAGCGGCCAGCCCAGCAGTGTCTCCCATGTCCCGTGTGGCCTGGAGAGCCCCTTCTGGGCCCAGATGCGCGAAGGCACAGGGTCCAGGCGGGGTCCTCTGTCCCTCCTGTCTCTTCCCAAGGTCTGGGCGGGGTCCTCTGTTCCTCTTCTCTCTTCCCAAGTGTGCTGCCCACAGCATTTTACCAGCTGGCTCTTTCCAGCCAGAGTGGCCCAGGAAGGCGGGTGGGCGTAGTACTGGGGCCCAGCTTGTCAGACCCAGCCCTGCAGCTGTGGGGACCGTGCACTGTGACTCACACCCCACCCCCGTGTACTAGAGCTGCCTGGATTGACAAGTGCCGCCCCAACCTGCTCATCACGGAGTCCACGTACGCCACAACCATCCGCGACTCCAAGCGCTGCCGGGAGCGAGACTTCCTGAAGAAAGTCCACGAGACCGTGGAGCGTGGTGGGAAGGTAGCCACAGCAGGGGTGGGGACGCGGGCCCTCGGCTATGCTGGGCGGGTCCTTTTGGCTGCCCTTGGCCTAGGTCAGGGTCTCAGGGTGGGGGGCACTGCATTTTCAAGCAGGGAGGGAGGAAGGTGTGCTCAGCATTGAGGACAAAAACTCAGAGACCCTTCCCAGGGAGCCCCTTTGCCTCTCCTACCTCAGATCCTGAGGAAGCCCTGGCCAGGCCCCACGCAGCTCCCTTCTGTCTCCGGAGAGTGGCTGGGACAGGACTGGGAGCAGATGAGAGAGGCTAAGGTCCCTATGAGGCAGCTCTTGGGCACCTGGCTGTGCCCTCACTGAACGCTGCCTGCTGTGCCAAGGGACTGTATGGCCAGGCTCCTGCCGTGTGTGTCCCCCAGGTGCTGATCCCTGTGTTCGCGCTGGGCCGCGCCCAGGAGCTCTGCATCCTCCTGGAGACCTTCTGGTAGGTGCCACCAGGACGGCTTTCTCAGGAGCCCCTGGCCCAGCCTGCACAGTTCAGTCGGTGGGCAGCCCTGCCCAGGGTGCTGGTGGCATCTCAGCCCTGCTTGCTGCTGTCCTGGGGGGCTGCTTGTGCGCCGTGTGACCCCAGGAGGCCTGTGACGTCCGGTCAGCGTCACTGTCTGCGGCTCTTGTAGGGGTTCCTGGCCCTCCGCTGAGCCTGGCTGCTTTAGGGCTGAATGGGACATAGGCTGAGGGCACTGGCCTCCTGTGGTTGCGACTGGACTCAGCCCGGCCCATGCATGGGCTGTGCAGATACAGGTGTGGGGGTGACCCGGCCGAGTCCTGCCCTGCAGTGTCCTCCCCTGTGGCCGCTGTGCTGACTGGGCCGGTGGTCCCCAGGGAGCGCATGAACCTGAAGGTGCCCATCTACTTCTCCACGGGGCTGACCGAGAAGGCCAACCACTACTACAAGCTGTTCATCCCCTGGACCAACCAGAAGATCCGCAAGACTTTCGTGCAGAGGAACATGTTCGAGTTCAAGCACATCAAGGCCTTTGACCGGGCTTTCGCTGACAACCCAGGGCCGATGGTGAGACCCGCGGCAGGGCTGGCCGGCACCTCCACGTCTGTCGGCCTCCTGTCTCCTGCAGGTCTCTGGGCTGGGCCTGCGGTGGTGGTGGGGGCATCGCTGCCCTGAACCCCCCCCCCGACTGGGCCTGCGGTGGTGGTGGGGGCATCGCTGCCCTGAACCCCCCCCCCGACTGGGCCTGCGGTGGTGGTGGGGGCGTCGCTGCCCTGAACCCCCCCCCCCCCCGGCTGGGCCTGCGGTGGTGGGGGGGCGTCGCTGCCCTGAACCCCCCCCGACTGGGCCTGCGGTGGTGGTGGGGGCATCGCTGCCTGAACCCCCCCGATGGGCCTGCGGTGGTGGTGGGGGCATCGCTGCCCTGAACCCCCCCCCGACTGGCCTGCGGTGGTGGGGGCGTCGCTGCCCTAACCCCCCCCCCCCGACTGGGCCTGCGGTGGTGGTGGCGTCGCTGCCCTGACCCCCCCCCCCCCGACTGGCCTGCGGTGGTGGGGGGGGCATCGCTGCCCTGAACCCCCCCCCCGACTGGGCCTGCGGTGGTGGTGGGGGCGTCGCTGCCCTGAACCCCCCCCCGACCCTGTGTGTCCTGCAGGTTGTATTTGCTACGCCAGGGATGTTGCACGCCGGGCAGTCCCTGCAGATCTTCCGGAAGTGGGCCGGAAATGAAAAGAACATGGTGAGGGCGCGGTGCGGTGTGGGAACCTGGAAGCTGGAGGCTGGCGGGTTGTCCTTCCTCCCGTGCCGTCTGTCTCCGCTCTTGCTGGCCTCGCGCTGGCCGAGGGACGTGGCTGCTGCTGCCAAGGGACGGGGGTGACATCGCCTGGAGCTGCTCGGTCTCCCTGTGACGTAGCCCGTCCACCTCGGGCTGTACAGCCCCAGCCCAGCCCCGGACAGTCTTGTGGCAAAACCTGAGTCCTTTGGCGTCTGCAGCCAGGCTTGGTCGGGCACTGCTGGCAGGTGGAAACAGCTCCCAGGGGTTCAGGTGGGGACATCCCAGGGAAGGCCCTGAGGTGCCAAGGCTGGGGTCCCGTGGCTGTGAGCTCTGTGCCTGCCCCCAGGTCATCATGCCCGGCTACTGCGTGCAGGGCACCGTGGGCCACAAGATCCTCAGCGGGCAGCGGAAGCTGGAGATGGAGGGGCGGCAGGTGGTGAGTCCCGACCCCGTGCTGGGTTGGCAGGGCAGAGGGGCACCTCCTGGTGGTAACCGCTGTCCACACCCCGTGGCCTCCGCAGCTGGAGGTCAAGATGCAGGTGGAGTATATGTCATTCAGCGCACACGCGGACGCCAAGGGCATCATGCAGCTGGTGGGTCAGGCAGAGCCGGAGAGCGTGCTGCTGGTGCATGGCGAGGCCAAGAAGATGGAGTTCCTGAAGCAGAAGATCGAGCAGGAGCTCCGTAGGCAGCCGGGCGGGCGGCGTGGGGCCCACCTTGGGTCGATGCAGGCAACCTGGGCTGAGGCTTTCTCTTCCCGGGGTCCAGGGGTCAGCTGCTACATGCCGGCCAATGGCGAGACGGTGACGCTGCCCACGAGCCCCAGCATCCCCGTAGGCATCTCATTGGGACTGCTGAAGCGGGAAATGGCGCAGGGTATGTGGGCCGGGCAGGGAAGGGCGCTCGGGGCAGGCAGCTGGGAGTGGCCCTTACGTTGACAGCTGCTGCCGCCTCTTCCACAGGGCTGCTCCCCGAGGCCAAGAAGCCTCGGCTCCTGCACGGCACCCTTATCATGAAGGACAGCGTGAGTGCCGGGACAGCCTCTGGAGGGGGGAGACGAAGGACGGCGTGAGTGCCGGGACAGCCTCTGGAGGGGGGAGACGAAGGACGGCGTGAGTGCCGGGACAGCCTCTGGAGGGGGGAGACGAAGGACGGCGTGAGTGCCGGGACAGCCTCTGCAGGGGGGAGACGAAGGACAGCGTGAGTGCCGGGACAGCCTCTGGAGGGGGGAGGGCTGCTGCTGTGCTCCCTGACCTGCCCCTGCCCCACAGAACTTCCGGCTGGTATCCTCAGAGCAAGCCCTCAAAGAGCTGGGTCTGGCCGAGCACCAGCTGCGCTTCACCTGCCGCGTGCACCTGCACGACACGCGCAAGGAGCAGGAGATGGCGTTGCGCGTCTACAGCCACCTCAAGAGGTGGGCGCCCGGCCCCGCCCCCCCACCCCTCGGGCCCCGGGGGCCAGGCAGGGTCTCACTGAGCCTCCCCACAGCGTCCTGAAGGACCACTGTGTGCAGCACCTCCCGGACGGCTCTGTGACTGTGGAGTCCATCCTCATCCAGGCCGCCGCCCCTTCTGAGGACCCGGGCACCAAGGTGCTGCTGGTCTCCTGGACCTACCAGGTAAGGGGTGGCCCCCAGCCCACCGCGGTCAGCACAGGTGTCACCACCCCTCCCTGTCCTGCACGGCCCATGGTGCTCTTGCTTCTGCCCTAGGACGAGGAGCTGGGTAGCTTCCTCACATCTCTGCTGAAGAAGGGCCTCCCCCAGGCCCCCAGCTGAGGCCGGCATCTCACCCAGCCACCACCTCTGCCCTCTCCCAGCTGGACAGAGCTGGGCCTGCACTTCAGGACTGTGGGTGCCCTGAGTGAACAGACCCTCAGGTCCCATCCCTGGGGACAGAGACCGTGTGTCATGTGCCCACCCAGGCAGCTGTTTCCAGCTAAAGAAAAACTGGCCTCCGGGCTGTCTTGCCTTTATTCCTGCTCCTGGGCCCCCAAATGATGGTTAGGGCAGGGAGTCCCGGACAGCAGTTTCTAGTAAAAGCTGAACGAAAGGCTACTTGGTACCTTCTTCTCGGTGTACATGGCTGTGTCCTGCACTGCACCCCATCCCGCCTACGATACAGAGGGGCATCCAAGCTGGTGGGACCTGGGCAGGGAGGCTGCTGTGGAGGCTGGGCAGCAGTGCTGTGGGCCCCAAGTGGCTGACTGCCCTGCTTGACCAGCACAGGGTTGGGCCTGGTGTGGCCTGACTTTGCCGAGTGTCCGGGGTCATTTGTGGCTCCCGAACTGTGGCCCCTGCAGCGTGCAGGAGGCAGCACCTGTGGACAGACCAGACCCTGCGTCAGCCTGGGGCAAGGTCAGCCCACCCTCCCCACCACTGGGACCACTCCCATGGCCAGGGAGTGGGTCAGCCCAGGACGGGCTGGGCTGAAGGACTGTGACCCTGGGGGGGGGGGGCTCCTTTACCCCCAGTTGTCTTGCTGCGGTCAGTGGTCCCTGGCCTCCCCACTCCACGCCATGGCCGCAGCAGTCACTGGGCACATAGCAGGAGCTTCCAGGCCCACTCCTCTTACCGAGGCTCCCATATAGCACTGACTTGAGGAATAAGCCGTGGGCCGGGGCCACACGTGCCTGGTGCTTCCCCAGGGGGTCTTGGCTCTCCAGAATCGTCTTCACCTGGGCAGGTGCCAAAGCCCCCAGCCCCACGGCCACCAGCACAGCGGTCATCCTCCGTACCTGTGACCCAGGGCCGAGATTGCACAGAGGCCTGCCCACCCTCAGCCCCAGCCCCCAGGGAGGGCCCCAGAACCGAGCCCACCTGTCTATACAAGAAGGACTGACTCTCAAACTCCAGGCTCCAGAACCGCAGCTTCCTGGAAACACACGTGCCTGTAGGTGTCTGTGGGGCAGTGCCTGCCATCCCCAGCCTACCACGTGGCCTCGGACAGGAGACTGACAGGGCGGGCTGGTTCCCCCGGCTGACTCCCTGCCCCCAGGGAGGCCCATTGGAGAGGCTTAAAACCAGACAAGCAATGCTTGGGCAAGGAGGCAGCAGGACCCTGGAGGCTGGGCAGGTAGCCTGGCTGTGCTGGAGGGGCTTGCCCTGGGCCCTCCCCTAGGGTCCTGGTGCACGGTCTGGGAACATGGCTGGTGCGTGTGCCAGAGACCCCAGCCCTGTCTGTACTTGCTACTCTGATGCAGGAGTCTGGGGCCGGCAGAAGTTCTTCCTCCCTTGAGGGCTCACCCCAGCAGGGGAGGTTTTGTGGTCAGAATCTGCCACCTGGTGGGTGGCCCTCTGGACAGTGATGGGGCAGCAGAAACCACCCCTGCCAGGCTGGGCCAGAACCACTGGCACCAGCGAAACCTTCCCAGTGGCTGCCAGAATTCTGTTAGGCAGGGCAGGGTTTTCAGAGACAGGCAGCCTTCCCTGTCCTCTGCCCCCAGCCGGGGTGGGGGAGGGCACAGCTGCAGGCTGGGGGTGTCCGGGCCACTCCAGCTGTCCAGGTTCTGAGGACAGCTGTCCCGCTTCGCCTGCCTTAAAGCTGGGGGAGGTGCTGGAGCTAAAATCAGTGCGTGACCTGAGGGCAGGGCCACAACCCACAGGCCCTTCCTCACCTGCTCTCCTCGGGGGTGACCAAGGGGCTGGCCTGGCCTGGGGACACAGAGACACGGCGCAGCGTTCGCACAGGGCTTGGCACCGGGCTGCCGGCCGACTGGAACGCGCTGAAGTCATGTGTGCCGAGGAGGTGCTGGGCAGCTTCTTGCATGGCGGCCACATCCAGGCAGCTTCAGGGAACAGGGTAACGTCAGGAGGTGCGGCCTGCCTGCTCCCTCCCGGCTCACTGTCAGGGCCGCACTCACTCTGCCTGGAGAGTCCAGCATAGGTTGCGTTCAAACACCGGCAGCTCAGCAAGCCGGTGACAGCCAGTGACCAGGCGGTACAGGTAGGTCCGGGACGTGGCTGCGTGGCGAGCGTGGAAGTCGCTGGGCACTCGGAAGGCCCGCAGGACCCTGTGGCAGCAGGTCAGGCTCACCGGAGGAACAACCCTGCCGGTCTGCCCAGGTGTCACCTCCTGTCTCCTCCACCCCCGAGCTCTGACCAGACGACGAAGTCTGTGCAGACCTCCAGCCTCCGCCCGCAACAGAATCGGGAAGGCCGAGCCCCAGGGGCTGCTCAGGTCGCCGGCTCACCTGATGGCCGGGTGCCGCAGGTGGGTGTTGAGGGCCTCGGCCAGGACCTCGGGCGGGAAGGGCGGCCGGCCTGAGCGGCGCTGGACGTCCAGATGCGCCGCGTTGCTCAGGGCGTGGACCCCTGCGTCCGTGCGGCTGGAGATGGTGAACCTGACCGGCACCACGGAATTCAGCCGCTCGGCGGCCTCCTGCAGGACCGAGCCGCGGGGCGAGCGGGCGGGTGGGCGAGGCCGGACCCTGGGGACGCGCGGGCGGGGGCTCCCCCTTATCCCTCACCGGGCGTCCCGGGACCGGCCGAGCTCACCTCCAGGTAGTTCTGGACCCCGATGGCGCGCTGAGTGCCCCTGACGGCCGCGACCCCGCTGCGGGCAGAGGCGGGCGGAGGTTATCGGGGGCGCCCTGCCCTGGGGTCTCGGCCGCCCTGTGAGGCCAGAGCCGCTTCCGCCCCCGAACGTTTGCAAACCGCGTCCGGAGACATCCGCTTGCCCGCCCGCGCCCTCCTTCCCGCCTCCGCCCGGGCCACGTGGCGCCCGTCGCTGCGCCTGGGAAACTTACTTAAAGTCGGTGCCCACGTACTGGAAGTACACAAGGTAGCGCGCGCGCACCGAGCCTGCGGCCTGCACCGAACCCATAGCCGAGTCCAGCCGGCGGCGGGGGAGGCGGCCTCCAGCTCCCGGGTTCTGCGCGCGCGCACGCAGCCTGCTCACGCCCCCGCCCCCCCCCGGACGCTCTTGCGCCTGCGCAGTCTCCCCGCCCCGCAACGCGCCACGGCGGCCTGGGGCGGGGAGCGGAGGCGGGGTCGGGCTTAGGGAGCGGTTGCAAAGTGCCGGCCCGTCGCCGAGCGCAGGGGCTCTACCTCTACCGCGGCGCCCCGGAAGGCGCGCCCGCAACTACGCGGTGACCCCGCGCTCCCGCGGGCGTGCATTCGTTCCCTCGTTCATTCATTCGCCGCCTCCCACACTCCCCGAGGGTGCCCGTTCGCCGCGTTGCGGCCAAGTCCTCCCAGACGTGGTTTTCGCAAACGCCCTGAGTTGCGCAACGGCCGGGATGGCTGGAGCGGGCGGGGCCCGCGCCCTCCCCGCGCCCTCCCCGCGCCCCACGTTTCCACCGACCGTCCCCGAAGTCTGCCGTGGCGGGCCCCGCCTCACTTCCGGACCGGGGTGGTCCCTGGACGCTGCGAGGGGCGTTTGGCGACGCTCCCCGGCGGTGATAGCGGGCGGCGCGCGCGGGCGGTGGACTTTGGCGACTCTCCCCGGCGGTGACAGCGGGCGGCGCGCGCGGGCGGCGAACTTTGGCGACGCTCCCCGGCGGTGACAGGCGGGGCGGGGCGCGGCGCGGCGGCCTCATTCCGGGACGGGCGGGCGCCGAGGCGGCGCGGGCGGGACGAGCGGTCCGGGCCGGCGCGGCTGCCGCTCGGCGCCGCGGTCCTCGTGCCAGTGAGCGCCGCGGCCGCCGCAGCCATGACCGTGGAGTTCGAGGAGTGCGTCAAGGACTCCCCGCGCTTCAGGTGCGCCGCCCGGGGCCGCCGGGGTGGGCGCGGGCCGGGGGCGTAGCTGCCGCCTTTGTGCCCGACGGCGAGGCGGGGAGGTCAGCGCCGGGCCCGGCCGGGCCGCGGCCGCCGGGGAGGAGCTGGAGGACCAACCTCGGACAAAGCGGCGACCCCGCCCCGCCATGCCCCGGGGGCTGGAACAAAGGACGCCCCTGCCCTGTGCGGCCGCCCCCCGGCGGAGGGCGTGCGCGTGGGCAGCCGTGGGCACCTCGGGACCGTCCGCCCCCGCTTTGTGTCTGCACCTCCACGGGGCTGAGCCCCTCCCGGGCCCTGCGGTCCAGCTTTGGCCAGGGTCGTCTGGGTCTGTGGGGGCGTCGGCCCCTGGTCTCTGCCTCGATCCTGTGTCCAGAGCAGTGCGTGGGGGACAGGCAACTGGAGCCGCGTTTAAGGCCTGGGGCAGGGTGCTTGGGAGCGTGAAGTGGTTTGAATGACCCGCTGGCTTAGAGGGTGGCGGCCGAAAAGAGCGGCGGGGAAGGTCAGGTAGGGGATAGGGGTTGTGTGCACCCCGAGTCTGCGTGTTTTCCGTCATTCCTGGCGTGCAGGCGTGCACACCTGCGTGAACCACATGTTCACAGACGTGTGCACAAGTGTGCATCGGCCTCGCATGGTGGATATTTGGCAAACGACAATGGAGGCAAAGAAACCAGAGTGCGCACCTGCGTGAGGCCCCCTCCTCTTCCAGTGCTTGTGCGGGGCGCACCCTTGTGAAATCTGCCCCTCTGTGCGCCTCCCTCGGGGCACCAGGCCTTGCACAGGACGTGTGGATGAGCTGTGCCACGGGGCTGTGCTTGCTTCTGCATGTAGCCTGCCGATGAGTGCGTGCAAGCATGTGCACACGCCACCTCTCTGTGCCGGTTCACGTACTGTGTTAGCCATATCACCAACAGACAGATCAGCTTGTACACGCATGTTCCCCCATTGGGTACACATGTTGATGTGTGCCTGTGCAGTCCTTGGACACACATGTATGTGTGGTGCCAGTGTGTGCAGGTATGTTCATGCATGAACGTGTTTGCACATGTGTGCTTGGTCGTGTGTGTGTGTGCGCGCGCGCGTGCTGGGTCTCTTGGGATCTGCTGGCAAGTCAGCCTGTGTAGGGGGGCACGGGGAGCTTCAGCATCCTTAGAGCTCTCACCAGAAGGCCTCAGGAGACTTGGAGTGGGAGGCTCAGGGCCAGCCAGGAGAGTGGCCCCCTGGCCCTGGGCAGAGGAACTGGGGCCATCCTCTGCTCTCCCATCTTCCGTTGCTGACCTGGGAAAAGGGGTTGGATAACTCAGGCACTCTACAATCCTGCGTTGGGGACCCGGGCTGTGGGGAGGCGTGGGCATGGCCTCCCTGCTGGGGGCTGGGCCCTGGCTGAAGCCCCTACTTTCTCCCTGGCCCCTCCCTCAGAAACCTAATGGACCTCCTCCATGCAGACCGCCCTGTGCTGCCCTTGCCCAGTCGTGGGGGGGTGCTGGAACCCACTCACCTCTGAGCCTTCCCTTGTAACCGGCTCTCACGGGAGCCGGTTACAGGAGCCAGTTATGGGGGCTGTGGGGCTGCAGTAGGTGCCGTAGGGCGGCCGCCCGGCCTTTTGCCGCAGGGGCTGCCCTGGGAAAGTGCCTAACCCCCGTGGGGCATGGACTGGAGTGGAGAGGTGAGAATGGCCTGGCCCAGTTGGTTTCAGGGTTATGCTGTGATTTAACTGGGGTTTGAGGGACTCCCAGAGGCTGTCCTGGGGGCGGGCCCTCAGGGTGTGACTTGAGTTTCCTGGCCTACCGCCAGGCTGAGGGCCAGGCAAGGTGGGCGAGAAGATGTGGTCTGTAATGTGGAACCTGGTCGCCCCAACCCTGGAAAGGGGGACCCTGCCTGCACCTTCCTGGTCTGGGAGGGCCTAGTGGCAGCCTGGGTGCGGTGGGCAGGGGGCCAGGGGAGCCTGTGGAGGGAACCGCCTGGCCTCTGTTCGGCGGGCGCTGAGTCACGGCTTTGGTTGGGGGGCAGCCACACCCTCCTCCCCATCCTCGGAGCTGCTGAGGAAAATCTGGGCTGAGCGCAGCAGAAGAGGCCTAGGTCCACTGGGGCGGAGGAGGGTAGAGCTGAGGGGCTCCCAGCAGCAGAAACTGCAGCTCTCGAGGCCTCTGCCAGTGCCCACCCTGTCCCCATGAGCACGTCCGTGAGCTGCGGGGTGCAGCCACCCCCCCTTGCTGGCTCTCCAGGGACACGGGTGCCCCAAGCCCAAGGGCGGCAGCTCTGGGTGCAGCTGTCTCTGCATCCGGCTCTGCCCAGGGGTGGCTGCAACTTCTGGGGTGTGGTTCTCTCTGCTGCCTTCTCCTGGGCGGATGGTTCGTTCTGTGTTCTGGGATCCTCCAGCTGAGGTAGAGATCAGGGTCCAGGGACTGTGGGCTGGGTGCGTGGACACCACAGTGAGGTTCCCTCCATTGCCCCTGCTTCGGGATTCAGAGTCCTCTTAGCCTCTTGGGAACAGGTGAGGGCTGCTCAGAGAGGACCTGGTGTCCTGCTGTGGTGACTGGGACCATTCAAGGTCCTTCCCCGGGGGGCGCCTGCGGCCCCAGCTCCTAATTGAGGACACGCCCCTGGAAACCACAGGCCCCTCCCCTGAGGCCCGGGACACGCGTCAGGCTAGCAAGGGATGAGGGACCGTAGGCCCCGATGGCCTCTGCTGCCGGACCCCTGCCCTAGACCTGTCCCTGGAGTCCTGGCCCCAGCCCAGGCCCTGTGGTGCCCAATCCCCGGGAGGCCAGATGGCCCGGCCGGCCAGTGAGCCGATTGTGTGGCGTGCGGGGCTGCCGGGATCCTGGCCCTGTTTCCCTTTTCCTGCTCCCGGAGGGGGTGGTCACGTGCCCGACCCATCTGCCTCCCGTCTTCCGGGGATTCTCCCGCCGAGGCTGCTCTGGTGATGTCATGCCTTAACTCTTCTCTCCCCAGGCAGCCCTACTCGCAGGCTGTCCTGGTGGGAGTGGGCTCTGAGGAGGACAGCCCACCCGTCTTCCCAGCGGACCGTGCCGCTTGCGGCTGTGAGGTTGGGGGAGCCAGGGGCGTCTCTCTCCAGCTGGTCTGGGTCCTGGTGCTGCCCCCCCGCTGTCCCACAGTGCACGGGTGCCAGACCTGGGTGGGCTGCAGTAGTGCAGAGGGGTGAGGAGCAGGCGCCGCAGGGTTGAGGGGGCTCCAGAGGGGTCCAGGGCTGACTCTGAAATCCTAGAGGAGCGGCCGGTGAGGCTGGCCGAGCCCTTGGTGGGCACCGTCCCTGAGGGACTCCCGGCAGCCGCTGTCCTGGGAGAGGCTGGTCCAACCTTCTTCCTTGAGGGCACAGCATCGGGAGTCACAGCCGATTCTGCCTCTCCCTGCCTGGGAGGGGGGTGGCGAGGGGAAGTGCGCTGAACCTGGTCCCAGTCCTGTCCGTGTAGCAGGCAGGCATCTGTCTCCCAGCCCGTTTTCTGAAAGGGCCTTCCCGGGGTGGAGCCCCTCAGGGAGGTGCAAGGGGAGGCGAAGCCCCGAGGGGGCCGAGGCTGCAGGTGACCCTAGCCAGCCCCGTTCTTGCTTTAGGGCAACCATTGACGAGGTGGAGACGGACGTGGTGGAGATTGAGGCCAAACTGGACAAGGTGAAGGGCGGGCCTGGAGCGCCCGGTGCCCGGCCAGGCTTGGGGATGGCTGCATGGCCGAACTCGCCCTCTGGGCCTTACTAAGCCACTTACACCCCCATATGCAGAGCTCCCATGTGGTGCTCCAGGTCCTGGTCCCTGTGTCTTAGCACGTGTGTTCCAGGGTGCACATGTCACACGCACACATGTGGCCGGCCCTGAGTCTCGTCCCATCTGGGAGGGGCCGGGCTGTGGTGAGTCCCCAACTCATGGTGGCCGCCTGTCCCCTCTGCTGGGCTGGTGACATGGGGACAGCTGCTGTGTAGGCCGAGCCTTGGTGTGGCTGGGGCTGGGGCGGAGAAAGGGGAGGGGGCAACAGGCCGTGGAGCTGGGAGCCGCAGCAGGGAGTCGAGTCCACAAGCCCCACATGGGCTGGTCCTGCTGGCCCTGGGTCCCCTGCCTGGCTCCTGGACCCTCCCAGCCGAGCGAGGCCATGGCGGCCCCACCCTCCCCTCCCAGACCGGCCTCCAAGCCCCAGGCAGGCCCAGGCACAAGGAACCTGCACCGGGGCCCTGAGTCCTGGTTGCCAACACCCTCAGTGGAACCTACCCTGGAAGCTCTTCCTGCCTCAGAGGCTGTGCGTGGTAGCGAGTGCAGGCACCAGTGCCCGCCGTGCTCACCACGCCTGCCGGCCCGCAGCTGGTGAAGCTGTGCAGTGGCATGGTGGAAGCTGGTAAGGCCTACGTCAGCACCAGCAGGCTGTTCGTGAGCGGCGTCCGTGACCTGTCCCAGCAATGCCAGGGCGACACCGTCATCTCGGTGAGGGGAGAACTGACCTCTGACCTCAAGGTGGGGTAGGGGGAGAGGCCGAGGGAGGCAGCCCCTCAAGGGCATCCAGGCCAGGAGCAGGCCGGTGTCTCTACCGCCCAGGGGGCTCAGAGGGCGTGACTGGGTGACCTGGGCCTGGATTTGCCGTCTCAGCACGGCTCCCCATCTGCCCCTCTAGGAATGTTTGCAGAGGTTCGCTGACAGCCTGCAGGAGGTGGTGAACTACCACATGGTGAGCCTGGCCTCCCTGCCACCCGCGGGCCGCGCGCAGCCTGGAACCGAGCTCTGCTGGTCACTGGAAGACCAGCATGGGCCGGGCGGGCACGTTTCTGCTCCTCCCGTCTGGTGGGGGGGCATCCCACGTCTTCAAGTCAGTGTGGGTTGGGGGACAGCCCTGGGGGCTCTGCCGTGTCCCAGGGAAGGGCTACACCAGACCCTGGGGGAGGGGTGGTTTATCCAGGGCTCTCATTCCAGGCTGGCCTGGCTGCCATTTGGGTCTGGGTGGCCCCAGGGGCCCTGGCACTGACGTGGATGGACACACAGGACAGGCACCCATGAGATGTGGGGCCGCAGCCTGGGAACCTGAGCCACAGACTGAACAGGGGAGGTTCCGACGTAGACCAGGCAGGACGGCTCAGGCGTCCCTTTGCTCCTGGTTATGCCCGGTCCTTCTGCACCTGATTCAGAGCCCAGGCTCCGGCTCCCCAGGCCCAGCTCTAGGGTGCTCCCGGCTCTGACCGAGTGCTCCCTGCTGCAGGGATGGGCACCCCAGGGTGGCCACCCAGGGCCAGGAGGCATTGGGGCTCAGGCTGTGTCCTTGGTGCCCGCCTGATGAAGGGACCATCCGAGGCAGCCTTGGCCTCTGTCAAGGGCCGGGTGGGACAGAGGGGCAGGGGTCACAGCCGCCACCTGTGGGTGCCAACTCAGGCCTGGGGGCTGCTCCCCTGACCCCCTTGAGGCCAGCCCTGCAGGGTGGGACCCGCCCCTGTGTCTGGGCCTGGGGGCAGTGCCCTCTGCTGGTGAAGATGGGGCCTTCCGTCTGGGGCTTTTTTGGGACAGACCCCAAGGGTCTCTGCCCCCTTCTGCCCCCAGATCCTGTTTGACCAGGCCCAGAGGTCCGTGCGGCAGCAGCTCCACAACTTTGTCAAAGAGTGAGTGGCCCCCAGGCCCAGGTCCCCCAGGGCTGGGGGAAGAACACGGAGGCCACGCTCCCGCTCTTGGAGGGGAAGAGGGTCTGGGGCAGAGCAGGGGCACCTTGGCCCCAGGCCTCCAGGCCGTGAGCGACTCCACAAGGCAGAAGGCTCAGAGGTAGACAGCCGAGTGGAGCTCAGTGGGGTTCCACACCCTGCATGTGTTGGGGGCGTGTCCAGCCCCCTGCCAGTGGAGAGGTGCAGGCCACATTGGGCTTGCGTGTCTGGAGTCTGGGGCATGGTGGGGGTCTGGGCAGATCCTGATAGTGAGGTGGGGAGGCCTGGAGCAGATGGGAGGAGGCAGCAGGGGTGTGGGGGGCCTGGGATAGGCCAGTGAGGAAGGAGGCTGTGCCCAGGAGCAGAGAAAGGGCCTGGAGTGGAGGAGGGTGAGGTCCTGGAGTGGAGGAGAGTGGGGGCCTGGAGTGGAGGAGGGTGAGGACTGGGCACGGTGGCTCACACCTGTAATCTCAGTATTTGGGAGACTGAGTCCAGAGGATGCCAGGAGTTTGAGACCAGGCTGGGCAACATAATGAGGCCTCCATCTCTACAAAAAGAAAAAAAAAAAGAAAAAATATATATTAGGTGGGCATGGTGGCACGCGCCTGTGGTCCCAGCTACTCAGGAGGATGAGGTGGGAGGATCAGTTAAGTTCAGGAGGCGGAGGCAGCAGTGAGCCATGATTGTGCCACTGCACTCCAGCCTCCAGCCTGGGCAACAGAGAGAGACCCTGTCTCAAACAAACAAACAAAACCAGGCCAGGCGCAGTGGCTCATGCCTGTAATCCCAGCACTTTGGGAGGCCGGGGTGGGCAGATCACCTGAGGTCGGGAGTTTGAGACCAGCCTGACCAACCTGGAGAAACCCCTTCTCTACTAAAAATACAAAATTAATCAGGCATGGTGGCACACGCCTATAATCCCAGACGCTAGGGAAACTGAGGCAGGAGAATTGCTTGAACCCGGGAGGCAGAGGTTGCAGTGAGCCAAGATAGCACCATTGCACTCCAGCCTGGGTGACAAGAGCGAAACTCCATCTCCAAAAACAAAAAACACAAACAATGATGTGGGAGACTCCAGGATCCAGCAGGTGCCCTCCCTGACCTCTGGGTGCCCTCCCTGACCCTACCTGGCACTTGGCCTCCAGGGATGTGCGGAAGTTCAAGGAGACAAAGAAGCAGTTTGACAAGGTGCGGGAGGACCTGGAGCTGTCCCTGGTGAGGAACGCCCAGGCCCCAAGGCACCGGCCCCACGAGGTGGAGGAAGCCACCGGGGCCCTCACCCTCACCAGGAAGTGCTTCCGCCACCTGGCACTGGACTACGTGCTCCAGGTCAGCCCCGGAAATGGGGTGGGGGACGGGGACCAGCTGTAGCGAATGGAGGTCTCAAAGGCCTTGTACAGAACTGGAGAGATTTTGAGCAGAAGTGTCAATTCCTGCTTCACCCATGGGTGGGACCTCCAGACATGGGGAAGGACTCCAGGACCATGGGAGGATGAGGCTGGCCCAGTGCTGGGAGCTGAAGACGACCTGGGGGTCTCAGGGAACCACAAGCAGCTCAGGTGGACTCTATGGCAGGTGCAGGGCTTGGGGCTGCCTCAGCCTCCAGGGCTCACCTGTGGGCTCCCCCTCTGGCAGATCAATGTCCTGCAGGCCAAGAAGAAGTTTGAGATCCTGGACTCTGTGAGTGCGTGGGGGCTGCCCATGAGCACAGGCTGCATGGCGGGGGCTGGACCGGGTGTGCTTGGGCCTCACCTGTGCTGCCCCCGCAGATGCTGTCCTTCATGCATGCCCAGTCCAGCTTCTTCCAGCAGGGCTACAGCCTCCTGCACCAGCTCGACCCCTACATGAAAAAGCTGGCGGCTGAGGTGAGCCTTTGGGAGGGGTGGGGCCAAGGCAGGCCTCCGTGGCCTTCCCTAATGCCAACCCCAACAGCTGGACCAGCTGGTGATCGACTCTGCGGTGGAAAAGCGTGAGATGGAGCGAAAGCATGCAGCCATCCAGCAGCGGGTGAGGCCACGCAGCCGGCTCCCTCCTCACCCCACGCCCGGCACACCCTCCCCGCCCCTTCCTCCCTGCCTGTCCCCCACCTGCCCTGCCCAGGCGCCCTGCGTCCTCACCCCACGCCCGGCACACCCTCCCCGCCCCTTCCTCCCTGCCTGTCCCCCACCTGCCCTGCCCACACCTTCTCTAGGGGTCCGAGGCTGCTGCCCTTTGATGCGTGCAGTGGAGGGGCACGTGTGGGTGGGGCCGCTGCTGGGATCTCCTTCCTCTGCGGCCGTGGTCACCTCTGCGGCCTCAGTCACTGGCTCCCTGCGGGGCCTCTGCTTGCCTGTGGGACAGCAGCCCCGGCCACCACCCAGAGCAGATGTTGGCTGCAGGCAGGAGTGGCTATTTTGGGATAGGGGAGAGCCCCCAGGAGTTGGGGATGGGTCCGCCAGTCACCAGGAGTTGGGGGCAGCTGTCACTCACTGGCTCTCTCCCCCGCATCCCTCCTGCTCCGGCCCTTCAGACGCTGCTGCAGGTGAGTGAGCACTGCCCCGGGGGGGCTGTGGGTCGGGGGAGACCAGATGGGGTGGTGCTTTTCCCTCCCCTACCCCGAGGGCACTTCAGCACCAAGGACACCTCCCACCGGTCTCAGGGCTCCTGCTGCTGCTGCAGCTGTGAGAAAGGCTGGCTCCGGCCAGACCCCCACATCCCCCGTGGGAGTGGCGGCAGCTGTCCCTTCCCGCCCCACGTGGCCTAGGGAGCAGGTGGCCGCGCCTCCCCTCTGCTGCCCTGGCCTGCCAGACGGCAGGACACACAGGGCCTTCAGTGGCTCCCAGGCCTCCTGAATGGGGCTCTGTCCGCTCAGCTGGCCACATGAATGGAGCACTCAGGATGCAGAGGGTGGGGGGGCAGCTTCCTTCCTGATCGCAGCCTGCTTGTCCCTGCAGGGCTGGGGTGGGGCTGGCACTCTCGGGCCCCCAGCTGTGAACGTGAAGGGTCTGCCCCACGAGTTTCAGGGCTGGGGGCCTTGCTGCAGTCAAGAAGTGGCTATGGGCCGGGCGCGGTGGCTCACGCCTGTAATCCCAGCACTTTGGGAGGCTGAGCGGGCGGATCACGAGGTCAGGAGATCGAGAACATCCTGGCTAACACGGTGAAACCCCGTCTCTACTAAAAAATACAAAAAAATTAGCCGGGCGTGGTGGTGGCGCCTGTGGTCCCAGCTTCTAGGGAGGCTGAGGCAGGAGAATGGCGTGAACCCGGGAGGTGGCGGAGCTTGCAGTGAGCAGAGATTGCGCCACTGCACTCTAGCCTGGGCGACAGAGCGAGACTCTGTCTCAGAAAAAAAAAAAAAGAAGTGGCTGTGGTGAACAGAGGGTCTCCCGTATGAGCGTGTGGCCCGTGGGCCATGTGGCAGCCTCAAACAAGGACCTCACCCAGCCAGTGCTCTGGGAAAGCACAGAGGGTAGCAGGGCTCCCTGGGGCGGGCACTCAGGGGGCGGGTTCCATCCCTCCAGGACTTCTCCTACGATGAGTCGAAAGTGGAGTTTGATGTGGATGCACCCAGTGGGGTGGTGATGGAGGGTTACCTCTTCAAGAGGGCCAGCAACGCTTTCAAGACGTGGAACCGGTGAGGGCCCTTCCTCAGGCGGGGGCAGGGGTCACAGCGGCCCTGGGATGGGCACCGTCTGACTCCCCACATCCCCCCACCCGCCTAGGCGCTGGTTCTCCATTCAGAACAGCCAGCTAGTCTACCAGAAGAAGCTCAAGGTGTGCCCTGGGCCTGGGACTGGGGCCCTGATGGCTGGATGCCCCACCTGGGCCACAGGGCAGACTGGTCAGTTGGGGTTGGCATGGGGCTGGGGCACTAGTGGACACCGGAGCCTGAACGGTCAGGGAGCAGAGAGCTGGACACGGGGCTTGGGACTCGGGCAGTCAGCCTCTGGGTCTCTAAGGTGAAGCAGGAAGTGGGTGGTCGGGGCTGGGTGGCGGCTGAGGGCAGGGGCCACAGCAGTGCCGCCCACAGGACGCCCTCACCGTGGTGGTGGATGACCTCCGCCTGTGCTCTGTGAAGCCATGTGAGGACATCGAGCGGAGGTTCTGCTTCGAGGTGGTGTCACCCACCAAGTGAGGAGGTCCAGCCCAGGGTGAGGCGGGGGGCGTAGCTGCCCACCGGAGCTGACGCCCACCCCCTCCGCCACCCACAGGAGCTGCATGCTGCAGGCCGACTCCGAGAAGCTGCGGCAGGCCTGGGTCCAGGCTGTGCAGGCCAGCATCGCCTCCGCCTACCGCGAGAGCCCTGACAGCTGCTATAGCGAGGTGTGGCCCTTGGTGCCCCTGCCCGACGCCTGTGCACACACCTGTTTGTGGCTCCTGCAAGCTGGGTGTTTGCTGTGGGTGCACTGGCACACTGGCCTGTGCGGTGTGGGTGTGCATGTGTGTGCAGGTGGCATCTGCCCACATGAGGGTGTGCACGCATACATGCTTGTGCAGGCGTGTGCTCGAGGGGCCCTGGCCTGCACCTGCACTTCCGGCTGGGGAGGAGGGGACCTGCTGGGGAAACCACGCTAGAGCCCCTGCGGGACTGAGCAGCCCCACCCCATCCCCCAGAGGCTGGACCGCACAGCATCCCCGTCCACGAGCAGCATCGACTCTGCCACCGACCCTCGGGAGCGTGGCGTGAAGGGCGAGAGTGTGCTGCAGCGTGTGCAGAGCGTGGCCGGCAACAGCCAGTGCGGCGATTGTGGCCAGTCGGACCCCCGCTGGGCCAGCATCAACCTGGGCGTGCTGCTCTGCATCGAGTGCTCTGGCATCCACAGGTGGGCCCCTGAGGGGATTGGGGTTGGGCCGGAGCTAGGGGCCTTGCCTCACCCAGACTCACCCCTGCCTCTGCCCTCCAGGAGCCTGGGTGTCCACTGCTCCAAAGTCCGGTCCCTGACGCTGGACTCATGGGAGCCAGAGCTGCTAAAGGTGTGTGTGGGACTCCTGCAGGCCATGGGACCCCCTTTGTGGGGGCGGGAGCCGGGGTCTGCAGGTTTGCACTGATGCCTGCTCGCCCTGTCTCCCACCAGCTGATGTGTGAGCTTGGAAACAGAGCCGTGAATCAGATCTATGAGGCCCAGTGTGAGGGTCCAGGCAGCAGGAAACCCACAGCCAGCAGCCCCCGGTGAGGTGGGGTACAGTCTGGATCAGCCAGGGAGCCCCAGCCTGTGGCACAGCCTCATGTTCACCCCTGATCCAGGCAGGACAAGGAGGCCTGGATCAAGGACAAATATGTGGAAAAGAAATTTCTGCGGAAGGCACCCATGGCACCAGCCCTGGAGGCCCCAAGACGCTGGAGGGCACAGAAGTGCCCACGGCCCCACAGCTCTCCCCGCGTCCCCACTGCCCGCCGCAAGGTCCGGCTTGAGCCTGTCCTGCCGTGTGTGGCTGCTCTGTCCTCAGGTGGGAGGCCATGCCCCGGCAGGGCTGAGAGGGGCTTGCCTGGGTCGGGGATGGACTCCGTTAAGGGGTTGGGGGCAGGGGCTCTGGGGGCACCTCAGGCTCCGCAGACTCCCACTGTGACCTGGGGTTCTCTGCCCCACCCCGGGCATGTTCCCTGCTCTGAACACGCACTGCCCCTGCAGTGGGCACCCTGGATCGTAAGTTCCGCCGAGACTCCCTCTTCTGCCCCGACGAGCTGGACTCACTCTTTTCCTACTTCGACGCAGGGGCCGCGGGGGCTGGCCCTCGCAGTAAGTGTGGGATGGGCCCAGCCAGGTGGCAGGGCAGGGCCAAGGAGGCTGGCCTGGAGGGTGCCCAAGTGTGGATGGCCCTTGCAGGGGAATAGAGCAGCATCTGGAGGGGCGGGGGCCTCCTGGCCACAGAGCTGGAGGCCGAGGCCCTGACTGTGGGGGTGAGCTGTGCAAATGTGTGTGTGGGCTGTGTGCACCCCGGTGTGTGTGTGGAGTGAATGGCCCGGGGTGCTGGGGCAGCAGAAGGCACTGCCAGCTGGCCTTCAGCCTGGGACCCTTCTGAGGCCATGCTGCCCATCCGTTGGGTGGAGACTTTTCAGCCTGGGCCAGCCACAGACAGGGATGGGGGCCCACTGCAGGGGTGCAGGTGAGCCTGAGGGCGGGGGGACGGACTTCCCCGCGGGCCTGGGCTTTAGGGGACTACCCCTGGCACCTTTGAGCTGTTACTTGGTTTTCTCTCCTTTGATCCTAGCCTGCGGCTGGCTCCCCCCGGCCCTGGGTGGGAGCTGCTCCTGTCCCTAGGGGTTGCCCCTGGAGGGTAGGTGGGGTTCCAGCTTTGCCCCAGGGCTCTGCATGGAGTTGGGGCCTCCCACCTTCAGGACTCCCTTCCCTGCGGACCTGCAGGTCTGAGTAGCGACAGTGGCCTTGGGGGCAGCTCGGATGGCAGCTCGGACGTCCTGGCTTTCGGCTCAGGCTCTGTGGTGGACAGCGTCACTGAGGAGGGTGGGTGGCACCTTGCGCTCGGCCGACGCCCCTGCCCAGCCCCCGGGCAGCCCCGGGGGTCGCCTTTCCTGACCGCCCCCTCCCCACAGAGGGTGCGGAGTCCGAGGAGTCCAGCGGTGAGGCAGACGGGGACGCTGAGGCCGAGGCCTGGGGCCTGGCAGATGTGCGTGAGCTGCACCCGGGGCTCCTGGCGCACCGCGCGGCGCGTGCCCGCGACCTTCCTGCGCTGGCGGCGGCGCTGGCCCACGGGGCCGAGGTCAACTGGGCGGACGCGGAGGATGAGGGCAAGACGCCGCTGGTGCAGGCCGTGCTAGGGGTGAGCGAGGCACGGGGGCTGCGCGCAGGACACAGGCGCACACTTGAGGTTGCATCTTCTGTGGCCCCCACACAGAGGCCGCCTGTCCGCGGTGGGGACAAGTTCGGTCCCGGCTGGGGACGCCCAAGGCCGGGGTCAGGGTGCAGAGGCGCTGCGAGGGGCCGGTACCGCGACTCCGTCTTAGTCGCCCGGCTCCCCAGGGCTCCTTGATCGTCTGTGAGTTCCTGCTGCAAAACGGAGCGGACGTGAACCAAAGAGACAGCCGGGGCCGGGCGCCCCTGCACCACGCCACGCTGCTGGGCCGCACCGGGTGAGGCGCGCAACCCGCGCCCCGCCCCGCGCCCCGACCACGCCCACCCGCCCCGATCACGCCCCAGCCTGGCCACCTCCTGCCCGGCCACGCCCCGCGACCACACTCGCCCCGCCCTCCCTGCTCAAGCTCTGACGCGCCCTCCGCCCTCGTCCCTCAGCCAGGTTTGCCTGTTCCTGAAGCGGGGCGCGGACCAGCACGCCCTGGACCAAGAGCAGCGGGACCCGTTGGCCATCGCAGTGCAGGCGGCCAACGCTGACATCGTGACGCTGTGAGCGGGGCCGGGTCCTCGGGGCTGGGCGGGGCCTGCGGGCCGGGCGGGGCCTCCAGGGCAGGGGCGGGGCCTGCGGGCGGGGTGGGGCCTCCAGGGCAGGGGCGGGGCCTCCAGGGCAGGGGCGAGGCCTCCGGGCGGGGCGGGGCCTCCAGGGCAGGGGCGGGGCCTCCAGGGCGGGGTGGGGCCTCCAGGGCAGGGGCGAGGCCTCCGGGCGGGGCGGGGCCTCCAGGGCAGGGGCGTTACATGCAGCATCTCCCCGCAGGCTCCGTCTGGCGCGCATGGCGGAAGAGATGCGCGAGGCCGAGGCTGCCCCGGGTCCCCCGGGTGCCCTGGCGGGCAGCAGCCCCACGGAGCTCCAGTTCCGCAGGTGCATCCAGGAGTTCATCAGCCTCCACCTGGAGGAGAGCTAGGGCCGGGCAGGCCGGGCAGCTGCTACCCCGCCCGGCCCGACGCCCCGCATGCCCCGAAATCCCCGGCGCCCCACCCGGCCGCGGCCCTGCCTGTGACCCGGGTCGATGCGTGGCAGCCCCAGTGCCGGGGCGCCCCGGCCCCGCTCTCCCAGGAGGAGAGCGAGGGCCCCACACTAAGTCTCTTGAAGCCTCACATTTCCCTGGGGGATGCTGCGTCATCGGGTGCCCCTCACCCCACCCGGGGAACCTCTATCTTCAGGTCACCCCTTTTAAGGGTCCTGGGTTGCTCATGTCATAAGCCACTCTCAAGGCCCGTGTCACTCTGTCCTCAGGGCCCGTGTCACTTCGTGCCCCACTTCTGCCCAGAACATTGATCTAGCTGGGTCCCTCCTGCACACCCCAGACCCCCTCCCAGGGCAGAAAGGGTGGCCTATCCAGGGAACCAACGAGTACCTCACTTAGTGACCCCAGCATCCAGGCTGGTGTCGCGGGTGCTGGGCGGGAGGGGCTCCGGCCTGGGTCCTCAGCCCTGGCTGGACGCGGGCGTCCCAAGGCCACATGGCTGGCCATGAAGGTCCCTGTGCCAGACAGCCCCAGCCTCGTCCCAGCCTCCTCTGGAGGCACCTTCTCCTGGTACTCGGCCCAGAGCCTGTGCATAAAGCCACTTTGCCACTTTGCAGCCCGCATCTCACGTTCTTTGTAGCAGACTGAGGGGGTTTGCTACAGGCCTCGTCTGACTTTGTCTTGCGTCTTTTCTCTGTGGACTCTTGAGGACGCCTGAGCCCCAGCCCTGCCCCTGGCCAGCTTCACCCTTGGGTCCAGGGGTCTCTCAGTTCATGTTGCAGGGCCTGCCAATGCCTTCACGCACCCCTTCCCCGAAGGCGCCCTGCAGAGAGGCGGGGCCTCCCCAGCTCGGCCCCAGGTCAGGCTAAGGCCAGTCACTATGCAATGCTGCCCCCGGGAGGCTCCATGAGGGCACAGTGGGCGCTGGACCCGGCCCCTCAACACTCTTGCCTGCTGCCTGTGACCCTGAAGAACAGAACTGATTCTTGCTCCTCTCCCTGTGTGAGCTTGGCCCCACGACCTGCCCCAGGCCCCTGCTGCCGGGCCTTACCCCAACCCCTCGCTTTGAATAAACCGCTTGCGCCCACTGCCTGCTCCTGGGCTCCTGTGCCTCGCTCTGCTCTGTCTCCGGGGAGTGTCTGCGTCCCCTGCCCTCCCCAGAGGGCATTCCTGAGCCAGGTAGCACTTGAGTCAGACTCCAACAGGCTGCACGAGGCCTGATGGGGCCTGAGGCTTCTTTGACAAAATCTGGCTCCTGATGCCCCTGGCCCCCATTGTCTCACCCCTCTACCCTTCTCTGTCCTAGACTGAGTCCCCTGGTGGGAAGAGGGGTGTTGGGGTCAGGGCCAGGGGCCATTGGACGCGAACCGGCAAGGCTAGGCTGGGGCTGGTCCTGTCCTGGGCCCTGTGCCCAGGGAGGCGCCAGGTGCAGTCAGGGTTTCAGCTCACCCGGGACAGGACGGGTGGCTGGAGGGGCGCACAGGCACACACTGGCCACCAGGTGGAGTCCACAGCTTTATTTCAGAGCAGCCCGTGTGGGCGTGGGGGCCCCGCCTTGCCTTCTGCCTCCCCCCAGCTGAGGCAGCGATTGACACACGCACATAGGTGCATCAGACGTGTGGATGTGCAGAGACACACACGGAGCATGGGCACATCACCATGTGTCAGCACCTCCAGCTGCACTCGTGTGCACTCAGGAAGCCCCCTCCACCCTGGGCCTCCTTCAGACCCGCCCCAGGCAGGGTGGGTGGTTGACCAGAGGCGCTGACATGCCCAGCGCCCTGCCTCCCCACGGCCGCGCGTGCTGCTTCCTCGGCCACTGGATGACCTGGGAAGGCCCTGCAGCCGCTGGTCGGGCCCACCCTGGGCCACTGGGGAGCTTGCTGCTGCCACAGCTCCAAGGACCAGGCCGAGAGATCACACAGCCCTGGCAGGTCTGGTTCAGGTGTCCAGAGTCTCATGGGGCTGGGGCCCAGCCCAACTCTCTTCAGCTGAGACTCTCTCCAGAGCCCCTGGAAGCATCATCTGTGGGAGATGAGGCCCGCTGGGCCCCAGGTTGTCTGACGTCGCACCTGCAGGCGTGGGCATGTGACTGGCCTCTGGCTTGATGTTGGATGCCCCTGAGGCAGGGCTGGCTCTGGGCCAGGACAACCACACCCTGCGGAGCCGGCGTCCGCCCAGCAACAGGGTGAGGGCCAAAGTGTCAAGCAGCAGCTCCAGGAGCTCCAGGAGGGAGAGGACGGAGGCCCCAAACCACAGGCTGCAGAGGCTGCCCATGGCTGAGAGCAGCTGCGGCACCTGAGGGTGGGGTGGGGTATGAGGGGTGGGCCTGGGCCCCGTGCCCCTTCTGTGCGGGGCCAGCCACTGGCCCCGCCCCCACCCTAGCCCAGGCTGGGGGCCGAAGCTCACCGAGTACACGGGCGCCTCCTCCACCGAGCGGTAGTTGAGCTCCTGGTAGACAATGTTGATTTTGGCCAGGTTGCTCCTGGGGCAGGATAGAGGCATGAGGGTGCTGGCCCAGACCTTCATGATGGGGAGGGGGGCTGTAAGGGGAGAGGGGCTGGGATGCCCCTCTGGAGGGTGAGGGTGCACTCACCTCTGTCTGTGGCTCTGACGTGGCAGCCCCTGTTCACCAAGCGCAGCCAGAGTCCAGCCCTGCTGGGAGCCGGGAAGGTTTGCTGTGGCCACGGCTCCCCCATGCCCCCAGCCATCCCGGGTACCATGGGTGGGTGTGGGGGCAGAGACCACAGGGCACAGGCTAGGTCAGCCCCGGCCCTGCCCTTGTCTTGGGTGGCCTCCGTGGGTCCTGTGGGGTCTGCCTGACTGTCCACACCCCCACCCCACCCCTTTGGGGACTCACAGCCGACTTGGCGGAAGGCCACCTGGAGGTCCCAGAGGAGAGCTTGAATGCAGACTCCCTGGAAGAGACAGCCGGGGCGTCACCTGCCAGCTGCTCCGGGCAATGACCCCTGGCCCTGACCCCAACACCCCGTCTCACCTGCAGGGCCTGGGGCAGCGGGAGGTACAGGGGAGCCGGTGGGTCTCCAGGTCCTGGTAGAGGCGGTAGAAGCAGTGTCCTGGGGGAGGGGTCAGGGGCATGTGTGAGGCTTGCCATGACCCCCGGCTCATGGCTGGCAGAGCGGGAGGCAGTGGGCAGGACTCACCCCAGGCAGGGTGCCGGGCAGAGCTGCAGTGCTCAGCCCCCGTCGGCAGCGGGTAGAGGTAGTAGCCACAGGAGCAGGTCTCCACCATCAGCTGCTGGAAGCAGGACACCAGGCAGGTCTGGGGACACGGGGGATGGAATGGGGACATGGGGGACAGAGCAGGGACACGGGGGATGGAGTGGGGACACGGGGGACGGAGCGGGGACACGGGGGATGGGAGTTGGAGTGGGGACAGGAGTTGGAGTGGGGACAGGGGGGATGGAGACACGGGGGACAGAGTGGGGATACAGGGGATGGAGTGGGGACACGGGGGACAGAGCTGGGACACGGGGAATGGAGTGGGGACATGGGGGATGGGGGACCAAGTGGGTATACGCGGGACGGAGCTGGGACACGAGGGACAGAGGGACAGAGCGGGGACATGGGGGATGGAGTAGGTACACAGGGGACGGAGTGGGGGCCTCCATGGGGACTGCCCCTTTCCCAGGCCCTCCGGTACCCTCCCAGACCCCTCCCCCAGTCTCCCCGTGCCCCCCGTCAGCCCAGCCTCACCCCCCTCGCGCCCCCCAGCCCAGCCTCACCTGCCTGGTGTAGGAGGTGTTGTGTAGCAGCTCCACCTCCACGCCCTCCCCGCCTGACGTGCAGTGGCTGTAGGGCTTCCCGAGCCGGTGCACCTCATCCTGGGAGGGGACGCTTCAGTTCCAGGGGCCCTGCCCCCACCCCCCAAAGCCCAGGTTGGGCAGGAGGCCCGGGCCGGAGGTGGGCTGCAGAGACCGGCTCACCTCTCGGATGCTGATGGTGGCCTCCGTCCCTGGCCGGACGCTGAAGCTGTGGTACCCCAGGAAGGGCGTGTGGTTACGGCCGTGAACCATGACCTTGACGCCGGCCCTCGTGGACAGCAGAGGGAGGTGAGGCTGCTGCTCAACCCTGAGGACGAGGCCGATTCCTGGGAGGCCGAGAGCTGGTGTGAGGCCACCTGACCTACACCGCTGCCCCCACACCGGCCAGGGGCTGGCACTCACCGTGGGTGATGCCAGGGCGCTGAGCTGTCCAGACACCGTCAACCGTATAGCAGCTGCCATAGGTGGGGTGATGGAAGGTCCGGAACTGCCTGGTATGAGACGCCGAGCTCAGACCCTGAACGTTGGCCACCTGCATCCATCACGCTGGTCTGAGGGGCCGTGGCCAGCCTTGGGGGGCTCCCAGCGTTCAGCCCGAGGAACCCCAGGGGTGTGGCCATGCTCTGGGGTGCGGGATGGAGGGAGTGGCCCCCGCCCGCCGCACTCACCGGGCCTGGCAGTCCACGCCGTCGTAACTGCAGGAGAGGACAAAGTGGCCGTCCTGGCGCCCGTGGCTGTCCTCCCACACCTCGGGCAACAGGGCTAGGATGTCCACATAGTGGAAGCGGTACCAGTCCTGCACGGCCGCCACGCCGGACGCGTAGCTGCGGTAGAAGCAGTCGCCGCCCGTGCTGTTGCACTGGGGGAGGGGAGGGAGGGTCAGCTCTGTGGCCAGCAGCAGTCCGGGCCCCGCTCCCCACTCGAGGCCCTGATGGCCACAGGCCCTGGCTGGGACACTCACCAGTCTGAACCCCACTCTGCCCCGGCTGCCCGAGTGGCTCAGCCTCTGTAGACGGATCTCCCGGTCCAGGTGGAAGCGCGGCTCGCGGCGGGGGACGGCGGCGGAGAGCGCGTCTCTGCCTTTGCTGAAGTTGACCTTGTACAGGGAGTCGATGTTCTCCCTGGCAAACTCGTCCAGCAGCTCCAGATGGCGGAGGACCAGCCTCGGCCTGGGAAGCAGGGCCCTGGAGTCAGAGTCACCGGCCCGGGGGCCCCACATTGGCTCCAGCATCCCAGTGTATGCTGTCGGGACAGCAGTGCCTCCCCCACTCAGGATGCCCAGCGGGGTGAGCTGGACCCGGAGCTGGAATTGGAGGTCGGCCCCAGAGTCCGGCCTGCTCACAGCCCCTCCCATCTTCCCTCCTTCTGGAACGCTCCACCCTCCCCCACCTCTCCTCCCAGGCTCCCGAGGCCCGGTGTCCCTCCAGGGTGGCACTGACCACACCGAGCCCCCTCCTCGGCTACAGGGGCCAGTGGGGCTTTGGTCAGGGACGGTCACAGGGGCGAGGAGCTGGGGCGGCCACCCCTCCCGCCGACAGCCCCACGATAGCCCTCACCGGCGTGGGTTCCCGTCACACAGGGTGACCAGCGGGAGCAGCTTGCGCTCTGAGTGCACAGAGACGGCCATGAGGACCGGGCGGTGCCAGTGATGCTCCAAGAGGTGCCCCAGCTGCCAGCAGAGTGTGACCAGGGCTCCCAGGAACAGCAGCCCCCAGGACGTCGTCTTGAGGCGGTTCCTGCTGGAGCAGACCAGGCGGATGGTACCATGGATGGTGGCGTTGGTGCAGAAGAAGGTGAGCAGCTCCCGGAACGAGGCGGGCAGCTCCACCAGCCCCTCCTGGTGCCCCTCCTTGGGCGGCAGCGGTGGTGCTGATGGTGGCCCCAGCCTGGGGGGCGTCTGGGCTGCACCCTGCGTGTAAAAAGCGACCTCAGCAGGGCCCAGCCTGCAGCCACTCAGGCCTCCCCACCCTGGCCTGTCGTGTCCCTCAGCCACCCGTGCCCCGCCCTGCCTGCTTGGTTGCTCGGACAAGCCCCTCGCAGGGTGCTCCCACGCTGCGCCCTTCTCCCCGGATACACCCGCCCTGGTACGTGTTAGTGTAGGAGCTGAGTTTGAGTTTGAGCTGCTGGGGCAGCAGGACTCAGAGAACAGAGTGTCCAGGCCCTGCCTGGCCCTGTTTGCAGGCAGGGTTGCGCTGAGTGGGTCTGTGCTGCCGTCCCTACAGGTGGCCTCTGGGGAGCCACAGGCCCAGGTGATCCACCCAAAAGGCAAGGACTGTAGCGTGTCCATGGGCCCAGCATGGGGGTCTGGGGCCCTGGGGAAGACTTGCCCTTCTTGCCCCTGATGGCTGCACCTGCCCCAGCCCCCAGTGTGGCCTGCTGAGGACTGACTGTGCCAGGCCCGTCCAGCCAAGTCCGGGAAGCGTCTGGCCCGGACACTGCTTGGCACTGTGGCCCAGGGTGGCCCCACTGAACTGAATGCCGAGGCGGGCTGTGGAGACACAAGGGCCCCAGGAAACCCAGCCACTGCCTGCCCAGTCCTGTGCTGGAGGCTCTGGGGTCCTGGGATAGGCCCAGCTCCCGCAGCCAGCTGGGAGGGGCCGCAGATGTGCGGATTCACACCACGACGACTCCTTCAGGATTTTCACACTGTCCGTCTTGGTCTGGGTCTGTGAGGCTTCAGCCCTGTCCCACTGCCCAGGCCTGCACTGAGTACTCTGGGGAGGTGCTAGAACGAGCCAGAAGCTTCGGGGCCTGCGGACACTGGGTGGAGGTGGCTGCCCTCGGGTGTGTGGCCCCCACAGGCCTCCAGGCAGCCTGGCCAGGAGCTCCACCAGCGGGCACATGGCTCCGCTCACTCTGCGTCCCCCCCGGCCGTTCTGAGCAGGGAGGCTAAGAGGCTCGGAAAGTCTGACTCCAGTCCCCACTCCTCATCTCCACCTGGCGCATAGACAGGGCAGCGCCATCCCCCATAGCGGGGGCTGCCAGGCCAGGAGAAGCGGGAGCTCTGGACTGGGGTCTGGAGGGCCAGTCAGGGCCCCCAGGGCTTCTCAGATGAGGCAGGGCCTGGACCCCCAGTCAGAGAGGAGCCAGACCCCACCCTGCATGTGCACGTGCGCGCGTGTGTGTGTGTGAGACAGGACGACGCTGGCCCCTCCACCCCACCTGCCTCCGTGCCGTGTCACGTGGCCAACACATGTGTTCACGTGTGGGCAACCCGTGGGGTGCGCGGCGCCTGGACGCGCAGCGTCTGTTCTCCCAGGGTCTCTCCAGCACACGCCATGTACCCCCAACGGGACACGGCCCTTTCCAGGGTAAGGAGGCACTCAGGGATGACCTGCCCCGTCGCCACGATGCAATACCGTTCCTGATGGCACACAGGGCCAGGCGTCGGAAGGAGACCCCCCAACCCAGCCCCTGGTACCTTTTGGGAGCCCCCCACACCCACCCCAACCCCCCCACGGTACCTCGAGGCAGGGCCCCCTCACTCCAGCCCCCCACCACAACCCCCCTCACCCCAACGCCCCACCGTACCTGGAGGTGGGACCTCCCCTGTGCGGCTGCTTCCATTCTCCCGTTCACGCTCAGGCGCTCAGCCGTCGCGGGAGCAGCTGGCAGCTCTGAAGCAGGATGGAGCCTGTGGCCTCCTATTTAAAACAGGCCGGCTGGGCGTGGGGCCGTGCTGCAGGCGAGGGAGGGCCCAGCCAGGGCGGTCACACCTGCCCCGGACCCAGAAGGGGAATTCCTGGGGGACAGAGATGCCCGTCCCTCTGCAGGCCTTTCCCATCCAGAGCCCTGCAGGGGAGGACCGAGGTCCTGACCCCGGCTGAGCGTGAGGGGCTGTAGCCTCTGTAGGGAGGGGGAGGGCAGTGTTGGGCTGAGACCCCCTTGGAAGCCTTTCTTTCTTTCTCTCTCTCTCTCTCTTTCTTTCTCTCTCTCTCTCTTTCTTTCTTTCTCCTTCTTTCTTTTCTTTCTTTCTCTTTCTTTCTCTCTTTCTGTCTCTCTCTCTCCCTCCCTCCCCCCCCTTTCTCTCTTTCTTTCTTTTTCCTTCTTTCTTTTCTTTCTTTCTTTCTCTTTCTTTTCTTTCTTTCCTTTTTCTTTCTCTTTCTCTGTCTCTCTCTCTTTCTTTTTCCTTCTTTTCTTTCTTTCTCTTTCTTTTCTTTCTTTCCTTTTTCTTTCTCTTTCTCTGTCTCTCTCTCTTTCTTTTTCCTTCTTTTCTTTCTTTCTCTTTCTTTCTCTCTTTCTGTCTCTCTCTCTCTCCCTCCCTCCTTCCCCCTCTCCCTCTCTCTTTCTTTCTTTTTCCTTCTTTTCTTTCTTTCTTTTTTCTTTCTTTCTCTGTCTCTCTCTCTTTCTTTCTTTTTCCTTCTTTCTTTTCTTTCTTTCTTTCTCTCTTTCTCTCTGTCTCTCTCTCTCTCTCTCTCCCTCCCTCCCCCCTCCCTCCCTCCCCCTCCCTCTCCCTCCCTCTCTCTCTCTCTCTCTTTCTCTCTTTTTTTTGAGATGGAGTCTCACTCTTGTTGCCCAGGCTAGAGTGCAGTGGCGCGATCTCGACTCATTGCAACCTCCACCTCCCGGGTTCAAGCAATTCTCCTGCTCCAGCCTGCTCAGTAGCTGGGATTATAGGCATGTGCCACCATGCCCGGCTAATTTTGTATTTTTAGTAGACATGGGGTTTATCCATGCTGGTCAGGCTGGTCTTGAACCCCCAACCTCAGGTGATCCGCTCACCTCAGCCTCCCAAAGTGCTGGGATTATAGGCTTGAGCCACCGCGCCGGGCCCGGAAGCCCCATCTTTCTCTGCCGGCTCCTGGAACTCAGATCCGGGGCTGTTGTGGGCTCCCAGCACTCCCTCCCTTCCCTGCAGCTCTGACCACAAGAGTGTGTGGCTGACAGACACTGGGTGGGGACCTCGGCTCCCAGATCCAGTGTCTCTCGGGACCAGAGGCCCAGCCACTGGGACAGGTGCTAATGTGGGAACCACCAAGGGCCCGGTGTGGAGACGGCACCTGCTCCCCTGAGTGGGCACAGGTGCTCACCCTCCCTGCTGGACACTACAGCCGCCACCAACCACACCACACACTAAGATGACGCATCACACGCTAATATGACGTGTCACACGCTAAGGGCGCAGCATGTTTTCAGTCCACACTCACACCACACACACCAAGATGCTGGCACACATGAAAGTGACTCACGACGGCTGGGCACAGTGGCTCACGCCTGTAATCCCAGCACTTTGGGAGGCCGAGGAGGGTGGATCATGAGGTCAGGAGGTCGAGACCATCCCGGCTAACACGGTGAAACCCCATCTCTACTAAAAATACAAAAAATGAGCCGGGCGTGATGGCAGCGCCTGTGGTCCCAGCTACTCGGGAGGCTGAGGCGGGAGAATGGCAGAGTGAGACTCCGTCTCAAAAAAAAAAAAAGAAAGTGACTCACGACACACTAAGACCACACACATGCTAAGACCGTGCACACGCTAAGACCGCACACATGCTAAGACCTCACACATGCTAAGACCATGCACACGCTAAGACCTCACACATGCTAAGACCTCACACATGCTAAGACCTCACACATGCTAAGACCGTGCACACGCTAAGACCTCACACATGCTAAGACCTCACACATGCTAAGATCATGCACACGCTAAGACCTCACACACGCTAAGACCACACACATGCTAAGACCTCACACACACCAAGACCACACACACGCTAAGACCTCACACACGCTAAGACCATGCACACGCTAAGACCTCACACACGCTAAGACCATGCACACGCTAAGACCTCACACATGCTAAGACCATGCACACGCTAAGACCTCACACATGCTAAGACCACACACATGCTAAGACCTCACACATGCTAAGACCTCACACATGCTAAGACCATGCACACGCTAAGACCTCACACATGCTAAGACCACACACATGCTAAGACTGTGCACACGCTAAGACCTCACACATGCTAAAACCACACACATGCTAAGACTTCACACACGCTAAAACCACACACATGCTAAGACCACATGCTACTGTCAGGGTCCAAATCACAGTCTCCCAGGCTGGCATCTTCAGCCCCAGTGTGGTTGTGTGTGGAAAGCAGGTGTCCCCGTCCCCCCAGACCACCCCACCCCTGTCTACTGTGGGACCCTAGATATCCAGGTGGCCTCACCATCCCAGATGACCAGACGCAGCCGGGCCCAGGTTGGAAGGGTGGGCTCCGTGTTCCTGACATCCTGCCCCAAGTGGTCCCTGGCTTGGCTGGGGGAGCCCAGCCCCACAGGGTCCAGCAGCAGAGCCATGGCTCTGAGGAGGATGAGGTCACCTCCTGCAGGCTCTGGAAGGAAGCAGCTGCCACCAGTGACGTCCCGGAGAGGGAAGTCGTGCTGGAGTCACCCAGGCCCGTGAGAATCACAGCTTTGTCACTGGTTGTGTGGCCTTCCCAAGTTACTCAACCTCTCTGCGCTGATTTCCTCGAGTGCTACATGGAGCTGGGGCGCCTCTGCAAGCTCGTGGCAGGGGGAGCTGATGTCACGGAGACCCCACAGGCCAGCGGCAGGGCCCCCGGACACAGCACAGGCCCGGGGCATCTCCCCCACCACATCTGGGCGGCTTTGTGGGCGCACCTGCCGAGGAGACAGGGCACACATGGCCCGGGGGCTACTTGGCAGCCAGGGGCAAGGTCCTAGGTGCTTGTTAGCGATTGTGGCTGGAAGCAGGCCTGCGCCTCCCTGTGTCCCTGGGAGTGGCCTGGCAGAGAGCCCGGCCTGGCAGAGAGCCCAGCCTTGGTGCAGAGAGGGAGAGAGCCCAAGTCCGGCCGGAGGGGCCCGGTCCAGCCAAAGGGCAGCTTACAGGGAGCACGGCCCCCGGCTTCCTGTGGGAGGGGGAGCCATGGCGGGGGGCAGGGCACACCTTCAATGACCCAAGCCCTGCAGGGCCTGAGTCCAAGCACATCTCAGCTGGATCTCGCAGCTCCTGGCGACACTCTCCTCCCATCGCCCTGGAGAAGGCCTTGAAGGGCTGAGGTTCAGTCACCCGTCCCACACCCCTGTCGGGCCAGAGAGGAGGCAGAGGGGGTGGCCACAGAGCACATGTCCAGTGCTGGTGAAGCCAAATGGTCCTCCCCCCTTCTGGGTCATCCCCTCGCTGGCCCGGTGCAGGGGGTGGGGTGAAGCGAACCCAGTTCCTGGCATGTGGGGGTCCTGTGGTCACTGCACCATGATCACGTGAGCCTGAATGAGAGAAGGGACGGACAGGCATTCCTGGCTCCCTTTGGCCCCATGCCTCTGCCCTTTCCCAGGAAGGATGGGCAGGCCCCATTTACCGAGCAAGGCTGGGAGCTCACCCCTTTGGGCCACTAAGGTAGCCAGGCCACAGGTAATGAGGGAGCAGTGTTGTCTCCCATGCCAGCGCCGCCCTGGAGATGGCAGGCGCCTGGCATCTGTGGGACCCCAGCCAGGACCTCCTACCCCAGAGCCCAGTTTCTTCCCCTGGGGTGAGCATCCCCCACTCAGGGTCACTCTGAGTCAGCCCTGGGAGGGTTCTGGTGCAACAGACATGCAGCCCAAGGTCAGGATTCCTGTGGGCGTGGGCAGGCCAGGAGTGGCCTGGGGTCCTTCTGGGGTCCTGTACCCAGGCAGGTGAAGAGCCTCCCAGGCAGAGGCCCCTCAGCCCTGGGCATCAGTTGCACTGTCTGGTGGAGCCCCCACAGAACAGGCACTAAGGTGCCCCCAGCTGCTAGCCTGGGTGGGTGCTGAGGGTGGGAAGGTGGAGCCTGGGGTCTGGCCGGTGTCCCCCACTGGGAGGAGTGAGGTGTGTGTGGGCTGCCTTCTAGGTTCCCTCATAAACCAAAAATAAAATTATAAGCCCTGAACTGTCTGAATGGACCCCTGGTCTCAGCCACGGGCATTCCAAAGTTAACCTGAAAAACTAGCTCAGCCATGATGGGAAGGGGGTAGGACGCGCCTCGTGCGTCCTCCCTGTTGGAATTCAGGCACAGCTGACCAGCATCAGCATCACCTCAGACCTTGAGTCGGACGAGAAGCATTTATAGTTGCTTCTCTCTGAGGCCTGTGACCTGGTGCCTTCATCTGTGATAAAACCTTCATCTCCATAACCCCATATTGTAATCAGACATTCCCTTCTACTGATAATAACTCTTTCCACCAATTGCCAATCAGATTTTTTTTTTTTTTTTTCGAGACAGAGTTTTGCTCTGTTGCCCAGGCTGGAGTGCAGTGGTGTGACCTCGGCTCACTGCAGCCTCTGCCTTCTAGGTTCAAACGATTCTTCTGCCTCAGCCTCTCCAGTAGCTGGGGTCACAGGCACGTGCCACCACACCCTGATAATTTTTGAATTTTTTGTAGAGATAGGGTCTTATGTTGCCCAGGCTGATCTTGAACTCCTGGGCTCAAGTGATCTGCCTACCTCAGCCTCCCAAAGTGCTGGGATTACAGGAGTGAGCCGCTGCACCTGGCCCAGAAAAATTTTAAATCTACCCATGACCTGGAAGCCCCCGTTCGAGTTGTTCCACCCTTCCAGATGGAACCAATGTAAATCTTACATGTATTGATTGATGTCTCATATCCCTAAAGTGTAAGGCAGGGCGCGGTGGCTCACCCCTGTAATCCCAGCACTTTGGGAGGCCAACGCAGGAGGATCACAAGGTCAAGAGATCAAGACCATCCTGGCCAACACAGTGAAATCCTATCTTTACTAAAAATACAAAAATTAGCTGGGCATGGTAGTCCCAGCTACTTGGGAGGCTGAGGCAGGAGAATGGTGTGAACCCGGGAGGTGGAGCTTGTAGTGAATGGAGATCACGCCACTGGACTCCAGCCTGGGCGACACAGCGAGCCTCCGTCTCAAAAAAAAAAAAAAAATTACGAAAGCAAGCTGTACCCACACCACCTCGGGCACGTGTCGTCAGGACCTCCGAGGCCCTGTCCCGGGCACGGCCTTAACCTTGGCAAAATAAACCTTCTAAATTGGTTGAGACGTGTCTCAGATACTTCTGGATTCGCACCTTGGTAACCTTCTGAATGGCGGTGCCCCTCACCTTTGACAGATTTCCTATTGGTGCCTGGTACCAGCTAAAGCTCTCCTTATGGCTCAGACCAATAGGACAATTTACGGAGGCCTCAGAGCTCCCCACACAATTCCTGACCTCTCAGAATTTGGTTGAGATCTGAAGTTTATTTTGCTGTGTGAATCATTTTCTGGAGTTTTACTTGCCTCCATGACAATGGAAGGCTGGTAACTTCTGGAGTCCGAGCTCACATCCAACAGGGAAGGGGAGTTCGAATTTTAGTTCCTGTTTTCAGGACGGTAGACAGCAGGTCTTGAACGGGGCCTCATTCCTAGGGAAGTAGCGGAATTGGGGTTTTTGTCTTGGAAATCCTCCTTAATGACTAAAATTGACAACCAGCTGGTCTTTTTTTTTTTTTTTTTTTTTTCTTTTTTTCAGACGGAGTCTTGCTCTGTCGCCCAGGCTGGAGTGCTGTGGCGTGATTTCGTCTCACTGCAACCTCCGCCTCCCGAGTTCAAGTGATTCTCCTGTCTCAGCCTCCCGAGTAGCTGGGACTACAGGCGCCCGCCACCACGCCCGGCTAATATTTGTATTTGTAGTAGAGACGGGGTTTCACCGTGTTAGCCAGGATGGTCTCAATCTCCTGACCTCGTGATCCGCCCACCTTGGCCTCCCACAGTGCTGAGATTACAGGTGTCAGCCACACCAACCGGCCACCTTTTTCTTAAGGAGAACGACCCCATTTTTTTCTAGCTCAGACATGCACTCCTGGGGTCTTCTCTGTTGCTTTTTCTCCCAAAATTAAGCCCAACTGGCTTGTGCGTGCGTTTGTATGAGGAACTGAATTGTTGTTTGTGTAGACAAATGAGAGACTGAGTTTCCTCAGCTCCGGAAAGAAAAGGCATTTTGCTCCTCCCAGCTGAAAGGCGCCCCTGGTGACTGTGAACCAAGCGGGTGTGTCTTGTGGGCTGATCCCCCCCAACATGCAGAAGCTCCCCAGGGACCCCCAACACAATCAGTTTAAAGGCTTGTCCAGGAGATGCAGGCAGGAGCTGCTCACTCCGTGTTCTGAGTCCTCTCAGAGGTGTTGGACTTCTAGAGAGAGAAACTGAGACACGTAAGAGGGCGGAGATGCCTCAGTGGTGACACACTGTGGAGTCCCGCCCACGACCCGTCCACAACCGGCACACTCAACCTGCTCCACGGAAGCCCGGGCCACAGCCCAGTTCCTCCTTTCAAGAAAAAAAAAAAAGTGGGAAATAAATAATGTAAGACTCAGGAAAGACAGGGAACTACCTCCTTCCAGGCACCCGCTGGTCTTACGGCGCCTCTACTTGCAAGTGTTGATGTAAAACTGAAAATGTCAAGGGCGTGCTGGGTTTCCTAGTGCCCCAGCTGGCTTCATATTATGGTCTTTTGGGGCACATTTTAAACTGATGGGCAAATTCCATCCAGGAAAAATTCAGAGCCCAAAGGTCGGCCTGCAACTATAGAACTACAGAGTTCCTGGCCAGGTGCGGTGGCTTACCCTGTAATCCCAGCACTTTGGGAGGCCAAAGTGGGCGGATTACCTGAGGTCAGGAGTTCGAGACCAGCCTGGCCGACAGGGTGAAACCCCATCTCTACTAAAAACACAAAAATGAGCCGGGCGTGGTGGCATCCACCTGTAATCCCAGCTACCTAGGAAGCTTAGGCAGGAGAATAGCTTGAATCTGAAAGGCGGAGGTTCCAGGGAGCCGAGATCATGCCACTGCACCCCAGCCAAGGCCACAAGAGCAAAACTCTATTTCAAAAAAAAAAAAAGAAAAAGAAAAAAAACGAACTGTAGAGTTCCTAAGTTCTCTACCTCTCTGTTTCCTTTGCTGCCTGCTTTAAAGTTGCTGTTACTTTTTTCTTTTTTCAGACAGAGTCTCACCGTGTCGCCCAGGATGGAGTGCAGTGGTGTGATCTCGGCTCACTGCAACCTCTGCCTCCCGGGTTCAAGCGATTCTCCTGCCTCAGACTCCCAAGTAGCCGTAGCCGGGATTACAAGTGTGCGCCACCATGCCTGGCTAATTTTTGTAAATTTAGTAGAGACGTGGTTTCACCGTGTTGGCTAAGCTGGTCTTGAACTCCTGGCCTCAGGCAATCTGCTCGCCTTGGCCTACCAAAATGCCAGGATGACAGGTGTGAGCCACTGTGCCCGACCAGCTGTTACTTTTCTACTGAGATGACATCCACAGTTTGCATCTAGATGTTTCTTTCTGTTATTGCTTTTCTGACCAGTGACTTTGTGTTGATATGTCATGGTTAGAGGTGTAAAGCAAAAGCTGTAGGGTTTTTGTATGAGCGTGCATGCGTGTTCAGATGTGTTTATGTGTACGTATGTGGATCCTGTTATGTTTTGTGGCCATAAGTTACCAAATTGGCTTAAGTTAAGGAGTACCCATACATTTAGTACATAATAACAAATTGCACGTGACTTAAGTAAAATCTTTTTTTTTTTTTTTTTTGAGATGGAGTCTCGCTCTGCCCCCAGTCTGGAGTGCAGTGGCGTGATCTCGGCTCACTGCAAGCTTTACCTTTTGGGTTCAGGCCATTATCCTGCCTCAGCCTCCTGAGTAGCTGGGACTACAGGCGCCTGACACCACGCCTGGCTAATTTTTTGTATATTTTAGTAGAGACGGGGTTTCACCGTGTTAGCCAAGACAGTCTTGATCTCCTGACCTCATGATCCGCCCGCCTCGGCCTCCCAGAGTGCTGGGATTACAAGCATGAGTCACTGTGCCCAGCCAAAAGTATTGGTAAAGTAATATAAAAAGTGTCTTTAAAACTGTCAGCATACATTTTTGTTTGCATTTATTGATTTATAAGGGGTCAAAACTTGGCATAAGCATTATAAAACTCTAAACCCAGCTGAATGCCACGCATGGTGGCTCACGCCTGTAATCCCAGAACTTCGGGAGGCCGAGGCAGATAGATCACCTGAGATCAGGAATTTGAGACCAGTCTGGCCAACATGGCAAAACCCCATCTCTACTGAAAAATACAAAAATTAGCCAGGTGTGGTAGCGCATGCCTGTACTCCCAGCTACTCAGGAAGCTGAGGCAGGAGAATCACTTGAACCTGGAAAGGGGAGGTTGCAGTGAGCTGAGATCGAGCCATTGCACTCCAGCGTGGGCAACAGAGTGAGACTGCATCTAAAAAAAAAAAAAAATTATAGGAAAACGTTCTTTCTACAAAATTTCTTATTAAAAGGTAAATAATTTTGTCTAATTCAAAGCTTATTTAAAGTTTATGTATAAAATGAAGTAAAAAGAACAAGAAAATAAGGGAGACTGAGGGAAGTTATAAAGAGGTCTTTTTGTTAAGTAAGGTTAAAAGAAAAATAATTTTATATGAGAAATAATCTTGTATGGTAAATGTCCTTAAATAAATGACTGGTTGTTTTAAAAAAGGGATGTTCAGGACAATCTAGAAAGTCCACAGGTTGTGAATGGTCTGTGTAAGCTGCAATACATTTAGTAAAAAAGGAATTTATAAAAATGTTACATGATAGGTCGGGCATGGTGGCTCATGCCTGTAATCCCAAAATTAGCCAGGTGTGGTGGTGCACGCCTATAGTTCCAGCTGCTCAGGAGGCTGAGGCAGGAGACTCAGTGGAACCTGGGAGGCGGAGGCTGCAGCGAGCCGAGATCAGGCCACTGCACTCCAGCCTGGGGGACAGAGCGAGACTCCATCTAACAACAAAAAAAAATTGTTTTAAGGGGTAATGAATGCTGGTCCATGTCCATTCCTATCTGGCCTAGAAATTTTAATGGGCTGTAAATCTTTTAACTCTAAGTCCCTGGGTCGTAGGGAGTCCTACTGAGGGGCAGGATTGACCCAGGGTAGGCAGCCATACCAGCCCAGCAATGCTATGAGACACAATAAAGATTTGGTAGCCATTGATGTTGTCTCTGGCAAATCTTGGCCAGAAGGGGTGAATGCAAACCAAAAATTAAACCCTAAGGCCCCCCAACCATCCGCATGGAGCCCTCCTCTCAGCCAAGGACATTCCAGTGTTAACCTGGAAACTTGCTCAGGCCATGGTGGGAAGGGGTTGTAGGTCATGCCTCCTCCCTTTTGGAATTCAGGAAAAGCCGACCAGCATTGACATCAACACAGGCCTTAAGTCTGATAGGAAACATTTACAAGGTATTCTCTCTGAAGCTGGAGACCCGAGGCTTCAGCTGCATGGAAAACCACAACCCCTTACTGAAACCCAGACATTCCTTTCTGTTGAGAATAACTCTTTCAACCAACTGTCAATCAGAATCATTTTGAATCTACCTATAACCTAGAAGTCTCCCCACACCACCCCAACTTATCCTGCCCTTTCCGATTGAACCCGTGTAAATAAATCATGTCTCCCTAAAATGTATAAAAGCAAGCTGTGCCACAAGCACCTTGGGCACCTCCTGAGGCTGTCATGGGTGTGTTCTTAACCTTGGCAAAAGGAATTTTCTAAAGGGACTGAGACCTTCCTCAGATGCTTTTGGGTTTGCACCCTCCAGGTTGGGATTCTCTGTCCCTCAAGCCCCCGCCGGCCAGACAGTCCCTGCTGTTCAGAGGCAGCCAAGGCTTTCTGGTCCGACCCTGGGGGCTGGAGGAGGTGGGGGCAGGAGGTGGCAACTGGGTTGGGGGATGTTTCATTGGGTCCCCAAAGCAGAGGGTGCCCCCCACTGCCCAAGATGCTGAGGGTGGTCCCTGTTGTCCTATTCCTGAAGAAGCCAGAGGAAGTCCCTCCTGAGGGCCGGCCCACAGCAGAAGGGCTGCTCCTGCCCTCGGAGGGCAATCTCAGGGTTGAGAAGGTTACAGCCACCATCCGCCACCAACCTAGCTGCTTGTGCTGATCCCACTGGCTAAGGCCTGGGCAGCCTGTGTCCTGCTTACCAGAAGGCCACAAAGGCAGGTGGGTGGGGTAAGGGCCATGGTGGGGGGTTAGCAAGGCATGCTGGCCACACCTGTCCCGGACACCTTCTCCCTGGGGTGTGACTCAGCCATGCTCCTGAGCAGGATCCTCTGAGCTGAGCCTCATTGCCGCCTTCCCACCTGCAGAGTCCCCAAAGGTGCGCTCTCATCACACACTACTGAAGGACAAACAAGGCAGGGCGGGCCTCCATCTGCCACGGGCCACAGCCGTGAGCGTGCAAGCGAGTGGACGTGCTGGTGCCTGTATCTGCGGCCGGTGTGGCTTCCCTTACATAACTTTCCATGCTGTAAAACCAGCTCGGCCCGCCCTGCCTGGGAACGGCAGAGGCCTGAGAGGAGGCAGAGGAAGGAGGCTGGATGCTGAGCTGTTTTCCAAAGGTGGTGCCTGTGACGTCAGGAATGGAGGCAGGCTGGATTCCCACGGGCTGAGGCTGTGTGGACATTCCTCCTGGCTTCTGCCCCAAGACCTGCAGCAGCGTCTCAGACCCCCACCAAGGTGTCTCGGAGGGGCAGAGTCAGGCTGAGCATGGACACAGACTGCCCTCTGCCCGTAGCCACAGCGGGACCCACCCTCAGTGTTCAGCCACCTTGCTGACCTGTGGTTGTCTCTGAGAGGCCATCAGGGTTGGGGCAAAGGACAGGGCCACAGGCAGCCAGGTGGCGAGGTCCACCTCCCAATCCCCCACCAGGGGACCACCCTCAGCTCCCCGCTGTCCTTAGCTGCCTCTCGGGGAGGCGGTGGGTTGTGTGCCTGCCCTTAGCGTCCCACCCCAGCGCCCGGCCACCTACAGCTCCCTCCCAATGTGTCTGGGGTCAGAGAGAGGTGGAAAGGACGCAGCGCCCCGCGCTTTCTAAAGTCTGTCCAGAGGGAGGTCGGGGCGTCCCGGGACTGGGCCAGGCACCTGCAGGGGGAGGGTGCTGGGGCGGGGGCGTCCCGGGGCTGGGAAGGCTCCCGCAGGAGACGGTGCTGGGGCGCGGACGTGGGTTGCAAAGCGATCCCACGCGTGTCACTCTCGGGTCCCTGAACGAGCCAGGCCTCCAGGCGCCCGGGACGCTCCACGCCGGGGCCGCGCCGCGCCGCGCCTCCCCTAAGGGCCGGGCAGGGTGTGGGAGCGGAGGACAAGGCGGGAGGGTCGGGGTCCTTTCTCCACCGGGGTCGCCCTCAGCCGGGCCTGCCGCCCTGGGCCGTGGCACGTGGGGACGTAAGCGCGCGGCTTCGGGGTCCGGGGCTTTCGCGCCCACTAACGGTGCCCGCAGCCGCCCGCCAGTGCGCACGCGCCGACCGCCCCGCCCTCCCCCGCCCGGCGCCGGCGGCGACAGAGAGTCGTGGGCGCGGTCCTCCAGGCTGCCTAGAGCGGCGCCCCCGCCCCCCAGGGAACGCGCACCGGAAGCAGAAACTAGGCTGGTTCCGCCCCGCGAGCGGCCATCTTGGAGGTTGAGGCGGCGGCGGCCCTGCGACGGGTTCGGTGGGCCCAGTCCCGGCGCGGTGTGGCTGTTTCGGGCGCGGGCCCCGCTTTTCCGCACCCTGCTCCGGCCTCGACCACGGCGAGCCTGAGCGCGGCGGCGGCCCACGCGCAGCGACAGGGAGAGGTGAGCGCGCTCGCTGGCCTGCGCCGGGTCCTCGGGCCCGCTCGACCGCCCCGCCGGAGCCGGCCACAGCGGCGGCCCGGGGCTGCGGGGGACCCTGCGCGACGCTTCTCCGTTCGCGCCCGCCGCCCGCGGGGCCCTGGCCCGAGCCTGCGCGGAACCCGAGGTCGGTTACGGCGGGCTCCCGGAGCTCCGGGTCAGGGTCAGGTCGGGGACTTGACCACTAGGCCGGGTCTCCCGTCCGTTGGGACACTTGCGGCTGCCCCAGGACGGGCAGCCTCGATCCTGGTTTGTCAATGGATCCCGGGAGTCTGTGTCGGGGGAGGGCTGCCGTTGAGCCCGCCGCCGCCTCGCCCTGAACTGTTAGACCCCACACTGCCCCGAGAGGCACGAGAGAAACGAGCGTGCCCGGGACGGTGGTCGGGGCCAGCGTTTCTGGGAAACCCGGGCGGTGACAGTGGGAGACCGGAGTCTGGCTCCACCGCCGGCCGGCGGGAGTAAGACACGAGCCCGGAACAAGTCCCTGAGCTGCGCCGGGCCTCGCCGTCCACACCTGCCAATTCCCTGCACCCTCTCAGTCCCTGGCCAGGTGTCACTCCTGGCCTCCTTTTCAATGCTTGCCACTTAGTGCGTGTGTATTTAACTCAAGTCCGGTTGCCACCCTCTTGCCAGACCCAGATAGGAAGCGGCTGAAAGGTCGGGCCTCAGCCCGGTGGGAGGGCAGCGAGGAGCGTACAGCAGGCTTGGCTGGGGCAGGTCGGTGGCCCCGCGTCCTGCCCCAGGGGAAACAGACGGTGTAATCTGGCTTCCGAAGAAGTGAGTATCTCGCTTAATCCAAAAGTCCAGCACCTGAGCCTAGGGCGTGGTTGGGTCTGGGTGCCCGGAACTCACAGTCCGTCATCTGCTCGGCCTGCTCGGCCTGGCACCGCTGACGTCCTTAGCAGCTCCTCTCTAGGCAGGTACATGTGTGAGTGACAGGCAGGTGAGCCAGGCAGGTGCATGTGTGCGTTACAGGTGAGTGTCCCACCTCCATCGGCCCGGGCTTCCATCCAGCCTTCGGAGCAGTCTGGTGGAGAAGGCAGAGACTTCCGTGGCAGTCCTGGACCTGGGCGTGCCACGCGCCTGGCAGATGGGTCAGGCCAAGGTTTCCTGCCACATCCCTAAGCAGGAAAGAGCTGTCCAGACAAAGAGGGATGGGTGAGAGCTGCTGGGCAGCCACTGTCTCAGCGCCTGGGCACAGCTGCCCTCGGTGATTCACGCTGCTTTTATGCAGTTTCCGTGTAAACGTTTTTTTTCTGTACCTTTTTGTTTTAAAATCGCCAACTCTTTCTCTCAGCAGGATGATGTGCTTGGTGTCCCTTGTCTGTGGGGATGTTTGAAGGGAACCCGAGGCACATATGCTTCAAACTCTGTTCTCACAGTTTGCTTCCTTTGTGGATTTTTTTTTTTTTTTGGAGACAGGGTCTCTGTTTCCCTGGCTAGAGTGCAGTGGCATGATCTCAGTTCACTGCAGTGTCCGGCTCCGGAGTTCAAGTAATTCTCCCACCTCAGCCTCCAGAGTAGCTGGGATTACAGGTGCCCACCACCACACCCGGCTAATTTTTTTTTTTTTTTTGAGATGGAGTTTCGCTCTTGTTGCCCGGGCTGGAGTGCAATGGCGTGATCTCAGCTCACCACAACCTCCACCTCCTGGATTCAAGCGATACTCCTGTCTCAGCCACCCGAGTAGCTGGGATTATAGGCATTTGCCAGCACACCTGACTAATTTTGTATTTTTAGTAGAGACAGGGTTTTACCATGTTGGTCAGGCTGGTCTCGAACTCCCGACCTCAGGTGATCCGCCCACCTCGGCCTCCCAAAGTGCTGGGATTACAGGTGTGAGCTACCATGCCCAGCCCCTTTGTGGATTTTTATTTTCCTTGTCCTTCCTGCTGTCATATTGGGAGGAGATGAATTGGGGGAAGTCGCCCCCTGGCGCCTTGGGGGACGTGAGAACGCTGTTCTGTGTGAAGCTCAGGAAGGGTGTCTGGGGAAACAGCAGTTGAATCGTGAACATGATTTTAAAATCCTCTCCAAGCAAGTATGGGAGGGAAGCTTGCTTGTGACTGACTTGATGGAATCTATTTTATTTTTGCGTGGCTGTCCATGACCTTTCATTAAACCCGCAGCCTGGCCACTTAGCTAAGCCCAGACACACCTGTACTTGAATTGTCCAATGAATTATTTTGTATATGGCAGAGTGTTAGCTTCAGGGTGAGCGTTTGAAAGGACGGCCTGTGTAGAGTGCTGCTTGGGGTCATCGCTGTGTCCATCACCAGGTGTTGGCCTGAGGGGAGATCCCTGGCCCATTGGCTTCTTGAGCCAGGAGCTGGGGATGCCACTGTGTGGAGCACTTCCTTCCCGGGCAGGACTAGAACCCCGTTCCTGGTGAGGGCCCTCCTAGGGAGGCACTCCTTAGGCAGAGGAGCCCGCCCTTGCCTCTGCTGGGGCCCGAAAGGGCCCTGCGTGGTGTATGGGGTCACATGGAGGCCAGTGATGTGTGACAGAGTGGGAGGCATTTGGCAGGGAAATCAGGGAGGCCTCTGAAGGCGGTGGCCCGGAAGGGCCTAGGGGAGTTTCCAGTAGAGTCTAGGCTGGGAAGCAGCTATGAGAAGGAGTGTGTCGGTCAGGGGTTTGGAGTGGGGCCCGGGCTGTGCTGGGTCCTGGGAGTTGGAAACGGGGAGGGCTGACTGGGGCCGCTCTGTCAAGGGGCTGGCAGGCAGGAGGAGGCGTTGATTTTTCTTTGCTTGACTGTGGAGCATCCTGAAGGGTGGTTGGGGGAGTGGGTGATCAGAACAGTGTGTGGACTTAGGGGTACAAGAGGGCCTTGAGATGGGAGGACTTAGGGGTACAAGAGGGCCTTGAGATGGGAAGAGACTAGAAGCTCAGACCTTCTGGACTCATGGAGGGAGTTGGGAGGCTGCTGTGGTGCTGATGGAAGAAGTGACGCCATTCTGCATTAGAGAGGATAATGGGAGTGGGAAGGATGTGGTGAACTAGGATTGCAAGAGTCAGGGACCCCAGAACAAGACGCAGGGTCGGGGGTGGTGCCTCGGCTACACATTTGGGAGCACGCTGTGGGTGCCCTGGCTGAGCTCTGCACTCCAGGCCCTGGGTGTGGGGTGAGCAGCCAAGCCCTGGCCATCGCCATCCTCAGGTTGGGAACAGACACTGAACAGGCCACTGGTGATGATTCTCTGAGAAGGAATAAACGAGTCAGAGAGTCCAAGTCTGGAGATCTCTTGCAGGCGGAGACTGAAGGGCGGTAGAGTGTGTGGCTGTCTGCAGGTGTGTGAGTTGGTTCTCATGCTGCTATAAAGATGTACCCGAGACTCAGTAATTTATAAAGAAGGCCGGGTGCGGTGGCTCAAGCCTGTAATCCCAGCACTTTGGGAGGCCGAGACGGGCGGATCACGAGGTCAGGAGATCGAGACCATCCTGGCTAACACGGTGAAACCCCGTCTCTACTAAAAAATACAAAAAACTAGCCGGGCGAGGTGGCGGGTGCCTGTAGTCCCAGCTACTCGGGAGGCTGAGGCAGGAGACTGGCGTGAACCCGGGAGGCGGAGCTTGCAGTGAGCCGAGATCCGGCCACTGCACTCCAGCCTGGGCGACAGAGCAAGACTCTGTCTCAAAAAATAAAAAAATAAATAAAGTAATTTATAAAGAAAAGGGGTTTAATGGACTCACAGTTCCGCACGGCCAGGGAGGCCTCAGGAAACTTACAACCATGGCGGAAGGGAAAGAGGCATGTTTTACATGGCAGCGGGCAAGAGAGCGGGCAAGAGCAGCGAACACTGCCTTGTAAACCGTCAGCTCTCCTGAGAACGGCTTGGGGCAAACCACTTCCACCATCCAATCACCTCCCACCAGGTCCCTCCCTCAACATGGGAGATTATGGGGATTACAGTTCAAGATAAATTCCCACCAGGTCCCTCCCTCGACATGGGAGATTACGGGAATACAATTCAAGATCAGATTTGGATGGGGACACAGCCAAAGCATATCAGCAGGGAAGCTGATGGAGTCGGCTTCAGGTTTGTGGAACTGGGAGGTCAGGATGGAGATCACTGGTCACTGGCCATTATTGATCACCACTGATGTCCAGGGACCTTATTAAAGCGTGTGGCCATGGCTGGGCACGGGGGGCTCACGCCTGTAATCCCAGCACTTTGGGAGGCTGAGGTGGGCAGATTACCTGAGGTCAGGCGTTCGAGACCAGCCTGACCAACATGGTGAAACTCCGTCTCTACTAAAAATACAAAAAAAAATTGCCTAGTGTGGTGGCAAGTGCCTGTAATCCCAGCTGCTTGGGTGACTGAAGCAGGAGAATCGCTTGAACCTGGGAGGCAGAGGTTGCAGTGAGCGGAGATCACGCCACTGCACTCCAGCCTGGGCAGTGAACAGTGAAGATTCTGTCTTAAAAAAAATAAATATAAATAAAAGAGGTTTGAGTTGGAGCTAGTCTGATGCATCGGGGAGTCCTGTTTTTATCACCACTCCTCTCCCCAGCCTCAGGCATGGCTGAGGGGCCTTGGGGTCCCTGATCCAGCCTTTTCTCTTGCGTGATGGTGCCTCACGCTCCGTGCTCGGCCTGCAGTGCTGTCTTAAATGTCCCACCTGGAGCCACCAGAGTGACCTTCCTAACAGAAGATACGATCTGCCTTAAGGCTTGGACTCAAAACCTCTGTGGGGCCCAGGTTGCAGTGGCTCATGCCTGTAATTCTAGCACTTCGGGAGGCTGAGGCGTGAGAATCACTTGAGGCCAGGAGTTTGAGACCAGCTTGGGCAACACAGTGAGATCCCATCTCTACAAAAAATAAAAAATTAGCTAGGCGTGGTGGCACGCGTCTGTAGTCTCAGCTACTCAGGAGGCTGGGGTGGTAGGATTGCTTGAGCCAAGGCGGTCAAGGCTGCAGTGACTCCAGCCTGGGCGACAGAGCAAGACCTTGTCTCACAAAAAATAAGAAACCCTTATGCCCTGGCTCTGCCTCCCTGGCCAGTCTTATCCGTGCCCTCACTGTGCTTGGGCCCCTGCACACTGGACTTTCTCAGGTGTGGCCTGTTCACCTGTGGCCCCTTCTACCAGGAAGACAGCTGCTCCTCTGCCCAGCGAATGCCTCAGAGTCTCCAGCGTCTTCGTCACTCCAGCCGCAGAGGCTTCCCCATTCTGCGGCTCCTATTGCTTGTGGCCAGTGGTAAACGTTGGGCAGCTTCTGGGTGCAGTGGAGGGGCTGGCGGTGGTGCCTGCCCGTTTCCATGGTGTGGATTCTCCGTCAGTGAGCTCAGAGTTGGAAGGTGCGAGTAGCTACCCTCAGGAGCTGGTCTGAGGCTGTGGCCTTAGCACCACCTCAGGCCCTGTAAGTGTATCCCTGTGTGAGTTCTTTGAGGACGGGAGCCCGGCTTTGGGTTTCTCCTCATCTTTGTACTTGAGCTGTACGTTGTGTCAATGAAGGCGGTGGCGGGACAGATGGGAAAAGAGAAGCCGCAGGGCCTCTGGGTATCTGGGCGGGTGGCAAGTCAGGGTGACCTGTGAGCTGTGACTCTCGGTGACTGGGCTGAGGTGTGTACGTTATAGCTGGGCCCTGAATGAGTGGTGGGCTGCAGAAACGGGAGTGGAGCCGCGTTGGGGGGAGAGCTGTGGCCAGCACCACTTTTCTTTGTCAGTGTAGACATTGTTTTTAACAGATGAGCAGCACCAGCAATAAGAGGGCTCCAACCACAGCAACCCAGAGGCTGAAGCAGGACTACCTTCGCATTAAGAAAGACCCAGTGCCCTACATCTGTGCCGAGCCCCTCCCTTCGAATATTCTGGAGTGGTAAGGCTGCGCCACTGATCACCTTGCACTGACTCTCGCTGCCACGCAGGCCTCTGCTGGCCTGGCTGGGTGAGCCTGGTGCCCCAGTCATGGCATTGGCAAGGTGCTCCTGCACCCTCCCCAGGGGTGAGTGGGTGCCCAGAGGCCGGTGGACACTCTCCGGTCTTTTCCCAATGGACGCATGCTGGGGATGTCACAGAACCCTGCTTGATTGAGTCTGGGGCTGGAAAGAATCTCTGGTGTGGGGTCCTTGGGGGAGGGGTCCAGGTTGCCTCAGGCTGGGGCTGGAGAGAATCTCTGGTGTGGGGTCCTTGGGGGAGGGGTCCAGGTATGCAGGGCTCACAGCTGCTGCTGATGTGTGCTCCAGGCACTTAGAGGAGAAACTGCCTTTCCAGACTCTGGTCTTTGCTTCTGGATACGGGAATCAGCCTGTTTTGGCTTGGACTAGGATCCGATACTCCTGTCCCTGGCACTGGCTTGGGCCAGGTGCCCCGACCCTCAGGCTGGCAACGAGAGGACTTGTGCCTCATAAGCGTTCACCTCATGGTGACTCTCCCCCTTTGAAGCATAGAGTGTGAGAGTGCATACCGCTCTGTAGAAACACCGCCATGACAGGTCTGCTAGTAATTTGGTAAGAAATAAAGCGTGAGAGCCCGGGCATGGTGGCTCACGCCTGTAATCCCAGCACTTTGGGAGGCTGAGGCGGGCAGATCACCTGAGGTCAGGAGTTTGAGACCAGCCTGGTCAACATGGTGAAACCCCGTCTCTACCAAAAATACAAAAATTAGCTGGGCATGATGGCATGCGCCTGTAATCCCAGCTACTCGGGAGACTGAGATGGGAGAATCTCTTGAACCTGGGAGGCAGAGGTTGCAGTGAGCCGAGATCACGCCACTGCACTCCAGCCTGGGCAACAAGAGTGAAACTCTGTCTCAAAAAAAAAAAAAAAAAAAAAAAAAAAAGGAAGGAAAATATGAGGATGTTTTATATTTTGATCTTTAAAAAAAAAAAGTCATGGCCGGGCGTGGTGGCTCACACCTGTAGTCCCAGCACTTTGGGAGGCCGAAGCAGGCAGATCACGAGGTCAGGAGATTGAGACCATCCTGGCTAACATGGTGAGATCCCGTCTCTATTAAAAGTACAAAAAATTAGTCTGGCGTGTTGGCGGGTGCCTGTAGTCCCAGCTGCTTGGGAGGCTGAGGCGGGAGAATGGCATGAACCTGGGAGGCGGAGCTTGCAATGAGCCGAGATCATACCACTGCACTCCAGCCTGGGGGACAGAGCGAGATTCCGTCTCAAGAAAAAAAAAAAAGTTATTTATTTATTTTTTAATTATTTATTTTTTTGAGACAGAGTCTACCACTATCGCCCAGGCTGGAGTGCAGTGGCGCGATCTCGGCTCACTGCAAGCTCCGCCTCCCGGGTTCACGCCATCCTCTGGCCTGAGTCTCATGAGTAGCTGGGACTACAGGTGCCCACCACCATGCCCGGCTAGTTTTTTGTTTTTGTATTTTTAGTAGAGATGGGGTTTCACTGTGTTAGCCAGGATGGTCTTAATCTCCTGACCTCGTGATCCGCCCGCCTCAACCTCCCAAAGTTCTGGGATTATAGGCGTGAGCCACTGCGTCCAGCCTTATTTATTTTTTTGAGACACAGTCTTGCTCTGTTGCCCAGGCTGGAGTGCAATGGCATGATCTCGGCTCACTGTGATCTCTGCCTCCCAGGTTCAAGCAATTCTCCTGTCTTAGTAGAGATGCGGTTTCACCACATTGGTCAGGCTGGTCTCAAACTCCTTATCCCAGGTGATCTGCCTGCCTCAGCCTCCTAAGGTGCTGGGATTACAGGCATGAGCCACCATGCCTGGCCTAATTTTTTAAATGCCAGAGAAAAGATACTTCAGTGAGTTGAAAGGAAGTGTGTTTCTGCTTGGTCAGGGGTCCAGCTTCTCTGGCTCACAGAGGAGGCCCAGCCCAGGCAGGTGGAGGATACCCAGGGTGAGGCAGAGCCCCTTGGCCACCAGAGTGCTCTCTGCCCCCAGTGCTGAAAATCAGATGTGGCCCCCCAGGACATTGCTGGCAGGTGCGAGGGACAAGTTCCACGGTAGCCGCCGCCTCCCTGGTTGTGAGGACGCCTTCATCGTGTGGGGAATCGTTTCCCACAAGTCTGTGGGTCAGGCATCCCCAAGACCCTGTGCAGGTTGGATGAGTCACAAAGAAATACTCACCATTAATATTACGGAGAGAGGCTGGACGCGGGGGCTCAGCCTGTAATCCCAGCACTGTGGGAGGTCGAAGCCGGTGGATCACGAGGTCAGGAGATCGAGACCAGCCTGGCCAACATGGTGGAACCCGTTCTCTACTAAAAATACAAAAATTAGCTGGGCATGGTGACGTGTGCCTGTCATCTAAGCTACTTGCTACTTGGGAGGCTGAGGCAGGAGAATTGCTTGAACCCGGGAGGTGGAGGTTGCGGTAAGCTGAGATCGCGCCAGTGTACTCCAGCCTGGAGAGAGCGAGACTCCGCCACACACACACACGCGCGCGCGCGCGTGTGCACGCACACACGCACGCACACACACAAATTATGGAGAGAAAACAGCAGTGGAAGAGGCACGTGGGGCAAAGTCTCTGTGCTCCATTCCCAGCAGCAGGCTTGGGTTTGGACGGCGCGTGTGGAATGTTGACCAGAGAAGCTCATTGGAAACCGAAACGTTTTAGGGGAAGGCCCAGGAACTTTATGGGGCTGGTCCTAGGCATCCTCTGCCTGGCACCTGCCAAAATACCAAAATACCGGACTTCCAGGAGAGCAGGGGCTCAGCGTAGACCACGTTGCGTGTACTGTTGAGGCAGTAAGCCCCGGTTGTCAGGTGGTGGCACCTGACCCGGGAGGACAATGTCAGTGTCAGGCCTGTGCTGCGGGAGCCCCTGGCAGGGCCTCCACAGGTCTCTCCCCTCCCTGAGAGAAGCGTGCTTTCCCAGGAAAGGCCTGTGGGGTGCGCTGTGGGCCACATGGATCCCATCTTGTCTCGGCCGCCCCAAGGCTGCTAGGCTCTGTCTCAGGAAGAGAGTGACTTCTTTATTTCTTCCCAGTGTTCGCAGCTTGGGCACAGGAATTGGGTACAGGAACAACTTAAGGCCACACTCCTGGGTGCATCGTGTGCTGAGCTCGGAGTCACTGGGTTCCTGGGCCACTGACACATGATAATGGCATTTTTTGAAGAAAACATATCAGCTGGCAGATAGCACGCATCACATCATCCCATTAGTATTTTCTTTTGAGTATTTTTGTCCCTCAGGCTGGAGTGCAGCGGCGCCATCTCGGCTCACTGCAACCTCCGTCTTCCAGATTCAAGCAATTCTCCTGCCTCAGCCTCCCGAGCTGGGATTACAGGTGTGCGCCACCATGACCAGCTAATTTTTGTATTTTTAGTAGAGATGGAGTTTCACCGTATTGCCCAGGCTGGTCTCGAACTCCTGACCTCAGGCAGTCCACCTGCCTCGGCCTCCCAAAGTGCTGGGATTGCAGGTGTGAGCCACCGCGCCCAGCCTAATTTTTGTATTTTTAGTAGAGACGGAGTTTCGCCATGTTGACCAGGCTAGTCTCGAACTCCTGACTTCAGGTGATCCACCCACCTCGGCCTCCCGGAGCGCTGGGATTACAGATGTGAGCCACTAAGCCTGGGCCCCCGTTAGTTTTAAACTGATGTCACACATGTCCTGGGGGAGAGCAAGGGGAAAGATGCTGGCTGGTGTTGGCTGGTGTTGGCAGTTGAAGCCGTGTCTGGTTTCTGGCATTTCTAGCTGGCTTTACTTTCCATCTCTGTGCGCTTCTGTTTGGTTTGGGAATCTGTAAAGCCCAGACACCTCTTTCCGTGAAGCAGAAGCCTTGTTTATTTGTGTGGAGGAGGGGTTAGTCAGTTTGCTGCTGCCCCTGGTCTGAGGGTGAGCTCCGTGTGGGGACTGTGGTTTTGGGGACAATCACGGCAGTTCCTGTTCCTTCTCCAGGACAGCTGCTTAAGTCACTCATGGTTTTTCCAGGAGCATGAAAAACGGCTGGGGCACAGAGCCGGCCCCACATCACTGGCTGTGTTCTGTTTAGCCTGTGTGTGTGATACCAGAAAACACATTATGTATAAGTACATTTAAGAATATACATTTTAGCCGGGCGCGGTGGCTCAAGCCTGTAATCCCAGCACTTTGGGAGGCCGAGACGGGCGGATCACGAGGTCAGGAGATCGAGACCATCCTGGCTAACATGGTGAAACCCCGTCTCTACTAAAAAATACAAAAAAACTAGCCGGGCGAGGTGGCAGTGCCTGTAGTCCCAGCTACTCGGGAGGCTGAGGCAGGAGAATGGCGTGAACCCGGGAGGCGGAGCTTGCAGTGAGCCGAGATCCGGCCACTGCACTCCAGCCTGGGCGACAGAGCGAGACTCCGTCTCAAAAAAAAAAAAAAAAAAAAAAAAAAGAATATACATTTTAAAGTACATCGTTTTTTCCTTGGAGATAGGGTCTCACTCTGTTGTGCAGATGGGATGTGGCAGCAGCCATAGCTCACTGCAGCCTGAAACTCCTGGCTCAGGCATCCTCCCGCCTCAGCCTCATGAGTAGCCGCGACCACAGGCATGCACTACCACGCCTGGCTGTTTTTTTTTTTAAATAAAGGTGAGGTCTTGCTGTGTTGCCTAGGCTGGTGTCAAACTCCTGGGCTCAAGTGATCTTCCCACCATGTCCTTCCAAAGTGCTGGGATTACCGTCTTCAAGTACATCTTAGTAACGTACTGTGAAATTAAAATTTATTTAAGATTTCAGTTATTAATAATTAGGATTAACTATATTGTAGAAACAAAGGTATTTTATGATAAACATATAAAGTATAGTCTTTAAGATCCTGTTACAAAGAGACTGAAAGCACCCACAGTAGAAGAGACTGGGAGCTTTGAAGCTGTGTGGCTGTGTGACATTTCACCTGCATCTGTTCACTGCCTGAATGTGAATGTAATTTTGACTGGGTCCTATAAACCCCAGGCTTGGAATGCTTCAGGTTTTGGAGAATTTGCTGTCTCCAAATCCCAAGTAATTTTCTTCTCTCCCTTAGGCACTATGTCGTCCGAGGCCCAGAGATGACCCCTTACGAAGGTAAGGATTCTGTACTTAGGTAGAAGAACACCAGGCCGTTTTTATATTCTGGATCAACCTTGCCTGTTCAACATCTTTTATTTGCAAACAGCAGCCTTTCTACTTTGGATGTGCGCTAGTTGAATTGGCTTAGTTGGAACTCATCCTTGTCTGCTTTTTCACGCGCTGGAAGTGTTTGCTCTGCTGATGTGTCTCAGCCCACGGGGCCGCCTGTAGCGTCTGTGTTCACCAGCCTCTGACACCATAGGGCCACAGCCGAGAAAACCAGACTGGGGTAAACACTGAAGCTGGCCTGTTCTACTGTTTCTTAAGACCTGGTGCATATCATCAAAGGAGAGACATATGTATTCAATATGCCCTCTGTGCTGGGCGCCCCCAGGGTCTCGCGATCCCCAGGACGGTCTCTGAGCTAAGCGGAAGTACCCCTGTGTGGTGGCATCTGGGGCTTTGGGAGGCTGCAGGACCTGCCCAGCACCTCAGTCCTTCATTAGCTACCAAGGCTGATCCAGCAGCCTGACCCCTCTAGGTCAGCAGACACCACCTAGAGTCCTGGGTGTCATTTACAGAGTAGATGCTGGAGCTGTCAGCAAGTTTCTGGGGCCTTTGCTGGAGGCGGGCGCCAGCCTTGGTCTGGGCCAGGTCAGGAGTCAGCGTGCCCATGGATACTGTCCCACCGGCAAGTGCAAGGCACAGCAGGGCCAGGTCAGCATTTGGCTGTCCAGCCGCAGGTCCCCGGCTTCAGGTGGCTGGAGCAGCAGGCTCTGTTTGCCTGTGTGTGGAGGCTTTGGGTGAGATTTCACTAGAGGAAAGTGCTGCTGCTAGAAGGTGGTTTGCAAACCCCTGCTTTGGACTGTCGGGAGGGTTGTGGGTGGGTAAGAATGAAAAAGGCTCTCCTGGCCGGGCGCGGTGGCTCACGCCTGTAATCCCAGCACTTTGGGAGGCCGAGACGGGCGGATCACGAGGTCAGGAGATCGAGACCATCCTGGCTAACACGGTGAAACCCCGTCTCTACTAAAATACAAAAACTAGCCGGGCGAGGTGGCGGCGCCTGTAGTCCCAGCTATTCGGGAGGCTGAGGCAGGAGAATGGCGGGAACCCGGGAGGCGGAGCTTGCAGTGAGTGAGATCCAGCCACTGCACTCCAGCCCGGGCGACAGAGCCAGACTCCGTCTCAAAAAAAAAAAAGAAAAGGCTCTCCTGAAGGCACTTTGGCCGAGTTCTCACAGCCACACCCGTGGACTCTCCTTTGGCCCAGGAATCCCAGTTCTGGGTTCATCTGCAACCAGGGCAGCCGGAGGGCAGGAGCCCATCTGTAGGGCAGGCACTTGATCCTAGCGCCATGGACCGTGACAGCGCTGGGGATGCCAGCAGGCCATGGCGAGATAAGGCCCGGGAGCAGTGTCCAGGGCGTGTTACTTGTTACGATGAGTCTGTGTGCCTTCAGCTGATTTGAAGAATCAACCACTGCTGGGCGCAGTGGCTCACGCCTGTAATTCCAGCACTTTGGGAGGCTGAACCGGGCGGATCACCTGAGGTCAGGAGTTCGATACCAGCCTGACCAACATGGAGAAACTCCATCTCTACTAAAAATACAAAATTAGCCGGGCATGGTGGCTCATGCCTGTAGTCCCAGCTACTCGGGAGGCTGAGGCAGGAGAATCACTTGAACCCTGGAGGCAGAGGTTGCAGTGAGCTGAGGTCATGCTGTTGCAGTCCAGCCTGGGTGACAAGAGCAGAACTCATCAGGAGATTGAGACTGTCTTGGCTAATATGGTGAAACCTCGTCTCTACTAAAAAAACACAAAAAATTAGCCGGGCGTGGTGGTGGGCGCCTGTAGTCCCAGCTACTCGGGAGGCTGAGGCAGGAGAATCGCTTGAACCCAGGAGGCAGAGCTTGCAGTGAGCCGAGATCGCGCCACTGCACTCCAGCCTGGGTGACAAGATCGAAACTCTGTCTCAAAAAAAAACAAAAACAAAATGAGTGGTGGTCTTTGACAAGCAAAATTATGCCAGCTTTACTTTTGTTTTGTGATTTTAGTTTTTTTGAAATAAATGATGAATATTAGTTCTGTATCTACACCCCGCCTCCCTCAGCATCACCAGCCAGGTCAGTTGCTGGTGGAGAAAAGCTGCTCCCCCGACAGGGCTGGACACAGTTGAGAGAAGAGGGGCAGCCCCTGCGTGTGGTGGGGCCGTTGCCGGCCCCAACCCTGTCACTTGTGCACTTATCCTGGTCCCTTCCCATCCCTTCCGTTGTGTGGCTCTGTGCTGGTCCTGGGTCTCAGGAAAGCCTCACTTCAGAGGCAGGTGTGTTCCTACTGCCCCTCCCTTTTCCCCTCTGGCACTGCTGCTCCCATCCCTGCGGCCCTCCCCTCGCTGGGGGATGCCTTCTGCTGTTTGCAGCCCTGCCCTCTGCTCTCCTTCAGTCTCCAGGGAACCCCTCTGAACTGCCACTTGCCAAGGGGCTATTCTCAGTCCTCAGTTTCTTAGCCTCTGGTATCTGATGCTGCTGACGATGGCTTCCTGACTTGGGGATTTCTGACCCCTCTTCCTGCCTTCTTGGTGGCTTCTGTGCCAGGTCCATGTCATTCTGGCCTGGCGTGCGTTAGCTGTGTCCCCTCCGTGCACTGGGCTCCGTGGCTGTTCTGCCCAGGCATGCCCACTCTGACAGTTCAGAGCTGGCTTCCTGCAAATGTTGTTAAATAATTCCCCTTGAGTTAATCTGTAGATTTCACACAGTCGTAACAAAATCTCAGTTTCTGTACTACACAGGCTTATTCTAAAATTTACATGAAAAGGCAAAGGACCTGGAACAGTTAAAACAATTTTTCTAAAGAATAAAGTGGGCCGGGCGCGGTGGCTCACGCCTGTAATCCCAGCACTTTGGGAGGCCGAGATGGGCGGATCACGAGGTCAGGAGATCGAGACCATCCTGACTAACACGGTGAAACTCCATCCCTACTAAAAATACAAAACTTAGCCGGGCGCGGTGGCGGCGCTTGTAGTCCCAGCTACACGGGAGGCTGAGACAGGAGAATGGCATGAACCCGGGAGGCGGAGCTTGCAGTGAGCTGAGATCTGGCCACTGCACCCCAGCCTGGGCGACTCAGTGAGACTCCGTCTCAAAAAAAAAAAAGAATAAAGTGGAATCTGCGGTGTGGTCACGCTGTGACTGGGGGGGGTCTCTGTGGTGTGGCTGCCGTGTGGCCACACTGTGACTGTGGGGGACTCTTGTTTTGTGGCTGCATAGTCCATGTGGGGCGTGGGGCCTGTGGGGACACGGGGGGGTCACCAGGGTACAGTGCGTAGCATGGGCGTCTGCGTGGGTCAGCTCGAGGAAGGGGGATGTGAACTGAAAATTGTCCTGGGTGACAGCCCCGCTTCTGGTCAGAGAAAGTCCAGCCTAGATTCAGAGTGGATCCCGAGGTGGCCTAAAACGATGAGAGTTCCCTGCAAGACGTGAAGCGCCCTAGGGGCAGGGGTGCTGCATCCTACACAGGCTGGCTCTGGAGCAGAAGAGCCCGTGACGATTTGGGAACTCGCATTGGGGCAGGATTGTGCACAGGGAGCCCGAAGGGAGGACAGAGGCCAGTGCTCCTCAAACCTGATGGCATGCACATGCACACACATAGACATACATGCATGTGTCCTTATGGCATGCACACACACGCACATGCAACACACATGCACGCACGCGCGTCCTGACGGCATGCACACGCATAGACATGCGCACACGCATGCAGGTGTGGCCGGGGAGTCCTGGCTCATGCACTTGTGCTCTGGTTGGGGTTGGCCCCAAGCTCTGAATTTCCAACCAACTCCAGGTGCAGCCTGGGCAGCCAGGGTGTGGGCCTCGGGCTGGGGCGGGGCTGCCACGAGGCAGCTTGTGGAGGGTCCGGGAGCAGGGCCGGGGGAGGCCATGCAGGGTGTGCGGATCTAGATTGATTTGAAGGTGGAGCCAACAGGATTTGCTCATTGCGTGGGTGTGGTACCAGGAGGATGGAGTTTCCAAGTTGCCATTTGGTGGAAGTGGCCGGAATTCTGTCCTGGATGGGGGCGTCTGGGCGCTGTGCTGTGGACGGTCAGTGTAGTGGCCTGGAGTGTGCAGGGGGCCTGTGGGTGCACCGTGGGGGCAGTGGCTGAGCAGCCATTCCAGGACTCCTGATGGGAGGCCGTGAAACTGGGGCGACTCCAGGAAGATGCCAGGACTAAGGGGAGAGCGCCCTGTGCTTGGGTGGGTGAAGAGGGGCTGGCTGGAGTGGGAAGAGGGGGTGGGGAGGGAGGAGCTAGACCAGGTTGGGGCTTTGGAGAGGCAGAGCCAGGAGTGGCCCCTGATAAGGCTATGCTGTTGAGTGGTCAGAAACCAGTGGGAGGGCCGGGCGAGATGGCTCACGCTTGTAATCCCAGCACTTTGGGAGGTCGAGGCGGGCGGATCATGAGGTCAGGAGATAGAGACCATCCTGGCTAACACGGTAAAACCCCATCTCTACTAAAATTTAAAAAAAATTAGCCAGGTGTGGTGGCAGGCGCCTGTAGTTCCAGCTACTCAAGTTCCAGCTACTCAGGCGACTGAGGCAGGATAATCGCTTGAACCCGGGAGGCAGAGGTTACGCCCCTGCACCCCAGCCTGGGTGACAGAGCGAGACTCTGTCTCAAAAAAAAAAAAAAAAAAAAAAAACACACCACCAGTGGGTACGTGTGGGTGACCCTGAGGTCGACCTTCAGGTCAGGTTTGGTAGGCCAGGGAGAAAGCCTGGTCGGGTGGATTCGAGAGCTTGGGAGGGGAGGACGTGGGAACAGCCATGGATGAGGCCCGAATCCAGGGGTTCAGGTCAGGGCGGGGGCATTTGGCAGAACTTGGAGGGGGGTGTGGTGGAGAGTGGTGTGTTTGAGGTGGGTTTTGCTGGCCTTTGGGTGCGATTGGTCGGGGAAGCGAACAATGCTGGAGAGTCGCTGGGTCTGGACCTGAGTCCTGGGAGGGGCAGCCTCAGCTGGGCCTGGAGCTCCTGATGTGCTGAGGGTGTTGCAAGGAGGCCTGCCTGCCTCTCCCGACCCTCTGCTCTTGGTGTGGGTGTGTGGACGCTCCAGGGGGAGAGGTGTGCGGTAGCTGTGGGGGTCTTGAGCTCCCGGGGAAGTGGGGGGTCTGGGTCCAGTCATGTGGGTACGGGTAGGGTGGGTGGGGAGGGGCATTGGGTCTGGGTGGTCATGACGGTGGGTGGGTCATGACAGGAGTGGCACTGGAGAGTAAGGTCAGTGGGGGACTGAGTCTGGGAGCCGGCTCAGCACGGAAGGGCAGTGAGGACTCAGGAGCTGAGCTGGGGGGCGGGGTGGTGTGGGGATGGGGACAAGGTCTCCAGGAGCCCCTGCTGTGGAGGACAACAAGGCTCTTTGTTTTGTTTCCATGTAGGTGGCTATTATCATGGAAAACTAATTTTTCCCAGAGAATTTCCTTTCAAACCTCCTAGTATTTATATGATAACTCCCAATGGAAGATTTAAGTGCAACACCAGGTAAGGTGCCTGGAGGGTGCCGTGGAAGCTTTCTGGCCGCAGTGGGGAGTGTGCACTGACAGGGCCCCTGTTTCGCAGGCTGTGTCTTTCTATCACGGATTTCCACCCGGACACGTGGAACCCAGCCTGGTCTGTCTCCACCATCCTGACCGGGCTCCTGAGCTTCATGGTGGAGAAGGGCCCCACCCTGGGCAGTATAGAGACGTCGGACTTCACGGTGAGCTTTCGAGCGCCTCTCCCTTGTGGGCCATCAGCCTTGTGTCTGGGGCTGTGTTCTGTTCCTGAGTTGCAGCTGCCTTTCTTCTCAGCAGGCGGGGCTGGGTGGAGTTCCCACCTTGTCCCAGGCACCCCTTGTCCCAGGCACCGTGGTGGAGACTGCTCCGCTCTGTGGCCTCATGTTCCCCGCTGTCTCTGGGTCTTGCTTTTCTTCACCTCCAGCCTCATCCACACCCGCCAGTGGCTCCTCCTCGGGATCTTGGGGTGGGCCGAGGCAGTGCCAGTCGCACAGACGGCGGGGGCCTTTTCAGCCGGGAGCACAGTGCTTTTGTTAGCTGGTGTTTATTTTTCTATTTTTAATAGGAATCGAGTGTGATATCATTAATTGATGAGAAGATTAAGAAGCCTTTATAAGACTGAGTTTGCTGTGAAGAGTGTGCTTATTAAGTGCTTTCTGCAGCATGAAGACTGCAACCCTTGACTTTGAAATCATCTGCTTTTATAATTTTGAAAGAATTGAAATTAGTTTTCTGGCTGATTCCATTCTCTTCCTTCCTAGAAAAGACAACTGGCAGCGCAGAGTTTAGCGTTCAATTTGAAAGATAAAGTCTTTTGTGAATTATTTCCTGAAGTTGTGGAGGTAAGAAAGAGAAAGTCGGAAATGGGTTTCGCCTTCCCCTGTGTTAAAACACTTCAGTTTCACCTCTTTCCAAAGAGTAAAATCTGGGTCCTGAAGCTGCAGACCTCCTCAGGGTGTGGCTCCTCTCCCCCAGGAGCCCCGAGGCGGGGGAGGCAGAAGGCCTGGGCCCTGGGGGGTGGCCTGCGGACAGCTGTGCTGGCGGGCGGGGAGCTGGGGCTTTTCCACTCGTGGGCCTGAGCGGCCACCTGGGTGGTCGGGGGATGGCTGGGAGGCACAGCAGCTGCCGTGTGGGACTGGAGTGCTCCCTGGTCTCGGCCTCTGTGGCTCAGCCTTACTCTGGTCTGCCTGAGTGCAGGGGCCAAGAGGCACAGGGCCGGTGAGGCCAGCCACGCTCGGGCCCCCACCTGTGAGATGGGGTCGGGATGTGACACGGCCTAGGGCTGGGTTCTTGGTGGTGGACTGTGAGCTCCTGAGGACGGGAGTGCTGGTCCTGAGGCGCTGGTTGGAGACCAGCTGCGTTTCTCGCTGTTTCTCTCTTAGGAAATTAAACAAAAACAGAAAGCACAAGACGAACTCAGTAGCAAACCGCAGACTCTTCCCTTGCCAGACGTGGTTCCAGACGGGGAGACGCACCTCGTACAGAATGGGATTCAGCTTCTCAACGGGCATGCGCCGGGGGCCGTCCCGAACCTCGCGGGGCTCCAGCAGGCCAACCGGCACCACGGACTCCTGGGCGGCGCCCTGGCGAACTTGTTTGTTATAGTCGGGTTTGCAGCCTTTGCGTACACGGTCAAGTACGTGCTGAGGAGCATCGCGCAGGAGTGAGGCCCGGGCGCCCAGACCCAAGGCGCCAGCGAGGGCACCGCGCGCCAGAGCGTGACCTGGGCAGGCTGGACACACTGCCCGGCACCGGCGGACCCACCAGGCTCCTGGGTTGAGCGTTTAAAAGCCTGAAAGGGGAAGCGAAAACCAAAATGTGTGACCGGGCTTTGGAGGAGACCGAGACTCAGGCCTGCCCCGGCCTCGCGCCGCTGGGGCCGGCGTGGATGGGCCGCTCGTGCGCTGGGTTTGTAGCTTCTCTTCCGTGTCGTCTTTGGAGCTGTTTTAGTAAACCCGTTTTTCATTCTGTTAGATGTGGTCACTTAGGAACAGACTCGCTGCCGACGCGGCTGCGCGTGCGCTCCTGGGGCTGCGGGCTCCGGCGGGGGAGGCGGGCGCGTGGAGGTGGCCGGGCCTGGCCGTGCGGTGACGGGGCTTAGCGGGCAGCATGGCTCAGCATCCAGGGAGATGGGCTTTGGTCCCAGCATTTGCGAACGTGTTTACGGTCAGGGTGAAACGCGCTCCTTCTGGAAAGTGCGCGGGGCCTTCGGCGGTCGTGGAGCCAGGACCTGCCCGCTCCGACCACAAGGTGTCGCCCTTGACCGCGGCGGCCGCGGGGGCGAGGGCGGGGCGGGGCCTCCTGGGCGCCCCTCGGGGCTGCAGGCGCGGGGGCCTCGGGTACCCGCAGAGCCGCTCCCCCGAATTCCTTAAGTCCGGTGGCCCAGAGCCCGTCCTGTGCTGGCGGAAGGCGGAGGACCGGAGTCCCTGCGGGAGGCCGCCACGACCGGCAGGCTGGCCCCGTGCGCTCGGGGCCCCGCTCACATCCCATCCCGCGCCCCCTGCGCCGGTCTTCACCGTAGGTAACGGCGCCGGCCCGGGGTTCGCTCTCCACGGAAGATGGCAGAGGGCGACCCCGGCCCGGGAACGACGCCTGAGCCGGCAGGGGCTCCCCGGGTCCGGCCGTCTCCCCTCTTCTCCGTCGGTTCCATGACTTCGCCCGGGTGGGATGTGCCGCAGGTGCATCGCGTCGAGGTGGGTCGCGGCCGCCGGCAAGAAACCCACCGTGTCCAGAGGCGGGCGGCAGACAAGCCCAGCCCGCGCGCGCTCCTCTTTGTTTGTTTTTCCATCGGTTTATTCAGAATTGCTCTATAATTTACCAATTGTATGTATTTAACCTATTGTGGAAAACAAAAAGTCTTTCATTATATCTTTATTTCTGAATTTCGTGCTGCTGGTGTCTCTGTGGGCGGGACGTGTGTCCGTCTCTGTGCTCTGGGCTGGGTGGCCCGTGACCAGGGGTCACACCTGCTGGCTGGGGTGGCAGCTGCAGGGCAGGTGGGTCCCAGTAGGGAATCGCGTCGCTGGGGCCGGGTGTGAAGCCCTCTGCAGGACTCTGTCCCCATCCCGTGCTGGATGCCAACCGTGCCCTGATGCCCAGCGCTTCCGTGACTGCCTGCATCACTTCCGAAGCCTGGTGTTTCCCGAGGCTCACGGGAGGTGGAATGCTAACGAACAGGTTTACTTAACACACGTTACTGCCGGGTGCGGCGGCTTCCGCCTACAATCCCAGCACTTTGGGAGGCTGAGGGGTGGATCTCTTGAGCCCAGCCTGGGCAACATAGTGAGACCCCATCTCACAAAAAATACAAAACACTACCTGGTGTGGTGATGCACACCTTTGGTCCCAGCTACTCAGGAGGCTGAGGTGGGAGGATTGCCTGAGCCCGGCAGGTGGAGGCTACAGTGAGCCATGATGGAGCCACCACACTCCAGCCTGGGCAAGGGAGCCAGATCCTGTCTCAAATGTTTTCTATATGTGAAATCTCAACTTTTTTTTTTTTTAATGGAGACAGAATCTTGCTCTGTTGCCCAGTGTGGAGTGCAATGGTGCCATCATGGCTCACTGTAACTGTAGGGTCCAGCCCTACTGGGCGTGTGGATTTTTCGCCTTGTGTGTGGAGATGAGAGATCGTAGAAATAAAGACACAAGACAAAGAGATAGAAGAAAAGACAGCTGGGCCCGGGGGGGACCACTACCACCTAGACACGGAGACCGGTAGTGGTCCCGAATGCCTGGCTGCGCTGTTATGTATTGGATACAAGACAAGGGGGCAGGGTATGGAGCGTGAGCCATCTCCAATGATAGGTAAGGTCACGCGAGTCACGTGTCCACCGGACAGGAGGCCCTTCCCTGTTTGGCAGCCGAGGCAGAACGAGAGGACAGCTTATGTCGTTATTCTATGCATTTCAAAGAGTTTAGTACTTTCACTAATTCTGCTACTGCTATCTAGAAGGCGGAGCCAGATGTACAGGGCGGAACGTGAAAGCAGACCAGGAGCGTGACCGCGGAAGCACAGCGTCACAGGGAGACGGTCAGGCCTCCGGATGGCTGCGGGCGGGCCTGACTGATGGCAGGTCTTCCGCAAGAGGTGGTGGAGCAGAGTCTTCTCTAACTCCCCGGGGAAAGGGAGACCCCCTTCCTGGTCTGCTGAGTAACGGGTGCCTTTTCTAGGCACTGGCACTAGCGCTAGACCGAGGTTCGCTAAGTAGCGAGCGTCTTCCCAGGCGCTGGCATTACCGCTGGACCGGGGAGCCCTCTAGTGGCCCTGTCCGGGCGTGACGGGCTCACACTTGTCTGCTGGTCACTTCTCACCGTGTCCCTTCAGCTCCTGTCTCTGTGACCTGGTTTTTCCTGGGTTATAGTTGCAGAACAAAGATTATTATAATATCGGAATAAAGAGGAATGCTACAACTGTGATTAATAGTATATGTAATCATATCTATAATCTATTTCTCACATATTCTTATTGTGTATATTTTCTTTACTATACCGGAACAGCTTGTGCCCTTGGTCTCTTGCCTTGGCACCTGTGTGGCTTGCCTTGACCTCCTGGGCTCAAGGGATCTTCCAAACTCAGCCCCCTACGTAGCTGGGACCACAAGTGTGCGCCACCGTGCCTGGCTAATTTTTGTATTTTTTGTAGAGATGGAGTTTCATCATGTTGTGCAGACTGGTCTTGAACTCCTGAGCTCAAGGGATCCACCTGCCTCGGCCTCCCAAAGCGTTAGGATCATGGGCGTGAGCCACCATGCCTGACTAAAATCTCAACTTGTTTTTTTTTTTTTTTTTTGAGACGGAGTCTTGCTCTGTCACACCGGCTGGAGTATAGTGGTGTGATCTCGGCTCACTGCAACCTCTGCCTCCCGGATTCAAGTGATTCTCCTGCCTCAGCCTCCCAAGTAGCTGGAATTACAGGTGCCCACCACCACACCCAGCTAATTTTTGCATTTTAAGTAGAGACGGGGTTTCACCATATTGGCCAGGCTGGTCTCAAACTCCTGACCTTGTGATCTGCCCGCCTCGGCCTCCCAAAGTGCTGGGATTACAGGTGTGAGCCACCGCGCCCGACTGAAATCTCAACTTTTAGCGACCCTTGATCAAGCAGTGAAGGCGGTGCCCGTGGCGTGTTGTCTGCACTGGCCCAAAATAAGAGATGATGTTTGACCTGTTGGGCCGGGCATGTCTGGCCCTCTGTCCCTGTTTCCCGTAGAGGAATTGTGGGCCCCTCTGTTCTTGTGGTGTCACCAGTGGGGGCCGTCCTTGACCTGCCCCTGGGAGCACGGTGTGTCCCCTCGCCATGCAGACCACACTGTGGAGTCTTTTAATGAGGAGAGAAAAGCCCCTGAAAGGTTAATATTCTGCAGACACGTGCAGCACGTGGGCTCGGAAGAAGGCGTTTCCTGTGTGCGCTGGCAGCCTCGAGCTTCTCTGTGAGCGCATGCCCACGCCGGCCTGAGCGAGAGCGCTCTGGGTCTGAGGGAGCCGCTCTCCCTGCAGCAGGCGGGCGGGCAGGGCACTGTGGTCCTTTGCCATTTTCCCACGGCCTGGGGGTGTCAGGGTGTCTGGGTTGGGGGGTGCAGGGGGTGAGCAGAGCCAGCAGCTGCACCTGAGCCTCCCTGTGGGGGCAGCTCATGGCTGTGGCCCAGGGTACCCCAGGGCCTTGGTGGGTGACCCAGAGGGTGGGGTCCTCTTGGTCGTTTTCTAGAGGGAGTGTGGGGACTGAGTGATCCTGCCTGGGTGCCAGGCTAAGCTCATTTTAAAGGTGCCTGGGGATGGGAACAAGAAGCCACATCCTTCCCAGTTAGGCCCAGTTGCACTCTGTCCAGCCTCCCAGGGCTGCCTGTTTTCCTGCCTGTAGGGCAGAGTTGGAGGTCCAGCCTGTCCTGTCTGGAGTCACAGGGGAGCACATTGCTAGTGGGTGACACAGAAAATTTGGATGCCCTGCCTGTGAGGAGGGGTCTGGTAGCCCTGGGCAGGGGTCTCCTTGGCCAAGGCACCTGCCCACCCCTCCCCTTTGCCCCAAGCCTGGATTGAGGGGTGTTGGGGCTGCCTTTCCCAACCCATGCTGGATGCAGGTCACATCTAGGGCTCACCTGTGGGCGTCCGGCAGGGCTGGTACTGTGTGGGTGCTGTGCCATGTCCCCAGAGTCCTCCACCACCTTCACCAGCGGACACGGGGCTGGGAGGCTTCCACAGTGCGCTCTGGAGATGCCAGTCAGGCAGTGTCTGAGAGCCCAGAGGGTTCGGGGGCAGCCAGGGTCCCTGGTGGGTTCCCAAGCGTCATCCCCATCCCAGCCTGGTCTCCAGTGGCTCTGTCTGTGGGTGTGGCCTGGGGCTGGGGTCTCGGTGTGGCTGCCCTTGTGTCTGGCAAGAGGGGAGGGTCTGGAGCGTTCCGAGCTGTGCATCCGGGCCGGCATGTTGACCTTCCTGTTTCTTTTGGGGCCACTGTTAGCCTCCGCCAGGACCAGCGGCTGGAGGGTCTTCCAGCCCCACCTGGCCACCCCCTTCCTCTGGCCAGTGAGCCCGAGGGGTCTGTCGCCATGATCTGGCCTCACCTTTCCCCGGAGTGGGGCCCCAGCCAGGCCCGCCAGCACCCCCAGGACCCTGGGCTGGGGCGGTGAGTCAGGGCGGGGCACCCGAGAGGGCGCGGGGGGGCTTTGGCTGGCTGGTAGCTGCCCTCCTGGTGGCTGGCTGCAGAGGCTGGTGTGAGGGGAGCCGGGCTGAGCTCAGCTGGGAGGGAGGGCGAGGAGGCAGGCAGCTGTCTTCACGGTTCCCAGGATGAGGTGGACCTTTGGGGAGGCAGTGGGGGCAGGGCGGGTTCTGGGGAGGGGAGGCAAGGAGCAGAGGCAGGGGTCAGTGGGGGTCTCCGCCCCGTCTCCGCCCCTGGCCGTCGGGGCGCCCGGGGGCTGGCGGATCATCCAAGTGTGAGCCCCCCTTGAAGCCCGCGAGGTCTGGGGAGGAGGAGGCCAGGGGAGGATTTACTGGGCGGCGGAGTGAGAAGGCCAGAGAGGACTGGCTGGGAGCGGGGACCAGAGCGGGACCCCAGCGGGACCTGAGCGCCGTCGCGCCGCCGTTCCGGGCAGGTCCGCGCAGACATGCAGCGGCGGAGACCGGGCGCGCCCCTGGGCCTCGCCCCCGCGCGGGGGCTCTGAGCGCCGGCCGCCCCCATGACTGCGCCCTGGCGCCGGGACTCGCCGCGCTGAGCCGCCTCGGGACGGAGCCATGCGGCGCTGGGCCTGGGCCGTGGTCGCGGTCCTCCTCGGGGGCCTTGGGGCCCGGCCGGAGGCGCAGAGGACGCAGCAGCCTGGCCAGCGCGCGGATCCCCCCAACGCCACCGCCAACGCGTCGTCCCGCGAGGGGCTGCCCAAGGCCCCCAAGGTACGCGGCCCGGACGCACGTAGTCCCTTGTGGGGCGACTTCGGAGCTCGGGTCCTGGGGCGTCATCCCCCAGCAGGCTCTGTCCCCGCCTGCTCTGCCTCGGGGTTGCCCTTTTTGAGGCCTCGGCCACAGTCCTGCCTTGGGAATCTGCTGCAGCCCAGCCGGGCCGGCCTCTGGGAAGCCCTCTCCTCCTTTGCAGCCCGGACCTGGCCCCCAGCTGGCCTGGGGTGGGTGGGTGAAGGGGGGCTTCCCGCAGGGGTTGGGGGCTACAGTTAACCCTTTGAAGCCTGGGCCTGCCACGCCCTGAGGAACCTGTTGCTATTAAGTTAATTGCTGATTTGGGGGTGGGGAGGGGCTCCGGCAGCTTGCTGGATGGTTTACCAGACCCCCTGGGAGCCCAGCGCCCCATGACTCCCGCGGCTGGAGACGCCATGGTGAGCCCGTCCCTTGTGCTTTCTAGGGGTCCTGTGTAGCCAGCACCCCCCCTTGCAGGTTAAGTCCTCAGGCCCCAGCCTGGCCAGGCGTCCTCACAAAGACAGAAGGTCCCGAGCTCACCTCAACCCCGGGGCTTCCTCTCTCCTGCTCAGGGTTTCTCCAGGGGTCTTGGAGGGCAGCCCTTGCCGCTGCCGTCAGGGGCCCCGGGACTGGGAGGGGACCTGCAGTTGCCGGAGCAGCCCCCACCCCCAGCCCTCACACCTTTGATGCTGGCCTCCCTCCTCCCAAGGCCGGCTCTGCCGCAGCCAGCCCGGCTGCCTCTCGGCCCACGCGGTCCCCCTGGAGCCCGAGGCCCCGTTTCCCAGATGGGCAGGCTGAGGAGGGTTGAGGCCCGGCTCTACCAGCTCAGGAAGAGTGGGCTCGTCCCTGGCTCCAGGGCCAGCCTGGCAGTGCTGGCAGGGCTGGAGCAGTGGGGGGGTCTTTAGCAGTCCCGGCCAGTCACCGGGGAAGGGAGGGGGCACCCCACTGCCCAGGGCCACTGCTCCAGAGAACCTGCAGGGTGGCAGCCTCCCTCGAAGGGTGCCGGCTGGAGGGCTGTAAGGTGTGTGCTCAGGCTGGCCCTCCCGGCTTCCAGGGTTGGGCGGTTCTCCTGCAGTCTGCTCTCTGCTGCCTCCGGCCCTCTGTCCCCAGACGGGTTGATGCACAGGCCCCTCCAGGGCGCCAGGTCCCTCCATCACACTGTGGGGGTGATGCCAGGAGAGCAAGCAGATAGTGGATGCCGGAGGAGTAGGGGTGGAGTTGGCTGGGGAGGAGTGGGGAGAAGAGTAGGGGGAGCAGGGGAGAGGAGTGGGGGAAGGAGGGAGATAAGGAGTCGCGGGGGAGAGTGGGGGGAGGAGGGGGGAGAGTGGGGGGAGGAGGAGGAGGAGGGAGGAGCAGTGGGGAGGAACGGGATAAGGAGTCGGGGGAGGAGGGAGATAAGGAGTCGGGGGAAGAGTGGGAGTAGGAGGGGGGAGCAGTGGGGGGAGGAGGGGGGAGCAGTGGGGGGAGGAGGGGGGAGCAGTGGGGAGGAACGGGATAAGGAGTCAGGGGAGGAGTAAAGGTGAATTTGAATGCTCTTGGATTGTTTTTTCCCTGGGTGGGCCCAGGTCTGGGATGGGTTCACGCCCACCCTGCCTGTCCTCCACCCCCCATGGCAGAGGCCTGTCTGGTCCACTGGGAGGACCCACCTGCCATGTCTGGTCAGGAGGCGGAGGCTGAGGCTCTCCTCAGAACCCAGCCTCGCTGTGTCGGGCTAGGCCAAGCTCAGGACGGGACTCTGTCCCGGGCCAGGGTCCCTCGGCTCACCCTGCTCTGGGAAGGGGCTCTCTCCTGGCCAGGCTGCGCACTTCCTATCGCTTCCACCTGCAGGCCAGGCTGTCCCCAGCCCAAACCTCCTTAGCACATCTCCTCTGACTATGGGGGCTGGGGTGGCTTAAGAGAGGGTGATTGGAGGGCTGGAGAGGGTGGCAGGCCCTGTCTGACCCTTGCTTGAACTGGGTGGGCTGGCCCCAGCTGCCTGGACCTGAACCTGAGGACTGGGGTGAACTGGAAGGCAGAGGGTCCTTGGCGGGAAGGTCCGTGCCCGCTGCTCCCCTGTCAGCAGCCACTCTTGGCGTCTCTGGGACTCTCAGGCCGGTGGAAAACCCCCTCCTGTCCTCCCCACATCGTCCCGTCCGTGTCCCTGCCTCAGCCAGGACCAGGCCCCTGTCGGGCTCAGGGCATCAGGCTGTGGCTGCGTCCACAGAAGCCCTGCGTGTGTGCACTGCTGGTGCCCTTGGCATTGGAACGTCCAGGTTCTGAGTCCCCCAAGGGCAGCCATGGGTCTTTCTTGTGGCTGGTGATGCCTTCCCTGGGTCTGCCCTGAGTGGCCCCCGCTGCCCTGGGTTCCCAGCTCTCTGCAGGGCGCAGCGTCAGTGTGCTAGCCCCGTCCCACCTCTTCAGCCATCCCAGGCCTCAGGACCTGAGCTCTCCGACGCCCACATGACATGGCTGAACTTTGTCCGGCGGCCAGACGACAGCGCCTTGAGGAAGCGGTGCGGAAGCAGGGACAAGAAGCCGGTGAGCCCCGCCCGGGCTGCCGCAGGGTCTGAGCCTGGGACAGGGTCCCACTGGGACACTTACCTCCTCCTTCTGTCTTCCCCCAGCGGGACCTCTTGGGTCCCCCAGGACCTCCTGGGCCCCCCGGCCCCCCAGGACCTCCAGGTGCAGAAGTTACCCCGGAGACTCTGCTTCGCGAGTTTCAGGAGCTGCTGAAAGGTCAGCCGCCCCGCACTGCCCAGAGTCCCGACGTGCCTGGGCCCCACGCTGACCCTGTTGGCGGCCTGTGCCCTCCTCCCCACAGAGGCCACGGAGCACCGGTTCTCAGGGCTCCTGGACCCACTGCTGCCCCAGGGGGTGGGCCTGTGGCTGGTGGGAGAGGCCTTTCATTGCCGGCTGCAGGGCCCCCGCCGGGTGGACAAGCGGACACTGGTGGAGCTGCATGGTTTCCAGGCTGTGAGTGGGGCCAGGAGCCCAGAGGGGGGCACTGGGTGGGGCCCCACAGGCAAGACGGGACCACACACACTGTCTGACACTCACGGGGCACCCATGTGAGTTGGGAGTTGGGAGGGGCTCGGAGGGCGAGGGGCTGCCTCGGGTGAGGGTTGGGAGGCCCTGGGGTCCCAGACCACACCTTATGCCCAGACCGAGGATGGGTCCCCGGTGGCCGGGAGGCAGGGAGACCCTCCTGGGTGTGGACTCGAGGGTCAGTCCTGTCGGTGCCCGTGGTGAGAGTGAGGGTCCTGGGGAGTCCTGCTCCAAGTGAGGGGCTGTTGGTTGTAGGCACCTTCCCCAGGCGGGGTCTGTGGGGTGGGGGCCAGGCCCTTCACTGGCCGCTCACCCACTGCCCCTCACAGCCTGCTGCCCAAGGCGCCTTCCTGCGAGGCTCCGGTCTGAGCCTGGCCTCAGGTCGGTTCACAGCCCCCGCGTCCGGCATCTTCCAGTTCTCTGCCAGTCTGCACGTGGGTGAGCCGGATGGGGCTGGCTGTGCCGTGTGCTGTGACGGGGCTGGGGCTGAGCTTTCTGGGGGCGCCTGGCATCGCCAGCCCCGGGCACGGGTCCCATTAGAGATCTGCCCCCTGCCCCATGGGGGCCTTGGACTGGGCATGGGGTCCCTGCTGCACACCCGGCCTCAGGCCTCCCCTCCCCCAGCCCCAGCAGCCACTCCTGGGCCTGTCCTGGGCGGTGTGCCCTGAAGCCCCTCCCCACTGGCCCCCACCCCGCCCCCCATGCACCACCCTCCCCAGGGCTGTCTCCGCAGACCACAGTGAGCTGCAGGGCAAGGCCCGGCTGCGGGCCCGGGACGTGGTGCGTGTTCTCATCTGCATCGAGTCGTTGTGCCAGCGCCACATGTGAGTGACCTCAACCCCCGCTTCAGGCGGCAGTCCCCGGACCACCCTTGGGCAGGGCTCACGGGCCACACAAGTCTCTGGGCCCCGGGGAGGTCTTGGCCCCCTGGACCTGCAACGCCTCCCCCTTGCCCTGTGGGGCTGTGTTCAGGTCCCTGGAGGCCGTCTCAGGCCTGGAGAGCAACAGCAGGGTCTTCACGGCACAGGTGCAGGGGCTGCTGCAGCTGCAGGTGAGGCCGGGCCTGGTGTGAGCAGGAGGGCTGGGTTGCACTCAGGGTGCAGACCTCTGGGGCCTCAGCACCTGCTAGCGCGGCTGCCGGGTGGCTGGGCTGTGGCCGCGGTTGTGACGTCCCCATGCTTCTTACAGGCTGGACAGTACGCTTCTGTGTTTGTGGACAATGGCTCCGGGGCCGTCCTCACCATCCAGGCGGGCTCCAGCTTCTCCGGGCTGCTCCTGGGCACGTGAGGGCGCCGAGGGGGGCTGGGCGAGGAGCTGCCGCCGGATCCCGGGGACCCTCCCACTGATGCCTGCGGTCACCACAATAAAGAGCACGCCGCCCTCGGTGTTGCCTGGATGTTTCACTGGGGGTGGAGGCCAGGCTGCCAAGGTTGGCAGAGGATGGGTGCGGGCAGAAGGGTGCTGTTCACATGAGAGCCTGGTAGTCTGGAGTACGGGCTGTGGAGCCTCCCTCGGGCCCAACTTGTCTGGCCTGGGGTTATGGTGATGGCCAGAGGCTGGGCTCTGCCCTGGCAGCCCCTGCAGGGGCAACATCAAGCCTGAGGACAGGGACCACTGTCCATGCCAGCACCACTCAGCTCTGCCCACAGCCTGTCCAGCCTTTGGGGAGGGCAGCAGGTCGTGGGGCACTGGAAGCACCAGAGGTTGGGGAGCAGCACAGTTCTGGGCCCTCGGGAGGCCTGCGTCCTGTGGGGGGTTCTGTGCAAGAGGACGTGCAGGCCACACACGGGACTGCGTGCTTGTGTGCCCTGGCCGCCGCCGGCGTGTGAAGCTGAAAGGCACCCCTGCGGGCTCAGGTGCACCCAGACGGTGCCATGCCTGGGGCACCCAGGTAGAGCAGGGCTGGGACCAGTAGGCTTCTCCTCGCCTGCCCTAGGGACAGCCGCACCCTAACGACCAGGGCCCCTGGGGGGCTTCAGGGGCCAGAATTGCCTCTTGGAGGGTGGGATGGGTCCCATATGCTATCCCCATGCTGCTGCCCCCTGGCAGGTCCTGTGGATTTGGGCCTCGCCCCCACCCCATTTTGGCTCTGGCAAACCCAGACCGAAGAGTGCAAATCGGCCTCAGGACGTCTGGGCCTCTGCAGCGCTGCGGAGATGCCGTCTCTGGTTGGCATCCAGGGCCCTTGGTGGCTGGTGGGGTCTGGGAAGTTGGAAGAGGCCGGGGCCCACGGCTGTTACCCCTCCCCTGGGACCTGAACCTGCCTGGGGCTGGCAGAGAAGGGGCCCTCCCCAAGGCCTGCTGGGCAGTGAGGCAGGACAGCCCAGCCTGGCGACGAGGTGTGTGGGCAGGCGCCAATCAGCACGAGGTGGACTTGGCTGCTGACCCACCCCCACCTCTCTCCCTGGGCCCCCCAGGGTGGCGTCAGGGGCTGGGGCTGTCTGGAAGGGTCTCTGCTTCACTTGCCAAGGCTGTGGTCACCACCTGGGGATGTCCAGCCGGGCAAGGGCCGGTGTGGGGCACCATCCTGCGGCCCCCAACAGCTCCCACACCACCTTCCAAGTCCTGAGGCCCTGATGTGGGGCTGCGGGATACCAGGCCAGATGCAAGAGCCCCGGCTTGGGGCTCCTCTCTGCTCTCTGCTCCCCGCCTGTGAGCACGGCCTGCCCCAGGGCGTGGATCCAGAATGGGGGTCTCCCTTCAGCCCCTGCCCTGCTTGGCCACAGCACTTGGCAGTGCTCCCTTCCAGAGAGTCGGGCGGATGCCCCTCCACACGGGGAACGGAGGCTGTGCCGGGCCCTCCTGGAGCTGGGTCAGCGGGACAGCCGTGTGGGGACCCCGAGGAGGCAGGGGCAGGAGTGTGGCCTGCACCTTCCCGGTTGGCGTGAGCCCTGGGCCACGGACTCCCCCGTTTGCTTCCAGTTTTCAGTGGCTCCTCCCCCACCTGGCGGGCCAACCCTGGGCAAGAATGGGCACCCAGGATCAGGCAGCACCCAGCCAGGCCCTTCTGAGCACCGCCTGGGGCCTCAGTATCCGGGAATGGGGGCCCTTTAGGTTCTTCAGCAGCAGCCAGTCCCCAGCCCCGGAGGTGGGGGCTGTGATGACAGACGGAGACGCCAGAAATGGGACCCAGGGCCGAGAGGAGACAGAGACGTGGAGGAGGGGGCGGGGTGGGGGCCGGGGCCCGGGTGAATGAGGGAGGGGCTGGGGGCTGGTGGGGGAGGCTGGGGGCTGGGATGTGGGCGAGGATGAAGGGGGGGCCGGGGCTAGGGTGAATGGGGGGGGACGTCCTGGCACCGGCACCACCTTTCTGGCCTCTGCCTCCTCTGCCACCTGGTTTCTGCCCCAGTTGGAGGTGATCCGCCACTTAGCCGCAATTCCCCTGGAATGTGCTGTCTCCAGCCCCTGTGACTGGGCACCCAGGAGCAGAAGAATGGACAGGTTGGGGTGGGGTGGGCGGCCTCACAGGAGGGTCCAGGCCCCCAGCCCACCCAGCCCAGGCTCCGTCCTCCGGCCCAGCCCAGCTGCACCCCTTCATTCTCTCTCAGCCTCGCCTCCTGGGCTGGACCCACACTGTAGTGTTTGCCATAGAGGGGACCCTGGACTCTTGATGGGGTGGGAGATGCCTGTCACTCACCCAGCCTGAGCGTGGGGTCCCCGGGGCAGGCGCAGGCCTGCCAGAGCTGCAGTTGCTCAGGGCCTGGGCTGGCTGGGGGACCCGGGGAGCCCAGGGAAATGGACCTCTTCAGGCCTGTGCCCCCTAGTTTGGGAGCGGGGGTACTGAGTGTCCCAAGCGTCTGGCGGCTTCCCGGACCCTGGCAGGAGCAGAGCCAAGGCAGCCAGCTCAGTGCTGGAAGGCCTCAGCCTGACCCCTGACCCCATGCCCTGAGCGGCGGGGAGCTGCCGGCTCCTCCATGACCTCCACCGGGGCTGACTTTCCAGAACTGCAGTCCGACCTGATGCTTGGCCGGCTCTGGGGGCGTCGGAAGCTGCTGCTGTGGGCTCCCTGCCATCCTGGAAGGGGCCGTGCCCGGTGTGGGGACACTCCCCCCACCAACCCTCCAGCTCCTGTACTCACAGGACCGGCCCTTCCCTAGAGCCCCAGCTGGACCTGCCAGGCCCACCCTGCCCAGGGCTGCCTGGGCTGGGTCGGAGCCAGTATTCCCAGCTCTGGTGCTGGCCTGGTCTTGAACGGACAGAAATGCGGACGGGAGCTCAGGGCAGCCAGAAAATCCTCTTGGGGCCAGGTGTGGCAGCCACCCCGAGGGGCAGCAAGAGCCGGGGAGGCAGGGCTGGGGGCTTCTGGCTGTGAGGAGGAGGCTGGGCCCAGCCCCGGCCCTGCCTGTCAGGTGTGGACACCACTGCCCATCTGTCCCCGGTGCCTCGAGGGCCCCACTCTTGGGGTATGTGGGAGATGTGGCTGCCCTAGCCTGGCCCCTGGTGGCACCTGGGTGTGGACTCTGGGGCTGCAGCCAGGGCAGGCAGGCACTGGAGGCCCAGCTTTGGCATCTGACTTCACCTCCCTCTCTGCGCCTCTGCTGCTCCTGCTGCCCTGCCCCTGGGAGGGTGTCTGCTCCCAGGGCCCCCTGGGCTGCCTTCCAGCCTCTCTGGAGTAAGCTCAGGGCGTTCCTGGGGCCTGTCCCAGGCCACAGACCACACCACACGTTGTGACCACTGTCATCTAGGCCTTGGAACAAGCGTGGCCTGGGGGCATGTTGGGGGCATCTGGGGGGCGTGTGGGATCCAAACAGACCTGCCTGGCCTCCTTTTTAAAAATCTATGTGCCAGGTGCCCTGTGTTGGCCCCGGGTTGACAGCTGTGTGTCCCTGTGGCTGGTGTGTGCGTGCCCACATGTCTGCACGTCCGTGTGGGTCTCTGCCCTGGGACTGGGACTCTGCAGAGCCAGCAGCACGGCCCCGTGGGAGCAAACGCAGGGCGGCCGTCCAGAGCCCCAGGGCCCGAGCCCTTGGCCGGCCACTCAGTGCCTGCAGCAGGCGTGGCCGGGGTCCCTGGGGTCCAGGAGACCACATAGTCTTGGTCCCACCAGGGACAACACAGGGACCCACGGAGCTGTGATGGCTGCTGCGGCATTTGGGGCTCCCCAAACTGCGTGAAAGGGTCCAGGGAGGGGGCTCCCACACCCAGCTGGGGGCTGCTCAGCACACTGTCCTGAGGGGGAGCTCTTTCCTGCCTGCACAACGCTGCCCTGGGATCTGCTGTGCTTGGAGGCTGCTGGGGGCAGAGCTCGGCGCTGTGTCCTGGGGCCGTCGCTCACGGGCTGGGCTTGGCCAGTCTGCCCTTGGACTCCTAGTTCAGGCCACTCTGAGCTGTGGTGACCTCAGGGCCTGTCCCCCAGGGGTCTCCCTCAGCCTGACCCTGGAATGGCTGCGTGTCTGGGTGTGGGAACACGCCCTGGCCCTGCCTGTGCCTGCTGAGCCACCGGCGTGTCTGTCTGCCTGCGCATCTGACTGCTGCACAGGTGGGCCTGGCACCAGAGGCCTGGGGACAAAGGGTCTTTGTTTGGGAGGCCGGGGGCAGCCCCTGCTCTGGGGCAGTGACTCACGGGTGCCTCGGTGTGATGACAGCCGTGTGTCATGCGTGTGACCCAGCCCAGCAGGGCCTCCTGCCCACCGCACGCCCACGGCCCTCACGAGGGGGTGACGAGAAGCGTGACAGGTGAGGGCTGGGCAAACCCTGTCTCCACAGGGAAGCATCTCCAGACCCCTCAGGCCCCCAGCCCACATGCCCAGGCCTCTCCCTGCCACACGGGTGTGCAGGACACCTCTCCGCAGCAGGAGGCACCACGGCCGGACTCAGGCCCTCTGGACGGGTGCTTTTTAGGCTGAGTTCAACTGTCCTGGGTCGGAAAGTCTGGGTGGGGCTGGTCTGCAGAGGCGGTCGAGGGTGAGGCACCGTGACCTTGTCACCCCGGTGGGGACTTGGGCCTGGCTCTGCTCATCCCTCACTCTCTCTCCGGTCTGAGGTGGGCGGCCGTGGGTGCAGGGCCCCTGGGGAGGCTGCGGCCGCTGAGACCTTCAGACGCCACCGGAGGGAGGGGCCAGGGCTTGGGTTTCCTTCTGCTCGGGTCACCGGGCTGGGTCAGGCCCCGGTCAGCGGGGAGGGGAGCTGGACTGCGGCCTTCCTGGGCTCCTGTCCTGCCTGCCCGGCTGGCCCTGGAAGATCTGTGGTGTTTTCTCTGGGGGATGCAGCTGAGGAGGTCCCGGCAGGGCCACACTCGTAACCCCTGGCTTCTCAGCTGTGGGTGCAGTCTTGCACCCTGGCTAGCTGAGTTGAGGGGTCTTTGCGGCATCCATGGCCCCGACCAGGGCAGACTGCCTGAGCCCCAGTCCAAGGAGAGGCCTCGCTGGGCAACGCGACCAGAGCAGAGGCCGAGGCTGGATGGGTGGGGAGCACCTGGGACCTTCCAGATCCCCCTTCCTGCCCCTCCCGCCTCCACCTCCCTTCAGCCCCTCGGCTGCAGTCGCCCCTCCTCGGACCACTCATCCACTGTCCACCTCCGCTGGGAACCCCGGTGAGGGAGGCTCAGACCCTTGGGGAGGGAGGCAGGGATGGGTCTCAGAGAGACCTTCTGAGGAGGAGCGCGCAGCCTGGGACAGGGTGGGGCCAGATCTTGGTTCTTCTCCTTGGGTGGTTCTGACCTAGCCGGTGCGGTACATGTGGCCATCGGGGCAGGGTTGGTGGCACCAGTCTCTGGTAGGAAGGGTGCGGAGAGCAGGGAGGCCAGAGAGGGAGGGGCTGTGAGTGCTGGGGGCGGGGACCCACCCTGGCCCTGAGGGAAAGGAGTGTGGACACCCACAGAGGCCACCTTGATGGGGTGGCCTGGGCTTCAGCTCCCAAGGCTGTGGGAAGGTCCTCTGGGTGGGGGCTGGGAGGAGACCTCAAGGGGAGGCCCAGGGGTTTGGGCTGTGCCCCTCAAAAGCCTCTTGAGGACCCTGAGATCGGTCAGGCCCGTGGGATGGACCCTGAGATTGGCCAGGCCCGTGGGATGGACCCTGAGATTGGCCAGGCCCGTGGGATGGACCCTGAGATTGGCCAGGCCCGTGGGATGGACCCTGAGATTGGCCGGGCCCGTGGGATGGACCCTGAGATTGGCCGGGCCCGTGGGATGGACCCTGAGATTGGCCGGGCCTGTGGGATGGACCCTGAGATTGGCCGGGCCTGTGGGATGGACACAGAGGTCTTTCCCCTCAGCCCACAGTGGGAGAGGGAGACCCCAGCGCACTCCAGAGTAGGAAACCAGGAAAAAGAGCCAAGCCCTTCCCAGGCCCCTGACGCCAGGGAGCAGCCCCCGTGGAGCTGGAAACTCCTCTTTCACTGGCTGTCGGTGGGCCCAGGAAGCAGGGCCTGACGTGAACAAGGGGCCTCCTCTCTTCTCCGGGCCCCACTCTGTGTGCGGAGGGCTGGGCGCGTGGCTGTCTCTGGCCACTAGCTCCCCAGGATTCCGCAAGCCATCTGGGCAGCTGGGGCTTCCATTCCCGCACTGTCAGCCGGTCTCACGGTGCCACAGCTGGGGAGCCTGGGCAGGTGGGGCCACAGGAGGGCCGTGCCCCTCTCAGACCTGAGGACTCGGAGCTGGGACAGGCGGCCAGGGAGAGGGCAGAAGAGTCTGGGGTGACCCAGGCCGCAGGGGCAGCCCTGCTGCAGGCTGGACTGATGAACGCCTTCCGGGAACAGGGTGTGTGCTGAGCCCCAGGAGAAGATCTGGGCCCAGTCAGTGCTGGGCGTCTGTGACACCGCAAGGTTGCAGGAGCCCCTGCCCGCGTCTGCACCGAAGAGTGCCAGGCACAGGCAACTGGGCTGGCACCCTGGGGCTGCTGGACGGGGTGTCTTCCCTCGCAGCCCTGGAGGCCATGCTCCTGACTCTGGGTAGAGCCCTTTCTCGCCTGGTGGGGTGCTGGGGGGTCCTCAATCCTCGGCCTGCAGAGGCGTCGCCTGGATATCAGTCTCTGTGGCCACACAGCGGCTTTTTCCGGGCCTATTCTGATAAGGACACCAGTTCCGTCGGAGTAAGGCCACCTCAGGACCTCGTCTTAATGCGATTCCACCTGCAGTGACCTGACTTCCAGACAAGGTCAGTTTGTGTATCTTTTAGGGGGCACAATTCAGTCCCTTAACAGGAGCCTTGACCGCCCCGATCCCAGCCAGGCACAGGTGGGCAGGTGGAAACCTGGAAGCCTCGGGTGGGGGCGCCTCCAGACGCAGGTAGCACTTTGCATTTTGGGGGCGACCACCCAGGCCACAGGCCCTGTGGTTACCCAGGGCTGGCCCAGAGAGCTGGAGCCAACGTCAGGTGCCTGCGTACCAGTCGTGGGGGGCAGAGGGGCAGGACCAGGGTCCCCAGGAGGGCAGAGGGGGGTGCTCTCCTCTTGGCGGATCCTGAAGGGACCAAAGCCCACCCTCTTGGCTTGACCTGCATTCCCTGCCGGCCATGTGCCTCCTGGGGGCTGTGTGCGTGCGTCTGCGCCGTGCCTGCCCAGCCCTGACACCGTCCCCTCCATGGTGGGCTCTCGGGGCCGCCAGAGGAGAAACATCCGTGTGGCTGAGAAGAGTCGGTTGTTTTGTATCCCAGGTTCCCACATGGAAATGAACTCGGTGACTCCCCATCACCCGAGGGCCTCCTGGTTTGGCCCTGGTCTCCGGGAACTGAGTACCCGGGTGTGTGGGGAGCTGTACAAGCTAAGACCAGGAAGGGACGCCTGGGGGAGGGGATGCCACGGCACGTCCACGGTCGAGCGGAGTCGCGGGGCAGGGAGACACCAGGGAGCAGGGAGGATCTACAGGGCAAGTTCGAGGTGAGACCAGAAAGAGCTGTAGCTGCCCCGGCTCTGGGAAGCCCCCAGCCCTCCCGAGGCCCAGCCTTCAGCCCACATGTCCTCTGAACCCGTTCACCACGGCACGGCTGGGGAGGGTCCGCCCAGGGCAGGCTTTGTTCTGACATGAAATTTAATGTCTTAGGCTGAAAAACACCAAATTTCCATTTTTTTGTAGGGCAGAAGTGGTTGCAAACTGGATTTTTAGACTTCCTTGGGAGTCTTGGACATTTGCACTGTTTTCCACAGGGGTCAACTCTTTGGAGCCACGAAGAACTCGGCAGTGCAGGCCAGAGGTGTGGGCGTCCAGCCCTTGGTTCGAATCCCGCTCTCCACTGTCCATGGGATCCTCAGCAAGCCCTCTGGCCTCTCCAAGCACACACAGGGTTCCTCAAGTAATTCCGAACTTCAGAGAAGGCATCCCAGGTAAAATCGAATGGCAGGGACCTGGGACACCGCTGTGATGGGCAGCCCCTGGGCTCGAGTCTGCCACCCCATGGGAGGGCAGGGCCCCATCCTGCTCACACTGGGGTCCCCAGCCCTGGATCCTCACGAGTCCGTGTCCAAGAACAAACTGTGCACAAAGGGAGGTCAGTCTTGTATTCAAGGTGGCCCATCGGAGCTCGAACCCATCTGCCTGACCTAGGGACGCCTCCAGTCCCACCCTTTCCTGTTGGAGGTGGGAGAATCACTGTGCAGGTCGCTGACCCACTGACCACAGATCATCACTCCCCTCCACCCCAGCTGTTTCATCCTGAGACCACTGCTGCCTTCAAACAGAAATAACCCAAACCTGCTCCTAAACCCACAACAAGGCTGACCCAGAGCCTAATCCAACCCTCAGCCGAGCCTGACCCTGATGCTCCAGACTGGACCCCAGACCGGCCCCGGCTCCAAAGTGGGACAACAAAGATCACAGCGGGGACCACCCAGGTCCCCAGACAGAAAACCCGTGTTGGACTTCAGGGGGCTCATGGTCACCCCTTGTCCTGGGGCAGCTTTATTTTATTTTGGCAAGGACCGCAGTGTTCACTCTTCTCGTTAAATGAGGGGATTCCAAGGAGGTGTTAAGGTAGGCGAGAGGCAAGCCGGGTGCCCGCTGGTCCTCTTTTCTTAAGGCGGAATTGGAACCGCATCAGCTCTCCGGGGTTCGGTTCCTGGAACCTGGGGTGGAGTCTGAAATAAAGCAGCGCCACGCACCCACGGGAAGCCTTAAAAGGAAAATCTCTTCAGAAAGAAACAATGAGTCCAATGACGTGTACACTGAAAAGATAAATGGCCAGTTTTAAAGTTCTCCTGCCTTTAAACACACGCAGCAGCGGGGCCGACGGTACAGGCACCAAGTTCTGACATAGAAGTGTTTCCTGAAACCATGTAAAAAACCCGAGACCTTCACATTGCCAACTTACACTCACATCGACACAAACTTACAATATTTATAAATAAGTTACAAGCAAACACTGAGTTATATTTACCACGAAGTCACTGGACAGAGACCAAAATCCCATGAAATCGGACTGATGTGAAATCACGTTAGATCTGAGACACGTACATGAAAAACGCCACTGATAAGAGACACGGAAGATCGGGGCCCAGCCCCGTGAGCCGGCTGCGGACAGCACGGGGGTCAGCGTGCGGCCGGGCCCCGCTTAGGCTCGCTAAGGTCCAGGAACCGGCACCTCCACCTGGACACGGCGCGCTGTCCCGGCAACCCCCAGGGGTCTCCCAAACGCAGGCCGGGGAGGCAGCGACCACGGGCGTGGCCGCGGGACGGGGGCCCTGGGGCCCGGGCATGGCGCGCGCTCGGCATCTGCCCCAAGGCGCCGCTGGGTGAAGCGGGTGCCCCGGAGGGCCGGGCCGCGGCGGCTCAGGGGATGCCCTCCCTTCTCTGGCAGCACTGCGAGGGCGGCGCGGACCAGTCGTACACGTAGGACAGGCGCAGCTGCACCTCGCGCTTGCACAGGCGGCCCTCGCGCGCCAGCGTCGCGTGCTTCTCCAGCATGTCCTCCAGGCTCTGCTTGTGCGTCACCAGGTACTGGTTGCTGCAGCCACGGGACCGGTACTCGGTGTCGAAGCGCGGGTCGTGCTCGCGCTGCACGTCCACCGGCGCCAGCCAGGCGCCCAGAGACACGTCCTCGCTGTGCCAGGCGCGCAGGTAGTCGCGGCTGAGGCGCAGGTAGCGCACCAGGTCTGCCGAGAGCACGTAGCCGCCGCCCAGCGCGTAGGGCAGGTAGTAGTCGCAGAGCTGCCAGGCGGCCTCGCGCCAGCGTCCCCCGGGCTTGACGCGGCCGCGGCCCGAGAAGAAGCCCCAGTAGAGGCGGCGGCGGCGCGCGGGGTCGCGGGCGCGCAGCTCCGCCAGCAGCGCGTCCAGCCGCGCGAAGGAGTCGTCGTCCGCCTTGAGCACGAACTCGAAGGCCACGTGCTCGTCCAGCCAGGCCAGCATGGCCAGCACCTTGGCCGTGAGGTTTTCGTAGGCGTCGCGCAGCGCGGGCAGCAGCAGCAGGTCCCCGTGCCGCGCCTGCTCCCGCTCCAGGGCGCGCCGCTCCTCGGTGCCCAGGCCGGCCGTGCCCACGGCGAAGCGCGCCCACACGTCGCCCGGGGCCCCGCGCCGCGCCAGCCACGTGCTGCGGATCACGCTGCGGCGCTCGGCGGCGCGGGGCGCGCTGGCCACCAGCACGGCCAGAAAGGCGGCGGCGCGCGCAGGCGCGGGGGGCGGGGGGCTGCGGCCCGACGCCGTCCTGGGGCCCCCGGGCTCGCCCGCGCAGCGCGCCAGGTACAGCAGCGCCGCCCCGCACAGCGCCAGCGCGCCCAGGCCTAGCGCCGCCCGCCGCCGCCACGCGCGCCGCAGCAGCTTCATGGCGCCCGCGCCGGGCCGGCGGCCCAGGCCGGACGAGCGAGTGCGCAAGCGCCGCCGGCTCGGGGCGGTGCGCGTGCGCACGGTGCTCCCGGGAGCGCGCCTGGGCCTTCCGCGGACGCCGAGCTCGGGGGCGCTCGGAGGTCGGCAGCACCAGGAGCGGCTGTCACGTGGCCTCGGGCACCCTTCTCATTGGTCAACCTCGGAGCGGCCCCGCGACCGCTTCCGCCCGAAGGAGAGATGGCGCCGGCGTCCCCTCAGTGAGGTCGCGCGTGTTCGCACCGCCTCCGCCCGCAAGAAAGATGGCAGCGGCCTGATCCGGGCCCGTTGACGGCGTCACGGGCGCTTCGCTCCGGTCCTCGGATCCAGGGCGCGGGGAGGCAGGCCGGTGAGTGAGGGTCCCGGGGCGGCCGTTGCAGGCCGCTAGGCCAAGTGTCCACGCCGGCCGGACGGCGAGGGCGGGTCTGGAGGCCGCCGCCGTCTCCCGCCCTGGGCTGGGGCATCGTCCGTCCGCTCGGCCTCGAGCCCTGGCGAGACTTCGCCGCCACCGGGGCTTCCGGGACTCCGGGGGGCAAGGACGGGCCGACGACGCGGGCCTCTCCGACCGCCGGCACGTCTGGTCTTCTATTGGCCAAAACCTACGAGTGCCACCGCGAAACGGAGGCCGAGGGAGTCTGGTTGGGCTCGCGTTTATCGGCGAGGCGACCTTGGACGAGCTGTCCCGCTTCCCTGCGCCTCCGCCTCCGCTTCTGAACTCGCGGACCCCCCTCCCCAGTTTGTAGGGTCTGGAGAGGTGAAGTCGGCTGCGTGGAGCGCTTGGTGTCTGGCTCAGAGGCGGTGTCATGAACCCTGTCGAGCTTTTAGAATCCAACCGTGTGTGTTCGCCGCCGGAAATAGCCGCGTTCCACCCGAGCTGAAGCCCGGGGATGGCGGAGACATAGCGTCTCTGTCTAAGCTGTTGACCACGTCCGCTTGGCAAGGGTGTGCTGAGTCCACGCTGGGAACTGAGCTGCTGGGGGATGGCGAAGTGGAAACCCCATTCCGGTGGGACAGGCCGGCGCCGCTGTGCTGCGAGCCTCGCTCACGGTGATGGAGAGATACTCTGAAGCCAGGGGAGGAAGCGCCACTTGATGGACTCCTGATATTTATAGTTATTTTGGGGTTACTTTTTTTTTCCCCCTTTTTCGAGACAGGTTTCTTTTTTTTTTTTTTTTTTGAGACGGAGTCTGGCTCTGTCCCCCAGGCTGGAGTGCAGTGGCGCAATCTCGGCTCACTGCAAGCTCGGCCCCCCGGGTTCACACCATTCTCTTGCCTCAGCCTCCTGAGTAGCTGGGACTACAGGCGCCACCACCACGCCCGGCTGATTTTTTGTATTTTTAGTAGAGACGGGGTTTCACTGTGTTAGCCAGGATGGTCTCGATCTCCTGACCTCATGATCCGCCCGCCACGGCCTCCCAAAGTGCTGGGATTACAGGCGTGAGCCACCGTGCCCGGCCTTGTTTTTGTGTTTTAAAGAGACACGCTCTCACTGCGTTGCCCAGGCTGGTCTCACCGTCCTCCTGCCTCAAGTATACCGTGTAACTCATCAAGATAAGTAGAATCAAGAACTAGCCTTAGTCCTCTCTAGGAACAAAGTACACTCTGTTTGCTTGCCACAGAATGTGTTTTACGACTGTAGTTAGTGGAGTCAGCACCAGGAGGAGGTGTCTTGGTTCTTAACCAGGACACTCCCCTGGTCAGGCGAGCTGGGACAACAGGAACAGAATTATACCACCACTAGGGAAGGGGAAAGCCCTCAGCCATGTTCAGAAAATCAGGCCGGGTGCGTGGCTCACGCCTGTAGTCCCAACACTTTGGGAGGCCAAGGCAGGAGAATCACTTGAGGTCAGGAGTTTGAGGCCAGCCTGGCCAACATGGTGAAACCCTATCTCTACTAAAAATACAGAAATTAATGGAGCGTGGTGGCAGGCGCCTGTAATCCCAGCTAACTGGGAGGCCGAGGCAGGAGAATCACTTGAACCTGGGAGGCGGAGGTTGCAGTGAGCCGAGACTGCACCACTGCACTTCAGCCTGGGCGACAGAGTGAGACTCTCTCTCAAAAAAAAAAAAAAAAAAAAAACCAGACATGACCCCTCACCTGGGGCTTCCTTCCTTGGGTGACCCCAGGCTTGTACCCCTGTTGGTTTGTGGCACTGACTTCAAGGCCGCTTTCATGGCGGCCCCACTGGCGTTTCTCGGTGCCTGGAGGCAGCATTTCTCTGTCTAATATTACACAAGGTAGCATTCATTGAGCGCCTACTGTGTGCAGAGTGGCAGGTGCCAGGACAGTGAAGCTGAGTAAGACAGCCACAGGAGCCTCAGTCCATGTGTGTTCAGGGAACAGCTGCAACACGGGTCGGGGGGGCCTCAGCGGCACCCGGAAGGACCCGCAGGTGTTTGCCGGAGGAGCCGACTGTGAAAGTAGCAAGCTCGTGGGTGGGAAGGACCCCGAGTTTCCTTTGGGATACGTGAGGCATGAGGCCCTGTGAGCCCCTGCTTCCCACCAGGACTGGCCATGCCTCGGACGCCAAGACAGGCTTCTGGGCTCCCCAGCCTTGGCGTTCGCTTACGGGTGTGGGCAAGGGCACGTGTGTGTAATATGTGCATGCATGAGTGTGGATGTGTGTGTGCGCACCTCTGTGTGTGGGGGCTGTGTTTGCTGGGACCAGGCCCTGACACCCTCTGCCCTTAGGGTTGGCTGTCTTCGCAAAGCCTGGTGGTGGGGGGGCAGGGAGAGCCTCCTGTTTCTTAGTGAGAAGCTGAGGCCTGGGAGACCACATGACTTAGCCAAGGTCATAGATCTCAAGAATGTTCAAGTCAGGGTCTGGAGAGTGACCATAACCCCATGGGCCAGTGGCATGATGCCAGGAGGGACAGAGCCAGGCCCCACAGGAAGGCTGTGCTGTAGGTGTTGGGCGGCGGGGACAGGTTAGCCCCTGGAGGTGTTGACGGTTCAGGAGAGAGCTGGAAAGATGGAGAGACAGGGCTGAAAACTCAGTGTCTGTAAAATAGGGAAAAAAGACTAGGCACAGTGACTCATGCCTGTAATCCCAGCACCTTGGGAGACTGAGGCAAAAGGATCGCTTGAAGCCAGGAGTTTGAGACCAGCCTGGGCAATACAGCAAGACCTGTCTCTGCAAAAGATAAAATAAAAATAAATTAGCCCGGCATGGTGGTGCGCGCCTATGGTTGCAGCTGCTCGGGTGGCTGAGGCGAGAGCATCCCCTGAGCCCAGGAGTTTGTGGTTGCAGTGAGCCGTGGTCGCCACTGCACTCCAGCCTGGGTGACAGAGCAAGACCCTGTTTCTAAAAATAAAGAAAAAACACCACGTGTGATCTGGGGAAAACAATGCCACGTGTGGTCTGGATCCTGTGAATTGAGGATGTGTTTCATGTTGCAGGATAGACGTGCTTGGGGAAGTCTTTGCTAGTCTCACTAATGACGTGTCTGTGTCTCTGCAGCCCGTGAGCCGCTCGTCCCAGCCTGTAGCCGTCCTGGGGACACAGAGCCCTCCGTGGTGCCTGGGGCTTGGATTGGAGCCAGGACCTCACTTCCTCCTCTGCCCCTGCCCCTGCCCCTCCCAGCACCTGGCCCACACCCAGCAGCCCACCCCATGGTCTGGTCCTGGGTGGCGATGGCGTCCAGGTGGGGTCCCCTCGTCGGCCTGGCTCCGCGCTGCCTCTGGCTCCTGGGGGCGGTACTCCTGATGGATGCATCAGCACGGCCTGCCAACCACTCGTCCACTCGAGAGAGAGCGGCCAACAGGGAGGAGAACGAGATCCTGCCCCCGGACCACCTGAACGGGGTGAAGCTGGAGATGGACGGGCACCTCAATCGGGGCTTCCACCAGGAGGTCTTCCTAGGCAAGGACCTGGGGGGCTTTGAGGAGGACGTGGAGCCGCGGCGGAGCCGGAGGAAGCTGATGGTCATCTTCTCCAAGTAGGTGCCGCGTGTGCCCAGGCTGGGGGCCGCTGCGTACGCTCGCCCGTGTGTTCCTGGCCTGGCTTTGCGCAGCGGGGGCGCCACATCCTGCGTCAGGACCTGCCGGGCTGGGAGGGCGTGCCGGTGATCAGCGCCACTTCCAGCCTGCTGTGTTTGCACTGAGGCCTGTGCTGGCAACCTGGAGCGGCTTCTTGAAGGCCCTGGGTCCAGTGAGGGCTCAGAGGGCCAGAGTGGGCTGCGTGGCTGTGCCTAGGACAGTCTGGAGGAGGAGCCCTCCCAGCACTGTGGTGGTCAGTGTCCTCCATGCTGAGGGGCAGATGCCGGCCACGGGCAGCCTCTGCAGGCTGCAGCACCAGTTGGACGAGGCCTGGCTGAGGAGTGAGGGGCAGCCACGGGCAGCTGGAGAGCTGGTACAGGGTGCTCTGGGCTCCTCCTGACACACCCTCTGCCCTGTGTGTCTGGGGTCCCTGTCACACACGGGTGGGCAGTGTGTCGTACGCGGGCTGGGACACGGGTGGGCAGTGTGTCACACACGGGTGGGCAGTGTGTCGTACACGGGCTGGGGGTGTGTGGGGTTGGCTTGTTTTGCTGGCCTGTTCGAGAGCAGAGCTGTGCTGTCAGTGGCCCATCCCTGCCCCCGCCCTGCCACGTCCCCGAGGCTCTCTCGCTGCCTCTGTGCCTAGTGCCGAGCTTTCTCCCCCGACCCCATCCTCGAGTCTCGGGAGCCTTGTGTAAGGGATATAAGATGAGTCAACCTGACCACTCACCCACAAGGAGCCAGGTGCTGCACGGGAGCCTTACTCCTTGTGGCACGGCCGGGGTGCCCTGCGGTGTGGCCCTGGAGCCCATGTGCACTCAGCGCTGGCCTCACTCCTGGAGGCAGAGCAGGGTCAGGACATGCCCATGAGTCCTTCAGGCCAGCCGGGGTGCTGGGCAGGGAGCCAGGGTGCAGGTGAGAGAACACTCTGGGCCTCCTGGGACCTGTGGGACCCGGGCATACGGAGGCAGCCCCTGCCACAGGGCGTGGCCACAGGCTCACCTTCCTGCAGGGCCTGGTGCTCCAGGGCCAGTGCAGAGG